TTAACCAAGCAACCTTCGGCTTTTGCGGCTGCTCCGCGTTGGACATGCTAAACGCCAAAAATTCGGTACAAATTCAAAATAACTTGCAGATCATCGTCTTGATTCCAAGTATATAGGCTACCAAAATTTGCGTCTTAATCCGAAGAATATTTGTTAAAACGTACAGTCGGATGGCAAAACGAAGAGCTTATATACTAAAACTGCACTAAAACCTTATAAAAAAATTAATAATACTAAAATTAAGATCAACTACATTTTGGTTCCTAGCTTGGGAAACTACAAAAACCCATTTCAAAACAAAACTGACCCCACAGAAGATAGGCAAGAATGGCGCATTTCTTTTTGAAAGGCGCCCCCGCTAGTATTCAAATTTGAGAAACAAATGAAACTTCCCGGGTTGGATTTTGATGTTTGTTTTCATCATTTTGGAATTTAATTTGAAAACGATCTTATTGTTTTAGTTTTACTTTACTGACCTTTACTTTATATTACAATTTTACTTGGTTTGCTGTCGAAGTTTAGTCATTTTTTGTGTTCTTCGTTTATAGATTAGCGTGTATTTGATCAAGATTTCAGCGAAAACCATTTATTCGCATGATAACTTGGTAATTCAAAATCCCCGGTCTCGCTGTGAAATCGATGCTCTTAACGGAACGATAATTTTCCTGATAGCGGAATGGTTCGCCATTGGCGGGAATGTCGAAAGTTGGCGGGATTGGCGGTGCTGTTTCATTTGCGAGGGAACCAAGTTGGTTCATTGAGCATCACCTCCGTAGCAATGAAATATCGGCTATTTTTACATTTTTGATTAGAAAAATTAATTTGAAAATTTTTTAAGATACAAAATTTATTTTTGCGTTCTGCTTGCCAACCCATAGTTCGCAAAACATAGCTTCGCTCCTTCTCTACCACTGGCGCTTGTTCTGTTTCTCACTCTCCCGATTGCTCTCTCTCTCTCTCTCTACGTTTCTCTCGCCTCTCCCGTTCTCTCTCGCTTTCACTCTCTCACTTTCTGACCCTACCTCTCTTACTGGCTTTCGCTCTCTCTATCTCTCACTCTCTCACTCCCTCCTCCCATCTCTCTAGCAGTCTCTCACTCTCTCTCCCTATCTCTCATACCCGCTCTCACTCTCTACCTCTCACTCTATCACTCTCTATCCCTCTCGCCCGCTCTCTCACTCCCGCTAGCTCTCTCTCTCCGTCTCTCTGTCCGTCTCTCGCTCTCTTTCGCGATGTGTACCAGCATTCCATTCCGTGGATTTATTCTCACCATTCAATAAAAAAAAGACATAGACGTTAATCGTAAACAATAATTACACACAGTTTTAGTGGTTGATGGTCGTGGTCGTCTTAATAGTGATGTTGATCGTGGTCGTGATAGTAGTCGTGGTGGGGCTGCTCTGGGTGGTCGTCTTGGCGGTCGTATTTGTCGAGGTTGCGCGCTTGACCGTCTCCTTGCACTTCTTGTTGTCCTCGTAGCACGTCTTCGGGATGGGAGTTGGCCCAACCGTGCCCTGAAATAAAGATACCGCGTTTACCACTGGTAAGGATACTAAAATTGATGCTAATGAACGTAAAGTTTTCTTCGCAGTTTCTGTTTTGATCTTATTTTGTCCTTTTGCTTCAGTTGTTCTTCGTTCAGTTCTTTTGTTTTGAGCGTAAAAATCCCGCGCTCTAGCTCGAAAAAGCTGAAAGTCGATTAAAAAATGCGATTTTGCAATTTCTCCAAGGAATACTATTTGATCTTGCGCCAAAATCAAGCAGAACCGAGAAAATGCCGTTCAAAACAACGGCGCTAACGCTTTGAGATAAATGCTTTTCGAGGAAACCAGGGTTGAAAAGTCGACTTTTCAACCCTGGCCGCGTCGGATCCCATGAAATTCTTCACGCTGCATACGTCTCTCGAATTCCGATGAGTTAAAATGAAAAATTCCACGCTCTCGCTTTATATACATATAGGCTACTGTCACTTCCGGCGTATGCTAATTATTTCCTAACAACGAAGGCTGCCCGATTTTTCAACAAAGACCCAAATTTAATGTTGCAAAAATCGTTTGCATAATCTGATATGCGTGCAGTTATCACGGGGCCGTTGCGCACCTCACAACGTATAATACGTAGCTTAAGACCCTTCCCCTCTTGAGGTATTTCCCAGACCAGACACGATGACGGAAGTTGCATGCAAATGCGCACGCACGCACACACACACACACAAAAACTATTTTTTATATATAGTAGGATACGGTAGCCTTGATTTAAGGCTGAAAACTACCGAGCAGATGGAAGGCGGGCAGGAGGCAGCGCGGCGGCGGTGGAGCTGCATCCCCGGGAGAGGGGGGCGGCGAGAGCGCGGCGAGTTGGTGGACATACTAAACGTCAAGAATTCGGTAGAGCATCGGTATAATTAGAAGTCAAAGTATACCCCGTAACCCAAGAGCTTACCCTTGCCTTACAAGCAGGCCCGTAAGAGGGGGGGCGAGGCGCCGCCCCCCGGAAATCGGCCGAAGGCCGAAAAGTTCATAAGGGGGGACCCTTATGATTTAATTTTTCCAAAAATTTTTTTGCCTGCGGCGCTGTTTTTGGCTATTTTTAACAATAGTTTTAGTGTTATAAACCCTATGTTTTCAAAAATTTTGTCTGCGGCGCTGTAGTTTTAGTCATATTTGCGAAAAATTTTTGGGGTCGCCCCCCCCCCGAAATTTGGGTTTGTTACGGCCCTGCTTGCAAGCATATAAAGCCTACCGAAATTTCTGTCTTAATCGGGTGACTACTTTGATAATTTACATCTCTAAAGCAAAACGGTGAGCTGTTGTACTAAAACGGCACGAAAACCTTATGAAAATTTAATAAAACTAAATTAACATCAGGCATGTTTTGCTATTTAGCCAGCGGTGCTACAAGAACCCATTTGAAAACCAACCTGACCTCTGGAGAAGGGAAGTAAGGATGAAGCATCTTTTTAAAAATTCGCCTGTTCGCGGCCATTCAAATTAGACGTGCCAAATCACTTCCGGTCAGGATTTTTATGCTTGTTTTTATCATTTTGTTTTAAGGTTTATGGAAAACCACTACCGAGGATAGACTAACGTAGCATTTTATTCAAATTTAATAGGAAGTTAATTGTTAATTTTTTCGATTGACCGAAAATTTTGGAACGCTTTTTTATTTTGGGATTATTTTTCGATCATAAATCAGCGTGCATTGGTTTCAACTTTCGGTGAAAACCATTTATTCGCATGTGAACTTGCAAAATTGGAGGCCAATAATAAATTACATTTATGTATGATTTATGAATCGTCTTTTTGGGTCGATAATCTGAAGTATTGGTAAGGACCATCATGACGCGGTTGATAAGCACCTAGTCCAGTATCAGATATAAGCATTATTCCATCACCCCGTCGATGTCCTCTTTCGAAATTGCTCCAGTCTCGCTGTGAAATCGGTCCTCTTATCGAAATTTCGATAATTTTTCGGCAGCCTTGCTTCCATTCGCTGGTCCATGACTTCAGTACTTCTGGTAATCTCGAGTCCGAAGCAATACGGCAGTACAGTTTTTCTTGCTTTAATGCTCTGCATTCCCAGATATCCTCGAGTCCATACCATTCCAGGTTGTTGGTGGCTTGATTTAAATAATCGACTAGTTGTCTGTTGATTTCCTTTTGCCATAGACTGACCACACGGAAGCCTCCCTCCGGTTCCATCGATTTCAAGTACGGTACAGTACACTCAAAGTAGTACCGGGTCTTGAAAATTTCCGTTTTAATGTTACGTAAACTGAAATACGGCTGGTATACGGTAAGGGAACAGACTTTAGAGTTCGAGAATAAAAGTTCTTGGATAGATCGTCCAAGGATTGTAAAATCGTTGGTTGAGTCGTAGAATGGGTAGTGGGAGGAAACTTTTAATGCTCCCACAGAGGTCAATGTTAGCCAAATTCCGCGATAGTTCTTCTGGGTTATTGTCACCAAATGCCATAGTTGCTTGGAGGTCATTGCCATTTTCATTAGGGTTTTGATATTGGTGGCAGCGAGATGGGTGATAATTTCTTGGAGGACATCATTGGGAAGGGATTCGCTCATTTTCTAAATTTCGTGGATTATTTATGTAAATTTGGTAAAAATCGTGATGGGTTTGAAAAGTAAATGCGGATTGAATCCCGACTTCCAGAGAAAAAGGCAAAATAATAAATTAAAAAAAATACAATACGTGAAATGCAGAGAAAAAGTGGGAGCACGAGAGATATGGATGGGCGAGGGCGATCTCCAGAGAAAAAGTGTGAGAAGAAGCTATAGATAATAGATAGGTAGTTAGATAGATGGAGAATGAGAGAAAGAATGAGAGAGAGAGAGAGAGAGAGAGAGAGAGAGAGAGAGCGGGAGCGCGATCGGGAGCGGGAGGGAGAGAGATAGAGAGAGAACGAGAGAGAGCGATAGAGCGAGAGAGGGAGAGACAGAGAGAGAGAGAGAGAGAGAGGTGAGAGCTATCTAGCGAAATATTTTCCGAATAAAGCATCTATTGATCCCGATTTCTGAATAAACAACAAACGAAAATGTTTACAAGTTTTTCGTTTCTTAATTGGTCAACAATTTTAGGGCTTATTCTCTGCTAGATTTAACAAACATAAATTTATAAAAACGAGCAAGCAAATGGAGATGGCGCAAACGAGCCCCCGGGCAGTGCAGGTGCCAAGAACGGCAATTAACGCCCCCCGCCTTGAAATCAATACGCATCCACGGGCAGATGCCTCCGGATTAGCAGGCTAGCTATTTGTTGCTCGACAACCCTTTTAAAATTTTTAAACATATACTATAAATCCACTTAATCTTATCAAAATAGCTAAATTTCTTCCTGAAAAGTATATGTTCAACAAATATGTATTTTCATCGCGTAATGCAACAAGGAGCCATTTGTAACTGAAACGAAACGGATCAGGATTTGATGATTTGCTGGTAAAGTCGAAGGGTATATGTTTTATTGGCTTATATAAACATAGACAGTTAGAACTTCTTGAGGGCTTGGGAGAGGATGTCGAAGGTGAGGTCGGCATGCTTCTTCTCGTAGACCAGGGATGGGCGGAAGCTGGAATGGTTTTTATAGATTTTAGTTTGGCCAGGAGAATCATGTTTAATTTTTAAATCTTTAAGAAAGTTTTAAACTTTTAAAACCCTGAAAGATAAAAATTTCCACAGATTTACCGCAATGTCTTTTCGCCGCATCCACCGCAGTGAAGTCCAAGGTCGGTGGCCTAAAATAAGGAGATTTTACAGTATAAGATAACTTCTAAGGTATCGGTTTTTAAGGCGACAATATATTAAACTTACAACTTGCACAAATTTGTCCCTCTTCGGGCCCGTCTCAAAATCAACGGCCGCGAATGTGGAGAGACCCCTGGCGTTGAACAGGACACCCTTGTTGTCATCCTAAATTTTCGGGATACTACTGCCTACTCTTAACTCTATATACCTGAAGCTGTCGTAGCTTGCCCTGGAAGTACTTGCCAACTTCGGCGTTCTGTTGGATCAGACCGTCGCGCTTGATCACCTTCACAACCTCCTCAAGCAAGAAAAGCTTGGTGGGATCTCCGACCCAGGTGTTGTAGATGCGGTAGCCCTAAAGATAGGCATAAAATTGCCATTAAATTTTAGCCCACCTCCTGGACCTTAAGGTGATCAGCATAGTAATATCCTCCTGTCAGCAACTTCTTGGAGAAGGTCACAATATCGGGAGCTGATGAGAGGTTCCAGTGGCTGTGGGCCCACATATCTCCAGTTCCGGTGCAACCGCCACCAGTTTGGACCTAAAATAAGACATAAATTTAGTTTAATTAAAAAATTGCCATCCTTTAAAAGCCAAAATTTGTTAAAACGTGAAGATAAAAGTCTAAAAATCTACCTCGTCAACGATGAAGACAACACCGTGTTTCTTGGTGACGTCGCGGACTCCCTACAAATTAAAAATTACCGCAACCTATCTAATAGACAATTTTTACTAGATTTTTCTGGTTTTCTAAAGAGTGACCACTTTTAAAACCAATTAATCTTTGCAGATTAATACCTGGAAGAAAGTCGGGCTTCCGTAGTGGTCACCACCCTCGGCCTGAATCGGCTCGACAATGAGCGCGGCAACAGGAGTGTCCTGGAATTTGTGGTATCACCGATTACGACATGTTTTACCTTCTCGTTCTTCCACCTCAAAATCTTGGCCTCAATATCGGCAATGCACTCCTGGTCCTGCTTCTTGTTGTAGTCAACGTTCTGATCGAGCGGGTACTTGTAGCGGGGGAACTTGGCAATTGGCCAATCGAATGCCGGGATGTCGACCTGGAATTTAGTTTGGTATTGATATTTTGTTTAATTAAAAGTAATAGTGTAATTTTCTTGTACTACCTTATGGATGGCCTTGCTCCTCGTCACGGAGAGCATGCAAAGCGATCGGCCGTGGAAAGCACCCTCGAATCCCATGACGGCGAGCTTCGGGGTTCCTAAAACACAAAATTTCTATATTATTTACTGATTCAAATATTATCTAAAAATTATGGCATTTAAGGCTGTTTTGAAAGTAACCTGGCAACTGCTGGCTCATGCAGGAGTCCAAAGCCTTCTGATCAGGGGGCCCACCGCGCTGTTGGGCCATGTACCTAAATAATACTCACTTTCCAAGTAATAAAAAAATTAAAAATAGTATAAGTACAGAATCATATTTTTAATGAGCTCCGATGCCATGATCTATAGACTCACCAAATAAAAGCCTGCTTGATAGCATTCTCGTTAGCCGAGGTTCCGCAGAGCATTGTTTGGACGAGCTAAAAAAGGGAATTAAATTTTTATCCGCTTTCATATTCATTTAAGGTATGGAATTTAAAGTTGAAATTCTAACCTTAAGTCCCTTGGGAGCAATGTCGGTTAACGCGTGCTGGAGTCCATCTGGGTAGTCGGTACGGGGGAACGAGCCCAGGGCCGGACGCGAGACCAAGGAGGTCTGAAAAAAATTGGGTTTACTACTGATTTTCTGTGTAAAAAAAACACAATTTTTTTTGTGCTTCGCATGAAACCAAAACCTACCACAAACTTGTCGGTCTTGGCCGCCTTCACAAGATCCGGGTGGTTGTACCCAAGGGGTAGAGATGAGATCTGGGTGTACACGTCCAACATCTTGTTCCCATCGACGTCAACCATGTAGTTGCCGAAGCTCTTGTGGAAGTCGACAAATGTGCGCAGGGAGGCGGTTTGCTAAATTCATTGAATTTATATATTATTTCTAGTCTTACATGAAGCTTGTCCATCTTGGCCTTGTACTCCTTGGCGGCGGGGCCAGGCACGGGGGTGTTCATGCTCGGCTTCGACGGCTCGGAGTTGGCCACCGAGCTGGAGAGGCGGCATGCTAAAAAACTCCAAAAATAATAATTTAAATCTTTAGGCATTCAATTGTTTTGGTAGACCTGTCATTTTTGAACTTTTGATTTCCTGCAGCACAAGAACAAAACCCAATTTCTCGCCAACTTTCTCTAATCTTAACCGGCAACAGTTGAGGGCAGCCGCTTTACGATTTCCCTCCCAATCACCCTAGCCACCCCCTAATCAATTTCGCTCCCAACCCACCCAATTGAACCGATAAATGCAATATCAAAAAGGTAGAGAACAATCATTTCTTGTAAACATCTTAAAAAAACGACTAACCCGTCGCTGAGGCATTTTTGCTGGAGAGTCGGCTCAACATCTTCTGCAGATTTTACCCGTGTTGAAGAACTAAAACTTTGAAGTATATAGGTGTGGTGCTGGTAGAGAGAGAGAGAGAGAGAGAGAGAAAAGAGAGAGAGAGAGAGGGAGAGAGAGAGGGAGAGAGAGAGAGAGGGAGAGAGAGAAGAGGGAGAGGGCGATTCGGTGAGAGGCAAAGCCATTATTTAGGGGTTCAAGCCCGGAAGCGGTTGTTGAAAGGCAAATGGGGGCCTGGGAAAGGAAGAGTTTTGGAAAACCAAAAGCCAGGCGCCATGAATCTCGAGATTTCCTAAAAATGTTAGATATTTGCGAAGGTAAAATGTCACATTTTAAGATCTGCATCTAGGGACCAAAGGACGCGATTTAGATGAAGATGCCTACGTGAACGTTAAATTCAAAAAAATTTAGTGAAAAGAATTATATAAGAAATATTTAGGCAAAAAAATGGAGAATTCAGAGTTCGAAAGCTAAATTTAAGGATTTATTTAGGTTTAGCTGTTTATCTACAAGGCCTTAAAAACCCTCTCTGATAACAACAACACAAAACAATGAAAATTAATTAATCATCTGCCCAACCCGAGGTCCATACCCGCAGGTATCTTTTGGCTATCTGTTGCCCAAAGTGGGGGTCAATCTGGGTTGGGTCGGGCCGAAGGGGGCAGCAGCCGATGTGTATTTGTCGGTTTGTCTCTGTGTGTGTGTGAGGGAGGGATCGAGGGGTCAGTCAAGGAGAGAATAGACTAAAGAAAGAGGAGCCACAAAATAGAATGGCAGGTTAAACAGGATAGAGAGAACCCCCGAGAGCCCATCCCCCCCCCCAACCAATCTCTTCCGCCAAATTGCCAAAAGATACGCGAAACGAGGCCTATCGGGTGTGGGTGCCCCGGAAAAACGATATAGATGAAATGACTGGGGGAGGACACGTGAGAATTGCTTTTTAGAGATGATGATCGAAGAGAGGCGTAAAAACTTTATTTTTATTAATTGAAACGGCATGGAATGAGATCTAGCCAGAGATAGACTTATTCAAAATTTGTAAATTAAATTTCGGAATGAAAAATTGGTTTGGCAGCCTCAAGGATCTCTTTATCTATCTCTATCTCTCTCTCTCACTCTTTTTCTCTCTCGCTCTCACTAACTCTCTCTATCCTGTCTCTTTTTTTATTAAACGCGTGAGAATTGTGTTGAAGAGATGATGATCGTACAAAGAATAAAAAAACTATTTAGACCAATTGTATTTAAAAAATAATTAAATTTAATTGTATTTAAAAAATAATAAATGAAACTCTGTTAAATAGTGAATTAATTGCAAAAAATCGGGGCGGTAGTTCGCCGCAAGGCATTACTTTAGATTATTTTTAACAAGACCCGTTTATCCTCCTCCCCATGGTTCCGCTGTTTGTTTACCTTCAACTCTCCGCTTCCCCCATTTTTTTCTGCGAGAAACGCGACAAAACGTGAAAAAAGGAAGCATCGGGTGATCAGGCTAGGCGATAAGCCGAGGGGAGGGAATGGGGGAGGAGATCAAGGAATGACATGGATTGGGTGGTAAACTAGGTGGGTTATGGAGGAAGGGCTACTTTTCTGATCTTGCAGGTATTTTGGGGTATATAAGCGAGTGGTTGTTGTGCAATTTCATGTGATCGTGGGTAATGTGGCCAACGGGGAGGAGTGAGGGAATGGGGAAAAGGTGGAGCGAAGATTTTACAGCCTGGGTTCAGACACCAAACAATGACCTCGAGTGGTCCGGGGGGATCAAGCTAGATTCGAAAAGGCCAATGAACGTTCTTTTGGATCAGTTTTGGAGTACTACTTTGTTTTGATAGTCCCTTAGGTTAAAAATATACGTTTTATATCGGGCAGATCATAAATTAAGTGTTTCCTAGAGATTGTGAGAGTTTATATCTGATCTGATATCCATTTGGGCACGCTGTTTATTTTTGCAACTTTTTTTACTAAAATTTAGTACGTACTTGCTATATTATTTTAACGATTTTTTTGCCCCATGTATTCCTGTAATCCAAAATATACACAAAAATTCTTTTATTGCACCAGCCTTGCCAACATGAGATCACGAATACACATTTTTTTCGTGGGGGGAGGACCTTGTACAAAATCGACACAATAAGTTAATTAAAAGCGCAAGATATAGCCTGGAACTATGGGGTTGAAAAACACACACGCAAAAAAACACAAATCATACCACACACTAATCATAATAAAATCAATTTGAAGCTTTGGTCCGCATTGCTCCGGGCTCGCACCAATTGTGGGGGGAGAAAGGGGGGATCACAGTGGATATTATGTAGCTCGGGGGGTTGGGAGGATTTTTAAAGGGACGGGTAAGGCATAACGGCTATGGATTTTGTCGGTTATGGATTTTCCAAGACGTTCTGCACAAACCCCGCAGCGCGTCACGCAACGCGTGCGCCGTTTAGTCGCAATATAATTTTGTCGAAATATGTTTTTTTTGGAATTTTAATTGTCGTAATTTCAACGCTTGATCTCAAATTTTTCGCAAAATGAAATTTCAGCGCCTTGAAACTTCGACAAAATCAAATTTCGCCACAACGATATTTCGATAAAATAAATTTTAAAAACTACGAACGAATCGATCACGATCGGTGTGGTTTCGTAAAATCCATAGCCATGTCTTCCTTGTTCCTTTAGAGGGAATAGGACAAGATTTTCCACGTTCCGCAACTCAAATCCATGTCGGCGCATCAGAAGATATACCTGAAGAATGGTACTAACAATTTGCATAAAAACAAAAGCATAGCAAATGCGGTTAGTGCCAGCTAACATTCACATTTAATTTTTAAGGGAACAGAACACGGGCGGGACTATTGGAGCCCTCCTCACAAGCCATTAGAGAGTGAGAGCACAAGCTACAAACCGGCTTACTCAAAACAACGCACTATGCTCGGCTTCGGGTGGGCTGCCGCTGCAAATGGGGGGAGGCTTTTTTGGGTTTTGTGTGGGGTTTTAGGAAAAAACTACAAGCTTGCGACATTTAAGGGAGTGGGAAGCTGAGAAGCTTGGCCGGGGTGACATTTTGACATTTTACCGATTGATACGACGCTAGAATGTCTGGATTGAATTTTTGGGGGTATGTTGATGGAGAACAGTCGTCAACAGTACTTTAATCGCGTTAATTTGGGCTATTAATGCATCAATGGAAATATAAAACGCGCGGGTTTTTATAGTTAGAGCAAATTCTCATTCTCCGAATCACCTCTTGCTCTTATTCCGCCTACTAGAGAGCGGCGGCTCCTCATCATCGGTGCCCCAATGCCCCGTCGACTCGGCGAACTTGTCGATGATCATCGAAATCGGGAACGCCAGCACGATGATACCGCACACCGACGCCACCGCGGCCACCACTTTACCACCTAGAAAAAGAGCGAAGAGTAGACCGTACATTGTAGTTTTTAGCTTTAATTTAAACGAAGTTTTTTAAAACAAGTTTTAGAAATATTAAAAAACGCACCTGTCGTCACCGGCACCAAGTCTCCATACCCAACCGTAGTCATCGTGATGACGCCTGAATGTCGCAATTTTACCGTTGAAATTTTCCTCTATTCAACTCTCTCTCACTTTCTCTCTCTCCTACTGGCTCTCTCTTTCTCTCTCTCTCTCGCTCTCGCTCTCTCTCCCTCTCTCTCTCGCTCCTTCTCTCTCGCTCGCTCTTCAAAACTCAAAAACCTACACCACCAACACGCCGCCGGAATACTATAAAATTTCGAGTTCGGCTCGTCCCGCTCGAAAAAGTAGATGGCCGTCGAAAACAGCATAATTCCTAGAAGTCTTGCTATAGGGCTTAACGACGAAAGTATAAACCTGTAACGAGGAACATTCCAAGCATCGACAACTCAGCCGCGCTCTTCTTCATCGTTTGCCCGAAAGCGCGTAATCCTGGAAAAATTTTTATATTTTTGCATTTATGCTTTTATTATTTTCTATATATATATGAAATACCTGTACTGTAGCGAGCCAATTTAAAAATACGTGCCACCCGGGCTAATCGCATCACCCGAATCACCAACATAGCACCTAAGAAATTCAAAATAAGAATATTTTGTTTCAAATCTAACCTCGAATCTCCTTCATCCATTTTAATGGCAGAAATTCTTCAATTATAAACGGTAAAATTGTGAATAAATCGATTATGTTTAGGGTAGAGCTGACGAATTCCCACTGAAATCTCAGATACAGGTTGACTAAAACTTTTCCAAGCCTACCTTCTTCGGGTTCACCAAAAATCGCGCCAAATATTCCAGGGTGAACCAAATCATGCAGCTGAAACAATATGTTAATTAGGCGAGAGAAATCGATATTACCAATATTCTAGGATAATCAACCCTCGGATGGGTTCTTTTTGGTCATCTTGAAGTTCGGGGATGGAGCTCATGATCAGGCCTGGAATTAGCGACTAAGTTTTTTCAGTTTAATTTTAAATTTAATTTTCGTTCTTTAGTTCTTTAGTCCACCTGCAAGAGAGAGTAGTACAAAAAGGGCTGATGAAATTGAGAAGACTTTGGCTGCCATGGAGCTTCGCGGATTTTCGAGGAACCTGAAGTTATCGTAGCGTACAGAAAACTGATGAACGCGATCGTAGCGTAACGTATTTGGGCATATGGTAAGATTTCGTACATACCATAGCGGATGGTATCGTAGGTAGGACATCGCAATGCGAGGCAATTTTGCGTATCCTATCGTGGCTTGGTGCCTAGCCACTGCCAGTACTACTCAATTTTTGTGGCACGACGCATCGCGTAGCGTATTTTAGCCTCATAAATAGTAGTCTAAGCCAGAATATCGTACGGTATCGTAAGTTATGCGAATGAACCAAACGTATCACATCGAAGTGCAACGTCCAAAATGGTAGTGCAAACTACGAAATAGGGTAATTTACGTAATTTACGAAATCGTGCTACGAATCGTACTACGATTATTGTGCTACGAATCGTACTACGATTATTGTCGCCTAGCGTATCGTAGCGTAACGCTTTGTAGCGTATGGGAGCTTATATTTATTTAATATCGTAGCAAAAGGTAGCCTAGCGTAGTGCCATACCGTACCCACCTGTAAAGTGCATATCGTTGCTTCCCCCATACAACCTTCTCGAACAGCATCGCCGAGCATTGTTCGTGAGCGATCGCCTGAAATTATGATGCCATTAATTCATACATCCAAACTTTTACACATAATTGGACGGGAAATGTTGGGACTGGGATTTGGATTCGAGTCATTAAAATAATTTAAAAACCTTTTTCCAAGATATCGAATAAAATAAATTCAAATCCATCTCCCATTGTTGGCCATGCAAGGGCAAGCCAGAAAACACATGGACTCCGTTCTGGGACATTGGCGGCGACATTTAAAAACCAAAAATTGTAGCAAAAAGAGACAAAAATAGGGTTACAGTTGTGGTAGCGGCTGGGGTGGTACCTCTAGTTCCTGAAAACGATCAAAAAGTTTAGTGAAAAATGAGAAGCATTCGGATTCTGGTGATATCAAAGGAACGCTCCATCTCACTCTCTCTCTCTCTCTCTCTCTCTCTCTCTCTCCCTCTCTCTCTCCTTCTCTTTCTCTTTCTCTCTCTCGCTCGCTTTCTCTCGTCCTCTATATCCTCTATCCTTTAACCCTCAATGAATGTTATCAAAAAATTAATTTATCCTGTTCGAACCAAAATTAAAAAAGAAAAACATAAGTAAAATTTTTGTAATTTAACGGAGGGAATACAAAATGCAAATTAGCGAGGGGCTTCAAATTCTAAAAAGTTATAGTATTGCTAAAACCTGCCTCTCTGGCCCGTCTCGCACTCCCCGACGCGTCTTCTATCACACAGCAGGACGCCAGTAGATGTACAGGAATCCGCCAGTAGTCCAGCTCGTATCTGAATTACCATATTAAAGGTATGTATTCCTCATTAAATTAATATACCTCAATCGAAATGGGCAAACATCCATAGGTCGGTGGAGTTTTCCTAAAATTAAATAAGTATTTTATATAGGGACATTTAGGCCTACCTGTGATGTAAAAATCGACAATGTACTCAAAAATAGCCGGCGAGCGTTCAAAGTAGTACTCATCTCCGCCTTCAAAAAACGCATCACATTCTGTTAACCTTTCGACATGGGTTTTCCGCGCAAATCCACCCAAACGACCTCCATCAACCCGGGAGCAAAGCTGAAAAAGTATTATAGCTTGAAATTTATATAATAGCTTACCAATTCCGCATCCAGCTTGGCCCTTCGCCCGCCGACGTTTATAGTAAGAATATGGGCTTTGAGGTTACCATTTGTTAATGGAGGGCAGTAAGGAGGTAAATGGACTTTACCAAGTAGCGGCTCTTCCATGCCGTTTTCTAAATTATACATAAAAATTGGTAAAGGCAAGTAATGAAGAGCAAGGAAAATGGAGCAAAATTCGCGAAATTGCGCTATTTCCAAGCCACGGAACATTCTTCTGAAAATTCATATAAATTTGTAACAAATAATTATATTTTTGCAGCATGGATAAACGGCTGATGAGGAAAATAAGCTATATATTTTTTTAATTAAAATTTAATAAATCTTTTCTGACAAAGAAGTACAGGAAATTGAGTTGAGGTTCAACACCGAACTTCCTCTAGACTTCCAAAATTCGCAATTTAACTTAATTTTTGACAGGTTATATTTTAAAATGATCATGTCACATGATTATATAGCCCATCCCTTACGTGACGTGCCCAAGAAAAATTCAACGAATCTGGCCCCAGGCCGGCAAACCGCGGGGGGGTCATTGGCCGGCCAGAATTTCTTATGAATCGCGAGCGGGTGGGGGGGGGGGGACTGGCCGTTTTTCTAGTGTGTCTTGAAAAGTCGTTTAGACCCTAGAAGTTCATAACACCCTCAATCCCGGGATGCCGGAATATGAGATGAAGAGAAAAGGCGAATCTCGGCCAGGTTAGGTCAGGGTACACTGCCTCTGGAAATTGTGGTTTATCGCTTCATTAAATGGACGGTAAAAAGCAAATCAAAGTAAAGGTAAAAAAGGTAAAAAATAGCAAATCAAATTCAAATAATTCAGCTAAAATCCATTCTATAACATTGACGCCTAAAGGAATGCTGCGGAGGTGGGGGGGAGAAGGTGGGGAGAAGCCTCCGGGCCGGTGTGAAATAATGGGCGCTTCCGATATTGTGGCCCCTGGACAACCCGGTATTAACGGATCTTGGTCCGTCCCGGTCCACCCTAACAATTGTCGTTTAGCATCCGGGAACTGGGTTTTGTGCTTTTGTTGGAAACCCTAGAAGATCGAAAATTTTTGGCCACTTGAAAATCGTGTTTTAATTCTTGAATTTCTCGATAAAAATTTAAAATTGAACTTTAACGAACAAGTGTAGTTAAACCATTTTTAAATCAGTTTAAAATGTTTATTTAAGTCAATAAAAATGAGAAATTAAATCTCAAGAAGTTCAACGTTTCCGACTAACAAAAAACCCTAAATTTGCATTTCCATTGCAACCTCCCAGCTTCCGCATCCAACCAACGGCTGGTAAGCAATCAAAAAAATTGGCCTCCACGCAGCAAAGAAAACTAAAAAATGCCATCGACAGGCTATTTTGGCGGCTAACGGCTAGCCGAACAAGCACGGCCGAACACCACCAAATTCCCAGAGGGGTCTTTTTCACGACGTCGGGAGGGAAGCCAGAAATCTTTTGCCGTCATGGCCACCTCCACAAAAGTATTTTCACGAGTTGTTTTGAAATTTGGGGTGTGTTTTGTTGCATGCTTAGGTATCAAGCATAAAATTTTAAGCTAGAGAAATGAGAGTTACTACTACTACTACTACTATAGAAAAATTAGCGTGTTTTTATATTTTATTCATCATTTTAAGGTTTGGATGATTCGTAATTTGGTGCGTGCTGGCCTCTAGATGACTACAAAGCTATCAAGTTTTTGGAAAAAGCTCGAGTTTTGGATTAAAATAATGTTTTTATCTAAAAATAGTTAAGCCAGATTTATGAACAGAAAACTTACCTATACCCAAATTGACAGAGAGCCTATTTTTATGTTAATTAGCTGCAGCTATCTAGCTCCATAAACCTAGAAAACAAATAATACAAATAATTTAACAGCCAACGCGCAGTAATCCGTTCCGCTTAAGAAGATGCTGTTTTCTGGGAGTGTGTATGTGCGCGCGCGGGTAGCCAGAATCCAATTAACAGCCCCCCTTCCTGTGTGAAGCCATTCACAAAATGTTACTCAAAATGTAGGAGTAGCAGAAGGGGAGGAAGAGGAGTAGGAGAACAAGGTTTTGGAGTAGAGGGCAGTAATTTAGATTAGGCTAGACACAAATCAGTGGATGGCGGAGTGCATTTAATAGGGATTCGGGGGTTGACACATACTTTGTGGGTGGGTGTGTCTTCTTAGAGTTTGAAAGAAAAGAAGTTTTGTCCCAGGGGGGTGATTTTGTGAAGGGGCTACCCAGATGGTGCGCTCAGTTTTTGGGACATTATTTTGGTTTGAAAAGTTCGGGTGATAGTATGGTTTGACATAAAAAAATAAAAATTAATTCTTCAAATTCGAGAGAGAGGGAGAGAAAGAGCGAGAAAGAGAGAGAGAGAGAGTGAGAGAGAGAGAGAGAGAGAGAGAGAGAAAGAGAAAATTAATAGATAATAGAAAAAATCAACACAAAATACGCCCCACAAAAAATATAATTTTTACATCAGTTGATGGAAAGAGCGCGAGTGAGAGGGAGAGAGAGAGAGAGGGAGAGAGAGAGAGAGGGAGAGAGAGAGAGAGAGAGAAAGATCGAGAGAGCGAGATATACCTTACATTTCTATACTTGCAATGACCATCTTCATGCCTTGCCTTTAACTACAAAAAAACTAATTAAAAATAATGTCAAATTCCACCATGTTGCCCTTTCGCTTCCTTATTACGCGCTATAAACTAGAATTCGAAGAGCGAACGTGTCACCCTCTATTCGCACATAAATGATAATGAAGACCGGCGGGAACGTGCCCTTCCCCCCTTCTGAAGGCAATGACCAAAACAGAATACGGCTTCTTCATCGTCTCCCCCCATCAGCCCGCCTCCCTCGAAATTTGACTCGTAGTCAACTGAACCGTGTGCAGGGCCGAGAAGGCGGCTGAATATTCCCAGGGCGCAAATTTGAGTGTTTATTTGGGGAAGGGGGAACGGGCTCATTTTAGAGGTGCTAGAAAAAATTGGGGTTTCAAAAATTAGCTGTCTTCATTCCGGGGGACGCCTCTCTCCAAGGGCAAGACAAAAAATGTCAGAAAAAGCGGAATTAGCACGTTTTTTTGTGCTTTTTTCTAACCGGCAAACATTTAAAACGGTCATAGTTATATGGAATGCGGTTGAAAAAGGCGTTCCGCCGATCGGCAGCATTTTAAGAGGGGGGCTTTAAAGCAGCCGGTGTTGAGGGCCGTGGTGGGATTTGATGGATGGGATGGCACTCGTCGTTTCGGGGCCCTTCTCCCCCTCTACCCCCAGGCCGTCGTTGGCTGTCTGTTCAACCCGATATACCTCTAACCCACGTGTGATCAGGGCTCCCCCCCCCCCCCGCTTGTCTTTTCAAGCACTTCCCATGATAAACAGCAAAAATGCTGAAAAAAAGTTCTTTGACATCATCGGGGGGGGAAGGGGGGTTGTCGGTGTTTTTAGTGGTGTTTTTAGTACAAAAATGACAGGATTTCGACTAAAAGACTATCTAAAGCCTTTTTAACAAAATTAAAATTATTAAAACATAAAATAAAATATAACATATAGCATACAAATTATTAAAACATAAATTTTATAAATTTTTGTCAGATGGTAAAATTTTGCATAGCTTTCACGTTCAGGCTGAGTAGAAAGAATTATGAAAACTTTCGCTGTTAAAATAATTAATCAGACCTGAGGGAATTATAAACCAAAATTGGAACCTAAAAAAAGTTTGCGCCCCCCCCCCCCCCCCCCCGATAATGCCAAAGAACATTTTTCGAAAGATTTAAAATTTTTAAAGATGAAAACTTGAAGCAAAGGCGTCATCCACCTTTCCAAACAGCCGTTCGGATTTGGAGAGGTAGCCACTAAGCAAAGAATGCGGCCGATATCCGCCCGATGAAACATTGATGAAGCCAGGAAGAACCGCGTCTCACACTTCAGCTGTGTTCCCGCGAATCCCAAGCCGCCCCCGAATTCTCGGTATATTTTTTTGTCGATTTCAAGGGCTGAAGGGCCAAGGATTTTAAAATTAATCAGCGACCGTGGTCCCTGAGGATCGGGAAACCTTAAAAGTCAAGATTAAGACGTTTTTCTATTTCTTCCAATGAGTTTTTGTCGTAAGGAAACCGTAGGTTTTGCGGGATTGTAGGGTTTATGGGATTAGGTGAATGGCTGGGGATAATGGAGGGAATTTGAAGGTTGTAGATATGGATTGAAATTATTACAAAATTGAGATAAGAATATAAGGATGAGTGTCCGTTATCAAGTTTTTTTTAAAGACTTCCTTCCGCTCCCGAACCCCCACTGCCACTATAGATTTTTTTAGAGGCGACTTGTGAATAGGCTATAAAGCGTCGAGGCTACAGCTCGGCCCGGGGCCCAAGTGGTCATTTCTGAGCTTTCTCTGCGGGTTGACGGGCTAGCATGAGCCCTTCTTTCCCATTCGACGAAGACATGTAAACAGCCGTTCAAATGACAGGCCTTATTTTGAATGGTTTTTAGAGTTGTCCGGAGAACTTAAACAATTTTTGTTTTTGTAAATTTTTTGTAAATGCCTGTGTGGTAGAGTATTAAAAAATATAAGAAAAGAATTAATATCATTGCCAAAAAGGCAAATGAAAGGATTTATAGCAGAAAAGGCACGATAAACACGTTTTTCGGCCCAAAAATTTGTTTAAATTTAAATTTTATTTTAATATTAAAAATTGTATTTAATGTAAATGCAAATTAAAACAGGCAAACTTAACCTCTAGTAAATTTTTGAGGGCAAATACCCTAATTCCTAATTTCAGTCAAATCACACTCCCCTAATGATTTTCCCACTCCTTTTTGCCGATTACTAACGCTAACAACTTCGAAAACCTGGGAAATCGAGCCAGACAGACAAGACTCCAAGAGGTTCCCAAAAAACGCCCCGAATTGAAAATACCATCACATCCCACTGACCTACCCAATTTGCATAATTCCTAAAAAATCCAAATCCCAGCCCCCTGACCATCCTGTTAAAAACTCGACTAAATGGTGGTGTCTGGAGGCCCCAGCGGGAAAATAGCCAAAGTGGCTAATTAGGTTGGCGGGCGGCTGAAGGGCTAGTCCATAGTCCTCAAACATCGCAGATCTCTAGATTGTGTGGATTCTGCGGAATGGCTATCAGCCGGTGAATTCAGAAGACAGGATGGATTGAACCCTGTGGATGGCGGAGGATGGGGCTTCCGAAGCGTTACTTCTTTCAAAAAAGACGGTGCCCCAAATTCACTCGACGCGCTGTGCGTCCCCTTCTAGAAGAGATTTGCATTCGGAACAAGGTCAACGTTTCTGGGACGGGGACTGAAGCGAGATCCGCGGACAACGAGATTTGCAACGGGGAAGAGATGCTGATAGGCGGCATCTACCTTGCAGCGAATTTTTTTGGGATTCTGGGATTAAGGGATGCCCGACGGATAGAAAGGACAGAAGTAAAAAAATTTTGCAGCTACCAACGACGTAGTTTCGATAGACAAAAACGAAAATAAAGGGATTGAAAGGTACTTCCTCCCGAATGACGGCCAGCCAGCCATATGGATAATTTCCGGCCGGAAATCGGTTGCGATTCATGTTTTGAGTCGGAAAATGAAGAAAAATTGAGGAAGTGCACGTAATGCCGAAAAAATGTGTGCTTTTTTGAAAAACTTGAACTTGCGTTGAATAATATCCTTTTGAAAGATATTTAACTCTGAATTCTTTCTTTCTGAAAGCTAGCTTTTGACCATAGGCAAAGAAAAACACATTGTCTCTAAACTCATACAAATTCGTACTTGTAGGCACATTTGACTCAGTTAAAATATTTAATTAAGTTTAGAAACAAAAAAAATTACAATTTCAATAGATGTGTTAATGTATTTGTTGACTCTCTAAAGGAAATGAAAACAGGAAAACTAATTTTAGCATTCATTCGACGTACACAGCTAAAAACTCAAAATTAGGCTCAGAAGAAATAAAGTAATAGCCAAATGATATTAACCTTAAAAATGATTAAAAATTAAATCCGCAAAAGTAATTTAAAATTAAGCCTTTCTTTCTCCATGAAAAGTCTTGTAAGAGGGCCAGTGAAAGCTAAAATGACATTTTAAAAATTCCTTGAATTCATGAATCATAGTCTGGCTGGGATTGTTCCGGCCTCCAGAGTGAATTTGGGGTAGCGAAGAATCCATGACGGTTGTTCGTTTGGGCTATAATCCGGGGTGTCCATTGCTGCTCAAGGAAGGCTCTTTTCCATAGGCTCAGTGTGTTGTCATGGAATCTAGCCAGTAAAGGAAGGTTCTCACCCATATTTCCCTCTTTTATATATCTAAGAAAATGGCGGGATGAAGAAAAATCAGAAAATGCTCATCTCGTCATAATAACGTTCTGGGGTGTGGAATAACAAAGTTGTCTGGGGCATCAGGCAACAGGTGGCCTGCCCATGATTTTAGGGAAAACCGGCGAATTGCTTGGGTTTGGTTAGGCTCAGGCATGGGTTTAGGCTTCGGCTAAGGTTAGTCTTAGGCTTAGACTTCGGCTTAGGCTTGGGCTCAGGCTTAAACTTAGGCTTAGGCCTAGGCAAGAACAGAGTGGTGGGCTGACGAAGCAACTGATCGTAAATTCATATTTTATGACAAAGTAATAAAAATTCGAACTCAACTTTTCCGAACACCCTCCAAAACCCCAACCGCTAACGCCTTATTTGCATAATGTCGCGCATCAGCAGCCGCCCCAAAAACAAGTCGTCGAATTGAGAGAAGGGTCCTTTTTTAGGATGGGCCAAGTCACAAGGTGCCCCCCGGGGGCGACCCCCAAATCAAATCTCAAGCCGGCCGCGCATTTTCGAGGAGGCTTTAGCTCTTCGCCGGTTGGCCAGAAAACAGCGAAAGAAGGTGATGACGGCCCTTGAACGGCTAGGCTCTGACCTCATGCCCGGTAAGTTGTTATGTCGGCTATAGACAGAGGGGCTTAGGGGTAAATTGCGCATTAAAGAAGGGGGTGATGGTGGATTATTGCGAAGATCAGTTTTCACTACATGCGCTGGAAGGATTTAAACAAGAATAAAAATATCAGGACGAACCGCATCCTTTTTCACGACTTGTAGATCATTAATATACCTTTTATTCTATCTAATCTTTCTCTGTGCTGCTAATGCTAGATAGAATACAGGGTGCGGAGAAAGTTTTCGGCGGGGTAAATAACTCCGTTGCTCGCAACCTAGAGGCGTTATTCCGATTTTTTGGATTCGAGGCTGGATAGTGAAAACTCATGCATCATATTTCACGACTGGATTACCCAAATTCAAAGATTTTACCCGATTAGAACGACCGAAAAGATCTTCTTAGAACCGCCCCCCGGCACGCTGCTGTTTCGTTGATGTTACAGTATCCCCTGTGAGCTATCCTTGGTCAAAAAGCATAAAATTTTGCAGAAATGTTGCCAAACCTGTGGTCTATCTTCCCACAAAATCTCAAGAAATTTTGATTCAATTCCAAGGAGTTATGACGCTTCTAATTTTGGTGAATTTTTGGGCCAGACGGGAAATCTCCTGCCAGTAGTCACAAAATCCGAAGAGAACGGCCTTGCTAATGGGACTTAGCGTACGGTTATTCTTAATCGACACCCCTTAAGCTAAAAAAGTAAAACGATGCTTGAAACCAGCGCTGGAAACGGCTTTTAGGCTGTGCTGAACATTCTAAAGCCTTGGCACGCTGCCGCTTTTCAGCCAAATCAGCTGAGAATTCAGCCATGTCTGTTGACAAAGCAATAATATTGATATGAAATAATGCTAAGGGGTTGTTCTTTATAATCCGTAAGCTCGGAAGCCTGGTAGTCTCCTACGGAAAATTTTAACCGCGCTTTCTACATCGGCCAAATGATGGCCATTTTAGAAACTCGCCTGCGCATCGGTGTTCCGAGCTCGGTTATTTTAGTAGAGCACTTATCAATAAATCTTTGGTTCGTGAAATCGGATGAGAATTGTCCCAATCTATCATGACACCACAAAAAATGTAGTTGAAACGCTCATCTTGACAAGTCTTTTTCATAAAAGGTGCGCCGCCGAAAACTTTTTCCGCACCCTGTAAAACGTAGGGGCAAGGAGTGACCCAGAGATCATTGAGCGAGAATCCGGGGAGTTGCTTCTCGCTCTCCTGAAGAGCCCGCGCCTGAAATCAAATCCGCCCAACGGGCTGAGTGAGAGCCGCAGCTTTTATCGCACCAGGTTAACAAAATCCACATTCTCAAAAGGAGCTAGAACTTTTTAAAAGTAATCTTTGAACAGAAATTTTTTGGAATAATCTATTCGCGGTTATGACGAATCTAGAGTTATGTGGATGTGAAAGAAAAACTTTCGCCTTTTCAGGACCTGCTAGCTTCTTTAACGACCTGAAATCAAATCTATGCGCAAAAGTTTAGGCTCCATTCAAGCCTGGTTAGGCAGTCAGGCAGTCTTACGCACCATTTTTAAAGTGCGAAAACTTTTACATGACTTAATGATACCCATTCCATTCTAAAGTAAGGCTCATCCCCCTCTTAACCGTGTTTTCATTATATATAAATTTATTTCTCTCTTTGTACAAGATACCAGTAGAGTTCTAGCAATACACAAACTTGCGGAAAGGTGTGTGTTTTGAAGCCGGTCGGGTGGCATAGAATCTCGAAGATATACTGATGCGCATGGGGCCAATCGAGCATATGAGATCACAGCGAAAGCGCAAAAGGGTTTGTTTTAGAATCTGTTTTGGTCTAATCGAAAATTGTATAGATATATTTGCGGCTTGGCGGGACGCGTCGACCAAGCTCGTCGAGTTCACCGCCTTCGCTGTCCTCTTCTGAGCCTTCTTCGTCGTCATATGAATATTCTGATTCCCATTCGCCTTCAAAATGTAGGTGATGCAAATTAAGATTTTGAAAAAGTCCATTATTTTTCTAGTTGCATTATTTTTTTTTCTATTGTTTTCAATTATACGAAATTTCCATTACGAGTATATAGACGACGCGGAAGTGTTATTCCGCAAAAATGAAATGGTGTGCCAATAGTAATTCTTTTCCCACCTTCTTCACCAACATTCGGCTGATCGTATACCCGATTTCCGGTCTGCACAAATTTATCTGCTTTTGACGGGTACGTTTGCGTAATCCTAAGAAAAAAAGCCTTCCAATGAATCGACTTTACTACCTATTAACCATTCGGCTCTTTTGGCGCCATCTCTCGCGTAGCATGCTCATTTTGTGCTCATCCATAGCAATGAATACAAGTCGATCTTGGAGGGGCTGTGAGTCGCAGAGCCTAGAGACGCGTCGCAATACAGCGGAAAACCAAACCTTTTAATGCCCTCGTACTCATCAGTAATGATGCTCATTGTCGCCACATTTTGATCGATTTGCTTGATGCGATATTGGGCATCAATCGATCGAATGAGTCGATCAAATACAAGCCGTACTTTGCTCTATAAGAGAAACGGCATAAAAATATTTTAATAAAGCTTACCTGTATGATAGCAATACTCAAACCGACCACCGAAAGCCCGACAAGCGTCATGAATAGTTGGAACATGATAAATTTTGGGGATTTTGTGACGACGTCACCGAGTCCTGTGGAGGCTGAGTTTTACAGAAAAGTTTCAGGAACTACCGATAGTGGTGAGGGATGTAAAGAAGAAGTAAAAGGCAGTAAAGTACGTCCAGTCATACTCCCATAATCGTACCACCCACGCAGAGAAGCAGATCCACATGATGAAGAAGATGAGGGCTGACTAAAAAAGGAAGAGGTGATAGTTAAATAGTTAAAAACTTACCTTTAAGGGAACGGTCTTAATCTGCTCTTGCTCACTCAATACCACATCTAGGGCTTGAAGTGGCTTGTTGGATTCGATCTAAAAATTCTGTTTACTCAATTTCGGTCTACAACCTACATGATGATCAGTATTATTCACGAGCTCCCTATTAGCCGTATGCACCGAAAGTAGCGGCATCGTCGACGTCGACCTTAACGATAATTCACTGCCAACCCGGCGCACACGCTCATTCCGAATTTTTCGCTCATTGTCACGCGCCATGCGACTAGAAATGGTTTCAAGTTTAAGGTTTTGGCTTAGCCATAAATTCAGATATTTGACGAACCCACCTCCTGCAGAACTTCTGGTTCATATGATTCCAAAAATATTCGATCCAGGTGAAGTAGAGGAAGCCCCAATCGAGCAGAATGGTGAAAACCAATGGGATGCCGACAAATGCGTATAACATCGACACGATTCGGCCGGTGGTTGTTTGTGGGAAGTAGTTACCGTAGCCTGAAAGGGGCGTATTGATGCTAACTGCGGATTTGGTCGACTTACCGATTGTCGTGTACAAACTAGCCGAATAATAAATTCCTCCAAATATATCCCATTTTGTGTCTTCCATCACTGGCTCGGTGATAGTGATTCCCATCTTTTCCTCATACCTAAAATTGGTAAATTTTACTTTTTGGTAACTACCATTCAAGAGCTTCTCGAACTAGCGCCTTCCCCGCTTCATCCGGTCCTAACCCTCTCTTTGCTGCATAATTATCTAGATCGTTTTCAACATTCCGGAATCTAAAAATTACGGAATTAAAATACTTTCGTCATTACCTCTGAAAAATTTCATCTTGAAACGACGGCCTCTTATCCCAGATATCTTTTTGACGTCGGAATTCTTGGAGTAGAAGCGTTCGATCGTTACCACCTAGAATCAGGAGATTTTTCGGAAGACACGAATGGCATTGCCAAAAACGCTATTTTTACTTACCTTCAATAGCACTGAAAAGCAGCCCTCCAAAAACAGACCAAACGAATAAAACTAAAATCCAGAGCATGTGCCGCCAAAAAGTTCTAAAAATATAACGATTAAAAAATTTAAGGAGAATGTACGCACCTTTTCATACTTTCATCCTCTATCGCTTTTAAATCTGGAGGTGGCGGTTCGGATTCGGATGCTACCGATGGAGCCTAGGATCGAAGATTTTAGCACCGGTCGTTCACCCAACCTTTTCCTTCCTTCTCCGTCTTCTCTTCTTCTTTTTCTCTTCCCCATTTTTGTCGTTTTTGACCTTGTTGATGTTGGGGAGGCTTTTGGAGACATTTTGGACAACTGCAAGCACTCCTCCTTCAACCATCGACATCGGACGGTCTGAACACAAAGAGGGGTGTCAACAGGAGGATCTAGAGGTGGCAAGCGGGGAGTTAATGCAAATCACAAAAATCAGGATATTAAAGGGTATCATACTTTTTGGGTCTGATTTAGCACTTCCTTGTCCCTTTAATATCCTCTATTCCTCGTTAGGCAGATATAATTGTTAATTTATGAGAAGTGGAAAGCATCCACTACAAACAGGACGGACCTCCACGACACACGTACCGGCTCTCAAGCCCCCGGGCTTTTTCTCGGGCTCTGTGCTTTTACTCCGGGTCTTTGCTTCATTATTTGCCGCTTTGATCTGGAGGATTAGCCTTTATGTAGAAATTTTAGAGTTTGTGCCTTACCTTTGCGATTTTTCGTTCTGACATTTTCCGAGAGAGCTTGTGGCTGAAAATTGGGGCTTGTGCAGATCGAAAAAAATTGAAGGTGATGTGTGGAAGGAAAAGGTGAGAATGAGTGAGAAAGATGAAATGCATTAAAGGGCATAGAGTTTTAAATGTCTTTAAAATTAAAAAAGCAAAGTTTTCTTTAAAGATCATTTCAAACTCATAATTTTTGCACCGTGGTGACACTGGAAGGCAAACGGGTTCTGGGTCGTTAGGGAGGGGAGGGGGGTATCTGGAGGAAGCGTTTTTTGTGAATAGTTTCTTTTATTTTAAATTACATTAATGTGAGCTGTATATAAAATATTATTATATTTTTGGTGTTCTATCCAATAGCTCTAACAGAATTTTTTTGATGCTCTACCGGGTCGCGAAGAGGCAGTCCCCGAAAAACAGTGAAATATTGAAAAATCCACGACCTTAACCCCCCCGCTAAGGAACTAGCGCTGGGAAGGGGGGTCCGAACAGGGTCAAATCTCCAAAAACATTGTCAAAGCTTCAAGTAAGCTGAAGAGCTCCAAGAAAACTTCCAAAATACCTTGATCACCGTTACCTAGACGAAGATCAATAAGAGAGACCGCCACAGGGGGAAGCTTGTGAAGAACATTGGTGCTCACGAGGAAGCATAACCCCCGACCGGAGGCCCCCATTCCTTCTTGCCTCTATGGCGTTGTCTTTGTCTATTGTCTATCTCTCTCCCCCTCTCTATCTTTTTTCTCTCCCTTACTCTCTTTCACAATTTTTGTAACACGTCGTGGCAGAGGTGGGGAGGGCCTCCTGCTAGAGGCTGCTGCTCAGGGCGCCCTCTGCCCCAGTCAGTCAACCAGTCAGTTGGGTCGCTCTTGCTCCTCTCAACACATTCTCCTCCCCTCCCCTTCTTGCGGTATCGCGTTGAAAGAGGGTCGGGTATCACGCCCTAAACGTGACAGAACAACACTCGCCACCTGTAGGGGGAAGCTGGTGCATGAGCTACAAAAAATGGGGATGTCACTTTTTCGGAAGTGACGGTGGCAGGGGAGAGGAATGGTTTTGAAGGTATGAGCAAGTGACATCCATGGATTTTGAAGTTATGGATCTGGTGAAGTTCTCTTCAAGGCGCCAAGCAGCGTGAGCGTCACGTGGCGCGGCGCGGAAAAATTCAAATTCAGAGATGTCCATAATCAAAAAAATTCATAATCTTGGCTTCTACGTTCCTTTAAAACAACCTGCAAGCAAGAAACGTGTCTGAAAAAACCCGAGTTTTGAACATAACGACAAAAATGTAGTGGCCTTGTCGCAATAATGGTACGAAGTCGTCTAAAACCAAATTTACAATAAAATTATACACCCTGAGAGGGATATTCCGATCACGAAAATTACAAATATTCCGAAATCTTCCAAATCGGTAATCAGAATTTGCAAAACGTCGCGTACCAGGACTTTATGAGCCTTTAAAATCGATAAAACACGTACTTTTTCAAGCAGCTTTACAGCGGCGTATGCAAATCCAGCAGAAAATTTTCTATACTATCAATTATACCAATTCTAAAAGGCTTTTTTTGTTACAATTATCTAGGCTTAACCCCCGAAGCTATCCGTCACAAAATCAGCTGATACATCCGCTTTTTTCGTCAGCCCAACCGAGCTGACGCCCCATTTGCTCCGGCGGGTCGTTTCGGGTTGGTACGAGGGGGGTATTTGTGTGTAATCGTAGGGGATGGCCAAAAGGCGAGCAATACCGCCGAACAGCTGAAATTTACGACGAGCCGGGACAAGCTCGTCCGCTCCTTCGTCCTCCGGCTCATTTGGCGCCTTTTCCGGCCAGGAGGCGGCCACCGCATTTCCGGTGGTACGATTTTTGCGTGATTTTTTGGGGTGTGGAAATTTCGATTTTGGGCATAAGTTAATTTTTGTCGTAAGGTACAGTATTCCATTATTTCGAATACTACAGCTTCCAGCCAAGAAAAAATGCCGAAGTTTTCTAAAGTGGCCGGTTATTTTTGACGGAGGGATAGATATTTCGTTTTTTGGCATAGTTTACTTTTTTTGTGCTAGTTAAAATACTTCTTCAATTCCAGAAATTAATGTAAATAACCTTAAATAACAAAAAAATTCTTATTATTTACTCACTCTAAAAATTATTCCCAAAATTCCCATGTTTTTGCATGCGCCAAAAATCCCTTGCAAATGTGTGTGTCGTCTGGATTTCGCTTCCCTCCACTCCAACCCCTGACACAATGACCATTTTTCGTAGCCGGCTGGGAGGCTCTAAATATAGTATCAAACGCGAGCTCCGATCATTTCCTGTCAATTTCCGGGAGGTCATTTTTGGGAGCTGGTGGTGTTCATCGTGAATCCGTCTTCAGACGCCATCCCCACCTTCCCCCCTGCCAGGACATCCCAATTATGACGGACGAGGGCTCGAGGGGGGCGAGCCATTTCCCGAAAATTGGTGGCTTTCCTTCCCTGTCTCCCTTGGTCTTGCCACCCGACGGCGTTGTTTCTTTTCCGGCTCTGAAGGCATCTGGCACACATGGGCTGTGGCGCCCTTTGATCGCCTTTTTTATAGCTACCCCCCATCATTGGTGGCGGTCGGTCAAAGTTTCGGCGGATGTGCTCAAAGCCTCGCGGGGCTCATCGTTATTTGTATGGTGGTGTACTTGGTGGGGGTATTTTTGGAAGTAGAGAATGTTTTGAAACGATGTTTTTTTAACTAACATGGTTTTAGATGGTACCGTATTTCCGATAAGGTGACCCTGGGGTTATATTTTTTCGAGTTTTTCAAGTTTGTTTTTCGCTATTCTGAACGATCACATCGATGCCTGGTAGCTCAAACACTGGTGATTCTCTGACCGGATGTCTTAAATTCGAGCTTTGACAGGCGTTTTTTTTTTAAATACAGTAATCGTTGAGAAGTTCTTCGCACTGCTTTAGAACTTCAAGCTCTATCGAATGAGCTCTCTCGTAGCGAAACTGGTTCTGGTTCTTTAGCGGGGGGGGGGTGGTGGTGAATGTCTTAAATCTTTCATATTTTCATTAATTTTTGGACTACATCGCGACCCGGTATTTATCGGGATTTTCGATATTTTTCGACGTTCTGTTAACGCTATTCAATAGAGCATCAAAAATATACCCATAGTTTGATATACAGCTCCAAATAATGTAATTTAAGGTCAGAAAAGCTATTGACAAAAAATGGCCCCCGTTAACGAATCAGCACCCTGGAACACCATTATTAAGTAACAACGACCGTAAAATATACAGAACTCCGGCTCTATAATTTTTGCCTGTTATAATGACTTAAGCCGAGTGCGATATTTCCCCAGTAGACCCTTCTCCTTAAAACCCCTTTAATTGCACATTTCACAACCCCCAATAATTTTACACAGACCCCAGCCTTCATTCTCTGGTCCCACAAAACATTTAATTTCGATTTAGTCAAAGATCTCCGCTAACAAGCGTTCGTAGATTCCACACATTTCTCCTCTCCTATTGTCTCATCCTCCCGTTCGTTAAACCCATATATCATTCGGCCCATTTCCGAAGAAATCCAGTGATGTGAGACAAAATCATCTATTTAGCGAGCTATTGTGCGGTGCGCAAAAGAGCTAAATTATCCGCGATGAGCCCCGGGGTTTGCGGCTGGGAGAATGTGTGACGAGGTGACAGATCGCATGTTTTTCTACGCGACCATCGGCATTTTATTCTGTTATACACTGTTGTTGATCGGATTCTTTATGGGGTGGTGTACGCTGATACCTTCTAAGTAAGTTTTAAAGCGCAAAATGGCCAAAAAGTTATGTTTTAGATTCCACTCTCAAAAGGAATTGCCTTTTGCCTCTATTAGATCGCCACGAAGAAATACACGACTCTCCGGGATTGAGTCAATTTCATCAAGGTTTGATTTTCTTATTTAAACATTAATTTAGTTTTGCATTTTTTAATCTAAATTACTTTTTCAGCACTTCCCTAGAGATTGTTAGAGGACTTACACAAGAACGATCTGCAATGCAAAAGGTTATACATTTTAGAGTTCTCTGTAATTTCCTATTTACTACAGAAGTGTTCCCTCCCAGTACCACTTCGTGAAAATCGTTTAATTGATGATTATCTACATCCAAAATATTCCCTGCCTCCACGAAATATTGATGTCCTGCAACGAACCGTAGGTTTTTATTTTATTTTTTTGTTCAAAAATTGGTTTCCATATAACCCCCATGAATTTTCAGTGGGAGTACGACGCATTCCTCCGGGTTCCGGCCAAACCCAGCCGCTCCGAGTCGATCCCGTGCGAAGCGCGCATCGAGCGGCTGCGCCAAAAAGTGTCCGAGTGCCGGATACAGATTGATGAACATTCGGTGTTAATTTAACCCGAGAAATCGGGAGTCAATACGGGTATTTCTCGATTAACGGATTACTGGAATAAACATGTATCTAGAATTTGAAGTCGATAGATACACATTTCATACCGTATTTCCGTTAATAAAGACACAGACTTTCGATTTAGTTCAGTGCAAGATACCGAAAATTGGGGCTGTTAATTGATTTTGAGCAACTCAATCAAATTTTACTACCTGTAAATTAATCACAACTATTAATAATGCTGCACTATGCATTTTTAAATCGTTTTTAAGTTTGTAGATAATTTAGATAATTGAAATACAGTTAAATGTTGCTAAAACACTATCAAAATACCTACTAGGTTGTTCCATAATTAAACAAAACATTTGGGTATTTAGAAAAAAACCTACTAACTAACGTTTATACTAGAAGGTGGATTATATTAAACAAAATAAAGTACTACAGATCACATCCAAAGAAAACATTTCACTCAAAAAATAAACAATCCACTAGCAAAGTGCAGCCACCAGAGGCACTAACTTTTCCCTCTCACTTTCCATCACTGTCCACTATCCTCAACTCCCGATGACCCATAATCGACACGACCGAACCCGGGATTCCGGTTTCCGCTAGGGCCCCCCACGAAATCGGCCTCGTGCCGGACTATGGAAATTGCCCGGACACCGTGAGGGAAAACAGTCCCGCTTCCCCCTCACATCACCAAATAGCTCTTTCGATTTCTCAATTTCTAAAGCTAGCGCTATGCTACGATTATTTTTGTTGCTAATTCTTTGCGTCATCACTTCCGGCCAATTATGGGGCGGTTACTACAATAGCTATGGGAGTTGGCCATCTGGGGCTTACGGTAGGTCCTTGACTTTTCTTAGCAAGAAGACAGAGGTTCTGAACTCTTGGCGCGCGGGGGGTCTAGCTGGGAAGCCAATTTTCGCCCTCACTCCGTAAAGTCCCAATACTGAAAAACTCACTATTTATCAAGCTTTCTCTTTCATTTTTAAGTACAGAAAACTCATCCAAAATAGCTTAATATTATTTTTTGTTAAAAATGTATCAAAATGCTCAAATCTTCAAAAATTCAAAAATTTCTAAAAATTTGTATGACCTTTTAGTAATCAAAAATTACAAAACACTCTAAAAATGCTTTAAAAAGCCAAAAAAATCCATTAGGTAGATATAGACTAGATACCACCTTCCCCTTATCTGTCCAGAACCATAACAGAATTTTCAAGGATGGCCTCGCTCATACGGAATATATGGTACAAAACTTCTGAAATTTTCTTCATATGATTTTTTTAGTAATAAAAAACTACTAAAAACAATAGAAAGTGCAAAACAAATCTGCTAGGTAGGTTTAGGCTAGATAGCGCATCCTCCCCGTTAGCAATCCAGAACCAAAACGGAATTTTCAAGGTTATCCTGGCTCCTATGGAATGTACGGCAATAGCCTCTACGGAGGAACTGGAATGTACGGCGGTGGACTTGGCGGAATGTATGGTGGCGGCTTCGGTGGACTTGGCGGGCTTGGCGGAATGTACGGAAGCAGCCTCGGTGGGAATGGAATGTGGATGGGGGGGCGCCGGAAACGATGAGCGGCAACTTCGACCAATTTCCCCGTCTCAGGGACTTTGATTTATGTACCCCCGCCATGTGCGAGAACTTTGACAATGGATAAAAACCCTCACATAACCAAACTTTATTCGAAAACCGTAAATGAGATGAGCATCACCTGTGAAACAGTGCACGTAAACGCAACCAATCGCTAACATGATTCAGGATTTCTTTTTCTTGCCCGATCCGCCAGCCGCATCAGGGTCCATCAGACGATTTTGGGCTTCGGCTATAAAAAAAGATAGTTTCGAATAATTTAAGGCAGCGAGCGAAAAGTTTCGAATTGGAAAATCAAAATAGCGATACAAAAATAAAATAATTCTTTATTTCGGATAAAATTACCTAGTTTGTCGTAGAAACAATCCTCCGGGAAGATGGACGGGTCATAGATGTCCTTGCGGAAGTTCGTTCCCAACTCGTTAATTCGAAACCTAAGAAATCGAGTTCCATTTGCAAAGCAAAAACCCACTTTTCTTTGATGATAACATAGCCACTGGGATTTGTGAAGGTGCGGTTGTTGAAAAGCTTTTGGTTTATGTTGAACCCCTCGGCCTTGCGCTCGAAAAGTTGAGCAAACTTTGCCTAAATCCAAAAATTTGGGAAACAAAACAAAAGCAACCTCAACTTCCGGATCGGCTTCACCTTCGGCGTCGGAAGGCAACTCAATCGGTTCGTCGGGCTTTAAGAAAACATATAAATCCAATAAAGTATTTTGAACCTGTTCATATTTTGGCGAGTCAACTTGCTCCTGCGTGTTAGTGGGCATAGGGCTAGCCGAACCGTCGTCCGTCTAAATTACGGATTTTAAAAGTCTAAAGCCTAATTAATACCTGATATCCTTGAGTAATCGCCTGTTCCCCGGCAGCCAAAAGACATTCCACTAAATCTTCATCGTCTGACTAAAAGAAATTTGGAATAAGAAGAATCCCTGCATTTTCTTTACCTTCCGAGCAGGAGGCCGCGGTTCGCGTCTTTCATCGCTATTCCTTGAATAATCGCTACCCGCACTCGAGCTCTGTGTAGATCCAGTCCTCATATCTTCATCTGCATGCTCTAAAAACCAAAATAACTTCACAAAAGTAAAGCCAACCTTTGTCGTATCTCGTAAATGAATCTTCCTCTCCATGATAATCGGCCAGGGACAACAAGCTCGATACCTAACAAAGAATTATTATATACAATTTAGAAACTTACCTTGGGCATGGCATTCCCTATTATTGGCTCGCCACGTTGATTGATAGAGGGAGCAGCCTGCGGCTTCTTATTGAAGTCCCAAGACGAAGCTGAAAAAAAAAGAAAAATGGAGCCCAAAAACTATCTTACATGCACGAGCCGAATCGGGGGTGAATTTTTCTTTGATGCCACCAACGTTGAATGCATCGTCGTCCTCTAAAGTGAAAAATTAAAACCTATGCGTCATTTTCTGTAAAACCAACCTCCCCAGATGTCAGACTCCTTTCGGCCCACTTTGATCGGTGGTGGAGAGCCAACAAATGAGTCGGACCTATTTGACCTAGCGGACCCTAAAACATCGGTAACTTTCAAGCTATGATGCATACCAGATTTGGGAGTATTCTCGGAATCCGAATCGCCGTCATCACCACCCGCATAGGCAACCAGAGATGGGAGAGCCATCCTGAGACCTGGAATGAAGATATTGCCATCAAAACATAATTCAAACAATGTCTATGAACTTTGAAAGGTCTAGCATTCGAGCAAGGTAAGGTACAATGGATTGGAAGGTCGAGTTTTGGCCTATTTGGTCGAAAATAGCTCTCAACCGGAAGCTAACTTTGATGTATTTGTCAGAAGTGTTAGAAATCGTCGAAAGTTGATCATAAGTCAGGAAAATGTAAATTCATACTTACGAAAATAGTGTCTTTACAGTTTAAAATCACGAAAGCAATTTTTTTAGAAAGGCGACGCCAAATTCCGTCTGGATACGGCTGTACCTATAGGAGTCATGAGTAGCGGAACGGAACGGAATTGCAGCGCCATTTTCGCCAAATTTTCTTTCCTCGGATTGTTTTTATTTTTTTTTTTGATAGTAATTGAAAAAACCCCTTGAAAATCCCGGAAATGCACCAATATTGCCATGTCTACATTTTTTTTCAATGTCCTTCAAATAAAATGCCGTAACCGATTCTTTCGACACCCTCCCAGACTCGTATTTGGGCCAATGATGTGCAGGCTGGGCGCTACTATCCCCAGGGGCCGTTCCAACCCAATCGATGCACCCTCCACTCCCCCAATCTGACCCCGTAAAAAGGATTTGAACCAGCGCCAACCCCTTATCCTTCAATTCGTTGCTTGCCCATCTGTCACACAACCATTGTCCCATTATTTTAGCCACAATCGAAGATCGTTGCCCATCCTCTCTAGAAAAATAATCCACCCCCCTCTCCACGAACCAACCGCGCTTTATTTGCTTTCTGGTTGTTGTCATGATTCTTCGATCTTTGTCAATTTAGACGACCACAATGTCCGACGATCTTGTTCAAGAAACTCTGAAGCGTACCCATGATGATACTAACGGACCGGCCACCAAGCGAGCCCACATCCACAATCCCGATGATGACGGTGAGCATTTTGAATGTGTACACGATTACGAAGTTGATAAGCTTTGTTTGCTGCGTTTTGAACATCAATCTATTTTAGACAGCGTCCAAGTAAAGGTGCTGATTCCATCCTCGGCCGTCGGTGCGATCATCGGAAAGGGAGGAGAAACGATGCGCAACCTGAAGAACGACAGCAAGTGCCGCGTACAAATGAGCCGAAACCAAGACACGTATCCGGGTATAAAAGGCTTTCCGTTTGCAAAATTTATGTATTTTAGGAACGAACGAGCGAATCTGCTTGGTCAAAGGCAAGGTCAGCCAAGTGATGATGGTCGTCGAGGCGCTCACAGAGAAGATCCGCGAAAAGGTTGAAGGATCTGTTCGCGACCCCTTCGACCACAAGGATGTCCCTCGTGCTCAAGAAGTGAAGCTGCTCATGCCGAACACTTCCGCTGGAATGGTCATTGGAAAGGCCGGTGCGAGTATCAAGGAAATCCGTGAAGGTTCCGGATGTCAAATTCAGGTATACAAGTTTCAACAAGATTCTTTAATATATTCATTTTAGGTCTTCCCGAAAGCCGGCAGCGTTGAGGCGAAAAACTCCCTGGAACGTGTCGTTACGGTTGCCCATGAAGACACCGAGGTTAAACATCAAAGTTTTTCGGGAAACGCTTTTTTTAGAAACTGATGGAGGCCGTTCAAAAGGTCCTGGAAAAGGTTGCCGCTGACCCGATGCACGCCCAATATACCGAGAAAGAGCACGACACTTTCAGCTCGGTTTGTGATATAGTCCATTCCGCAAATCCATTTTAGGGAGGCGGAACTGGAGCCAACAGCTTCTCCAGCCAAGCGCAGCCTGGGTTCAACTCTAGCAAGTTCAATGGTTCATCGTCCAGCGCGAGTTACCAATTCAACCCGATGCAGAACCTTGGAAACACCGAGGTTTTTAATTTTATGGTTTCTAATGTTCAAATTTGTAGCTATTGCAATTCCTGGACAGCCTGCAATCTACCCTTCGCTCGTCCGGCTTCAATGAGGCTGCCGTGGCTGAGGTCATGCAAGCCATGCAGGTATACATCAACTATTTTTCGTCAATGATTATCTGTTTAGATTTTGGCCAAGTATAACATCATGGGCCTTGGCCTTGGACTCGGCGTTGCTGCTATGGCTCAAATGAGGGGCGGCACTGAAGGCGGTGGCTTCTCGCAGTCGAATGCTTTTGGTGGAAGCAACAACACCTTGGATCAATCCTTCAACACCAGCCACGGGGTGAGGATTGGCAATCGTCATAACCTATCCTCAATTTAGGGCCAAGCCGGCGGCCAATGCTGGGGATACAGTGCCTCTCAGATGGGGCAGCAACAAAATACGGTAACTTTTTAGCCCTGCTTACTATATAGGCACAATGGGCTGGAGAAACTCGATTTAGACGCTTGCTCGTTTGAGTAACGTAGAGGCAGGCGGTCATGCCGCAACGGTCATGAACAAGATCGATGGGAGAGAGGAGAATCAGCTCGACATAGAGGTATGCAAACGGTGTCGACCGCCTTCCGTCCTCTGTTTTTCGCGGTTATTCACGACCGCGGTGCATCTTCCTTGGCCTTATTGGCACATGCAGCGTGGTGGTCGTGGATAGCCGGCTCTCTTCTGGTGGTTGTAGCTCGATCTCTCATTTCGTGGTGTATGGCGCTTGCTAGTACTCCTAAAATTTCGTTTTCCAGTTTTCAGCGATTAACTATTCCATTCGAGCTACAGCCCTAGGATTCTCTTTCTCTACTTGAATTCGGGACATACTTTTTCTTTTCGTTTGACTCGTCGTCTTTGGTCGGCCTATTCGTTTGACTTTTTGAACTCGTTGTCCCGAATTCTATAATCTTTCTCTATTTCTTTCCTTCATCCTCCCTTCTAGGTTCCGGACTCATGCGTTGGCGCCATTCTCGGCACGAGGGCCCGCACCCTCATTGACATCCAACAGCAGAGTGGCGCTAAAATCACCGTGCACAAGCGCGGGGAGGAGCCCTTCCCTCTTCACGATGGCTTGCGTCTTATTAGGTGCCTCTTTTGATTTCATTCATACAATTCATACAACTTATCTCTCCCAGATCTCGTTTCTGGCGACACCGTTTGCATACAGTAGGAAACAAAAGAGCAGAATCCTCTCTTGTTTTGGGTTTTTCGAACGTTCACTTTCAGTCTAACTGGCGATCCTGAACAGCGACGCGCCGGACGTTTGCTTATTGAACGTGTAATCAACGATAACTTCAATCGTCGTCAAGTCTCTTAAGACCGATAATCGGTCTCACTCTGTGTCATTTCCTTGTTAGTTTGATCTGCCCATTCCCCCGTGTACCCTTCTCTCTCTACTCGCCGAAACGAAGTCCCTTTTGCCGATACTCACAAATTCCTACATTCAGATTGGAAAAGACCCTGTGGCCTTTTCCATGACCTCCATCCCCTTCCCAAACCCATCCCTCCTTCCCCCCTTGTTACCAGCCCAGCCCTTTTCTTATTTTCTACTTTGTTACTTTGACACTTTGACACTTCTTTTCACGGCAAATAAAGTCTCTGTATCTATCTCGCTCCTACCAACTCTCAGGTACCAAATTCACTCCAGAATCAATCCAAGAAGACATCGAATTTTTGCATTTCTGTTGTGGTCGTATAGCCCGGTATCCATTGGCGGCTGTCTTACACTGAAACGGGGCTATTTTGAAGAGACAGCGTCTGGCATCCATTGTTTGCTAAGCTCAAGCCAGCCTGGGTGTTTTTCTTTCTATCAAATCATTTCCATACAGCCACAAAGATGCTCGGGACTCATTTTCTTTTCGTGTTCTCCGGTCTCTGACGGATTCCCCGGATTAAGCCATCAGTTCCAGGTATGGCAGACGCAGCGAGGATCGCGGAAGCGGCACAATGTGAACGGAAAGCAGCTGAATGGTGCCAATCAGTCTACTTTCTGATGACGCGTCTATTTTAGTCTGAAGACGTCAATGATCAAATTGAAGTTCAACCCCGACTATGATGGAGCGGCAACAGCGTTGGAACGAGCATCCGTCTGCTATCGAAATGCCCAGAAGCATCTTCAGGTATGGCGTTGCCGGATATCTTGTAAAAGTGATATAGGCTTCGAAAGCACTCCAGGAAGCAGCAGGCCACTATGAAATGTGTAACAACAAATTCCATGCTGCCAAGTGAGAGATTTTCCAATATTTTTGGACCTGTTTTTTAGAGCTCGTGAAAATGCAGCAATGTTGTTGCGAGATGCCGGTGACACCAGCGGTGCTTTCCCACTTTTTGTGCAGGCGATTAATGGGTTGGTTCTTGATTACGGGCGATATTGGCAATTTTTTTTAGTTATGCCGAATGTGGTAACCTCGACACGGCGGCTCTTTCTATTGATCGGGCTGTGAAAGTTATTGAGCGGGATGATCCAAAGAAGGCTATCGAGGTCGGTTCCTCTTTGGCTCGTTTTCAACTTTGTTTCTTTTTAGCTCTATGAGCGGGGCCTCGAACTTGTCCAATCGTGTGATCGAACAAAGCAGGCTGGCGAATTCCTCTCCGGTATCACCAAATTGAGTCTTAGGTACGAGCTCAGTAGTTTCGCAAAAACCGATTTTTAGGCTCGAAGACTACTCGTCGGCTTTGCGGGCCATTCGCCGCGAAATTGAGGCGTATGCCGATGTGAAAGTAAGAGCAGATGACGTTTTTTATACGACTCTTTTAGGAATACTTGCGCATTGGACAGCTGGCGATCGGGGCTGTTCTGATTCAGTTGGCAAGAGGGGATAGTGTGGCAGCCTTGAAAGAATACGGCTGGGCCATTCAGTGAGTGTTTTCTCATTTGGTTGCCATCTGAATCTCGAATTTACTTTCAATTTTATCCATTTTTTTCAGACAATGCCCTGACTTCGAACATACGGATGATGCATCGGCTTGCCAAAGCCTTATCGCCTCGTATGAATCTGGCGATGATGCGAATTTCCAGAATGCACTCAAACGAGGAAGTGTGAGATCGATGGATAATGAGGTTGGCTTGATGCCCAGGGTTTAAATTGTTTTTTCAGTTTTTGCGCCTTCAAAAGAGGTTGAAAGCTCCAACAGTCGAAGGAGGGGCTGCCGGGGGAGCTGGATCTGCGGAGGAAGAAGAGGACCTTCGCTAAACAATTGCTTGAATAGAATAGCTTTTTTCCAGTGACATCATGTGATTGTTTGTGGATCTCTAGCCATTTGTATGTATTTTGGTCGCATTGCCATAATGATTTCACTTGTATTTACACAATGACCTTTTGCCAATAAATTATTTAGCCTTAACCGTTTGTAAGCATTTCATGCATGAGCACATTTACGAAATACCAGAGTGCTTGTTGACGTTGGCGAATCGTATTTTAGCATGTTTCAATTTGATCCTCCCGTCAGAGCAGCCCAGCAGATGGATTTAGTAAATGCTCTATTCGAAGCATTGCCGGACGGTATGGATGTCCAATAGGCAACTAGGTTCTGTTCTATTTCGCGGGGGGGGAAAAAACTGTGCGGGGGGGGAAATTTTCTTCGCGGAACCTTCCATCTTTTCGCTATTTTCTCGGGATTTTTGCAACGCCATTCGATAGAGCATCAAAAAATATACTAAGAGTTTTTGTTTTAGCTAAAAATATTGTAATATAAAAAAGTTATAGCAAAAACAAAAAAAAACTATTTAAACTGTTTCCGGAATGTTAGTTTTCGGCGTTTTCGCCATTTTTTTTGATATTTTGAACCCGTCATTCGATAGAGCATCAAAAAATATACTAAGAGTTTTAATTTCATCTAAAAATATTGTTTTATAAAATAGTTAGAGCAAAAACAAGGTTTATTCGGTGTTTCCACATGGGATCGTGGAGACGAAAGCTAGTTTTCGACATTTTCGATAACTTTCAAAAATTTCTTTAATGCCATTCGATACAGCGTCAAAAAATATACTAAGAGTTTTAATTACAACTCAAAATAGCATCATGTAAAAGAGTTATAACAAAACGAAGAAAATTTCCCCCCCGCACAGTTTTTTCCCCCCCGCGAAATAGAACAGAACCGGCAACTAATTTCAAATAGATGAATCATCAACTCAAGGCTGCTCCATTCCTTATTTCGAAAGTCTCTCCCCACTGGCTGCAGATCTCGGTTTAGAATATTTATACGAAAGATTTGTGGGTTCAAATTTCATTCCAGTCATCTTGATTTAGCCGGATTGCGTACCCAGCGGTTCGCAGGAAGTAAAAGAGTTACAACTCCCAAATATCGACGCTGTCTCTACACCCGCCAACATTATCCCACACCGCCGGAAATGCAATCGTTGCGGTATATGGTTCGCTTCCCGGTTAGTTCACCAAAAAATGAAAATCGATTTCTTTCAGACGTCTGTTATTTGCGCACAGAAAAGTGCATTATCCGGATCGAACGGTCTGCACAATATGTGGGGCTGTTTTGAGGTTCGTTGGCCAGCAGCAGCACAACATGCATGTTCTCGCCAATTTTTCAGGCTTGGTACCGAATATGGCGAACATTTGCGAGATAAACACAACAAGGGCCCTATTGGACGAGGATGTGAAGGCTTGGCTAGGGATATTACAGAAGTTCCTGAAGCTACCGGAGATGATAAACAAATCTGCACCACCTGCGGATATGTTGCATCTTCGGCGAAACAGCTTTGGAGGTAGGTGAAGAATCGTGAACTACAACATTTTTTGCCAAAACCATAATCTAATAAATGTAGGCATGGCAAAAAGGAGTCTCATTCGACTCGCGTGGCTCAAGTGAAGGTCGACGAATGGCCGTGCCCAGAGTGCGACTACAAAACAAAAGTGAAGATGAATTGGCAGCGGCACCTCTTCCGGAAACATGGAATTGGGTTTGGAATGAAGGCGTGAAAATATAAATAAATATTTAAGGAATACGCCAGCCCCACCTCGAGAAGCTTCCCCTAGCGAAGTGACATGTTCGGATTGTTTGCGGTCTTTCGCAAATATCTCGAGCCTTAATCGGCATATCAGGTTTGCCCAATAGATTTGACAAGAGATAAAGTAAGCCAAAGCTAAAAGAAGAATTTTAGAATGGTCCACACCGACGAACGAAAACATGCTTGCGGTTGTGGACAGGTTTTCAAATTGTCGGACCATTTGCGGCGGCACCAAGAAAGGAAACGATGTCCAGAATTGAAAACCTAGCGTACAATAAATGAATTATTAAATTGCGGTGAAATATGACTATATTCTTCGTCAAGAATTGATATTTGGGGGCGAATTGCGGTTCTTAGCAGTTTGGATGGGTTTTATAACAAATCAGCTTGAACTTACAGCATGTGCAACCTGTTCTTATGCCTGGGGCGTGGACGCTATAAGTTAATCGTCGTTTCACAGCGTGATGAGGTTTGGATTGAGTGAAAAGAAAAGTATCCGCTTTTTAGGAACTTAGCAGGCCGACAGCTGAAGCGCAATGGCGAGACGGAATTCTAGGAGGTAGGGCGTTATAAGATTGTTTTAATAATGATTTTGATGCGTTTCAGGAACCGATCTGAAAGATCACGCAAGAGGAACGTGGTTTGGCGTCAATAAATACGGTCGGGTCGGCATTCTACTCTCCATAACACAACCGAAGCACACGAAGAAAGTCGGAGCACCCAGCCGTGGTCAGGTTTCAAAACCATAAACATTTTTAATTTGTAGGCGCAATCGTCAAAGATTTCTTATCCGCGTCTGTCCTAAACGCAAACGATTTTTGCGAGGAAATCGCAGAGAAAGCGACGGACTATAACGGGTTCCAGTTTGTGGCCTTGAATCCGTAAGCTTACTTAGGGAGGAATTATAAGAACAACGTAACGTCTAGTGAAGCTGCGGCAACTTATTCAATGCGTACAGTGACGAGTATGTTTGTGGACGAGGTGACAGTACGGAAATGGACTCCAGGTGGGTTAAAAGCGATGTTTTAAATAATCAGGGTATAGGCGTTCATGTCCTGGGAAATTGCCCTCCAGATCGACCCTTCAAAAAGGTGAAGCGAGGCGAGAAGTTGTGGGCTGATGGTTTGGACGAGGTAGGGAGGTTATGATATTAGATTTAAAGATAAAAAACAGATAAACAAAGCGAAGGCTAATTTTTTCAGGCTCTCGAGCTTCCGGAAGATCGAAACGTTGCGGAGAAGCTGCTCGCCATTATTGATGACCGAGAGTCGTAAGTAGAATCCTCAAATCAAAATCAGTAAAATAAATAATTTAGATGCTTTCCGGATCACCAGCTGGCACTACAAGTCGGGTTGCCGGAGGATTGTCCACAGCTCGAACCACTTTCGGCGTTGAGAATCGTTTTCCCGAAAGGAAGTGGGGTGGATTATGGTAGGTCAACAGCTGTAAAGCGTACAAAAAAGTTATTAGGCACCCGATGTTATACGGTGCTGCTTGTTCGACATGATGGGAGCAGCTATCTACTCGAACGCCGCTTGGTGGGCGAGGGATTGCCGATTGATGCTGAGCATCCTAAATGGGATACTGTTGAGCATTGGTTTGATGTGGAGCAGCCGCATTGAAGCCTTGATTGTGATAAATCAATCACAATTTTCTATATTAATAAAGTATATTTTCATTTCTCCTTTCTAAATACATCTCAACCAGATTTTCACTTGCAACATAAAGCTCATGGAGCCGTTGGGGCTGCTGCTCCTAAAATCTTTCTCCCCTTTTGCCATCCCCCGGTGTGCCTAACTAGTAATCTCATATTCGGGCGACGGGAGCCAAGGGGGTGAGGCTGAGGAGCGGGAGGGAGACTTCGGGCTCTACCCGCCGAGTGCGTAAATCAAATCTGTGTCACCGCTCATTTGAGACACCGACCCTTGTGTGTATGTGGGCTTCAGTACCTCACCGCGATGTCGCTTCACAATATCTCACTTTTCTTGTTGACGTCTTCCGGGGGAGGTTGGGCTCAGTTTTTTAAGTAGCATGATGCCTTGGGGAGTCTGAGTATGGGGAGAGGGACATATAAAGGAATGGGTAAGACTGTGCATTCCTTATCAATATCCGCGTTGGCCCCTTTCATAGCTTAAAGGTGCATTTAAGACGTATCTTTTACCGGGAGTTCGCCAGTCACAGCGACACGCGACGCGTCCCCTATCAGCTCAATATATAGGCCGCATTGTGTGTTGCGGCCTGAAAATTGCAAAATAATTGTTAGCCTGCAAAAACCAGAGTCATACTTTACCCGTCTTTTTAGTGCACTCCTTTTCCGCTGCGCACGCGTTGCGTGTCTCGGAATCACCTAAATTGATGTGACATGAAGTAGGATCACTTGTCCGGTCCTTTAAAGGCATCGCGAAGTTTCATCCACTTCATCCATCCACTTATCATTTGCAATTACAGTAGCCGTAAGGAATCGAAAAATATTTTGTCTATCTCACCTCCTATTTTGCATCCATCCCATATGGTCATTAATGTATGTCTTGGACTTTTCTAACAGCATTATAAGCTAATTTCACTATTTACTTATTCGTAATTACCGTATCCGTGCGGAATCGAAATATCCCTTTCTTGTTATTTGCCATTTTGCAACGCGCCCTTCCGTCCCGGATGGTCATTAATGAGTGGGCGGGTGGGGGTGGCAAAATTCCGAAAAGGCATTACGGCGATTCAGTTCGGAGCGGAGGGGGATGTGGGACATTTGGGGGTGAGGACGGCAGTAGCGGAAAACACCGTTTTTGAGGCAGGAGGAGGAGGAGGAGCAGAAAACATGCTGAAGGGTTGGGTGGGCCCGTGGCCCTTGTTGGGATGGAGGGACGGCTAGTGGTCACTCTAACTTTTTCTGGTTGGGTACTTCCTAGTAGGTGGCGTTCAGTTGTTGTTATTTTTGAATTATAGCGCTTCTTAATGTGCATTAAAAATAGGGCCTGTCTCATTTTCGAAGCTTTGCATACATGCCTCGAAAAACCGCTTTTTATGGTTCAGAATATAGGTATTTAGCGGTAAACCAAGACGTAGATTACGGCTCGCTCATCAGGTTTTCACGGAATTGACGCTAATGACTTACTTTTCACTTTTTAAAATATAGAAATAGATATTTATGAAATAAGTTGCAGACGAGGAGGAGGGAACGTTTTGAATTGCTCGGAAACGGGCGCAATTTGATCTCTGGCTTGACCAGCACTTCGAAATTGTTGGTATGCAAAAATTTAGATTTTTAAAGTTGACAAAAATATCTCGAAAACCAGCGCAGCGTACTTTTCCTGTTTCTCCTTTGTTTTAACGATGAGCACGACGTTGGGCTTCTTCTATCGTCTCTAGGATGCAAAAAAGCATAGACTTTCAAAGTAGACAAAATCACCTTTAAAACCCGGATACTTTAAGCGGTTTACCACGCTAGTAACTTATAAATAATCTACACGCCCCTCTTGACTCCAGCCACTCATCATTTTGGCCGAAAGTTGTTTATTGCATCCCCCCCCTGGTGGATATCTACCCACTCCCATCTTCCACACACAATTAGCATGCTCAAGTGGATCTTCTCGTTCAATGGAAGCTTGGCCACTATTGCAACCTCGCAAAAAGCAGTAATTTTCTGGCGCGTTTTAGACCAAGCTGGCCTTTGCCGTTTTTACGACTTGACACGTCCGCCTAATTAGGTATTTATAGGGAGGGTATGTATTTTTGGCGGCTAGAAATAAGGTAGTGGTTTTTTGATATCGCTTTTCGGAAGATATTGACGTTTTAGACTGTTTGTGCATCCTGGAAATAGATTTTAATTTTTGATGTGTTTTCGTACGTTCAAGTTTTCACCGACCGAAAATGAGCATGTTTTAGCCGAAATACACCTCGCAACCCGTCCGTTAAGAGGTGCGTATGTAGTCGTGAGAGCAGCAATTAGGGTCGGGCCCAAAAAAAGCTGGATCAGAAATGGGGGAATGGGTCTTTGAGTGGGGGGAAGATGCCTATTTTCTTGCCAACCATCCCCGGCGACTAAAGATCCAGTTGATGAGGGCCTATCTTTGGGTGTTTTTTCGATGTTTTGAGTTGTGCTAAATGTGCCTGAAAAGTGCAGTTATTTTCGTTAATAAACTATTATGAACCTTTCGGGCAGACTCCAAGTTCAAAGTTGTCGATAGTAGCGATGCGCCCGCGGTAGTTAATTGGTAGTTTGAGATGGACCCAAAACTTTTATGGTTGTTAGTTGTTTCCTTGGCACTATAATAAACCGAACTTTCTTGTATACGCCTAAAAATGCCTAGTAAGTTAATGGAAAGTGTTTTAATAGTATTTTTAGTAACCTATGACTATATTAGAATTAGAAAATCTATCTAAACACTCTAAGCAATGTTGAAAAAGTCGAAACCTTTGGCGAGAAACCGATATTTTGGAGACTTTTATAATAAAAATTTGTAAAGTTTTCGCGTTAAGGCATAGTAAAAAAATTATATAGAAACAGCTGCACAATTTTTTGGCCTAAGAAAAATGTTGCCCCCCCCCCCCCCCCCCGATAATGCGAAAGAATCTGATTTTTCTAAATTGGTATTCTGAGAATCCGTGAATTCGAGAATTTTGCTTTTCCCGAACATCTCGAACATTGTGTTCTGCACCCCAGACATTGCCCATTTTCGCTTGGCCCCCATTTGTCCCGGCCGTTCCAACGGAAGCGCCATTTGTTGCCGGGCACTAATCTGGCAGGGCCCGAATTGGCGTCTCTTCTCCCCCTTTCCACGAGATGCCAAATTCCAATCAACCGAATCGCTTCCTCAAAAATTGCGAATTATTTATGGGGGTCTTGGCCCTGAGGGCCCACCGACTGCTGGCCGCAATTCAGGCCAGGGGGCCCACAAGATGACACCCTCACACGCTCTCCTTTTGGGTCCTTTGGTCCGAAAATGGGGTGGCGCTTGACCGAGAGGTGTTCGTTTTGTTTGTTTCGGTTGGAGATATATGGATATTGCTGTTTAAAATAGGATTACTGTATATTACTATATAGAAAACTTGTTCCTGAATGTTTGCATTTTAATGGAATTTCGGTCCGGGAGTATCTTGATAGAGAAAAATTTAAAAGTATATTTGATACGTGATTAGGTGCTTAATGGCTTCAAGAGAGCTACACGTTTCAAAACCAAATTAAAATTTGGGTTTCAGCCTGATGATTTTTTGCTTTTCGGTACAAGGTTTTTAAACGTACAATATTTAAATGTTTCTTATTTTGCCAATGATCCCCTTCGTTCACAAAATTGATGAAATTTAGCAAAAAAGAATGCAAAACAAGGGCCTTTGGCATCTCGCCCCATCGCTGAGAATAGGGGGCCCCCAGGGGACCATTTCCGGAACACAACATTGTTGATGGCTCGTCCCGTAAGGCCTTCGGGTATTCCGGTACCAACTAGTAAGCACCCTATAAAAATATAGAAAATAATTCGATGACCTTTTTGCGGTAATGAAACGTACTGCGTACCTCTCTTTAGTGATCCACCCTTTTTCCAATAGCGATACTTAATTTTTCCGTTATAATTTGTCTATTATACTTTCTTTATGTTTTGGTCATTATTTGATGAACTATTCGTGTTCTATAGTTTACAATGTTATTATTCTAGACTTTTCTATACCCATTAAATCCGCAATCAATCCTGCTCCTCTTTCCTGGAAGCCGGATTTTCGGGTTCACCGGACCTCCTCCCCTTCAGTAATCCCCAAAATCTCTCCTTACTTTTTCGGCCATATCCACCGGATTTTGGACCCTCTACATCTTTACCGACCGGATTTACAGGCCGAATGGATCCGGTGACTTCTCACTCATCCGAGTTTTACTAAACTTTTTGCTTGAAAGCTATAAAAACTACGAAAATGAGGAATGATATTGCTACCAGGTTAGTGTATACGAGCCGAGAGAAAAAAATGCTCTTTATTAGCTTTTTCCTGACTAAATTGTTAATATCAATTATTTGTAGATGGGCCTCCATTCTCCAACGATTTTCTGCTACACTCCTTATCTTGGGAATAGCTGTAACGCTCTGCATGCTATTTATCAGCCTGTTCTTAAACTATTTCTATGAAGAGCCATTTTTCTTGGAAAGAGTTGGTAAGTCTTACTATTTAAATTGTTTTAAAACCTAATTTTCTATGTACTTTCCCAAATTTCTATTTTAGGTACCCCCTCCTGCTGGTTTGCCCTACTGTCCGTATTCGCTTGCCTCCCTCTATTACTCCCATCCCCGTCCTCATTACTCCTTATGGTAATCCTCCTCGTCCACTTCCTCAGCTCAACTTCAATCCTATCCACGCTACTGTTACGAAGACGCCCCAATTTGCATCCGGATCTCCATTTGGCGCTGTTTTTGCCGCATTTGTTGACTAGTCTATATGCGTTTCGGGCTGTTTGGAGGCTGTCGAGGTAGGGGAATAGGCGAGAAACTTATTAAACGATTAGAAAATCAATTTTTAAGGCTCTATTGGCTTTATATACTTTAAAAAACTGGCAAATTTCAGGAAAGGCCCATCAGAAGCGCCACTATCCCGTCTTCTGGCAAATTGTCTGAGCCGATCTCTCTCCGTTTTGGCATTACCTACCATTGCATATTTATTTTTTGTATTGGTAAATTGACATTTTAAGTGATGCATCTTATCCCTATTTTAGGGAACCACCCAACTTGTCTCCTGGCGCCTCTCTGGCCTTTTTCTCCGTCAATTTGGTGCTGTTTTTGAGGTGCTAATGGTCAATGTTATCTTCTTGCCCCTGTATTTCTTTTACAAACAGAAGGGTACTTTACTGGTTTGTTTTTTAGTGATTTTTACGGCATTTTTGATTTAGGCAAGTTCCTGGAATCCGTTGGATAAGTTAAATGGATACCAAAGGGTTCGATCGATAGTCGAAGAGCGTTATGTCTGGATGTCTCACTTCTTCTGTAATTCCCTGGCCTTGGCGGTGACCAAGCTGAAAGTCGTCTTCCTTGGCTTGTTCGCGATTCAGTTTTTGATTGTCTTGTAAGTTTATATCACTAATTTTGGGAACCGGAATTTTTAGAATTCTCCTTTTCGGTCAAATCTCCGCACATTTTATATTAGCTCGTCGAGTGGAAGTATCGATCGATAATGGGACTGTTGAATTTTTCGCGAACCGGGTATTTAAAAACATAAAAATGGATTTATTTTTATAGGAAACAAGCCAAGGATTTTGGTTCATCTTATTAGTATTATTTTCGACAGCTATTGTTATCGGATTGGCCGCGCTTCGGAATTTGGTGTTGTTGGGAATCCTGATCATAACGCTTCTGAATTCGGTGGCCACCACGGGAATTGTTATTGTAATTTATTTACTCATTAATTTGCCATCATTTTATACCTTTAGATGGGTACATTCTCGCTGCGCGCCGACGAGGCTGTGATCTCATTATTTTTCGTGTTTCTTCATGCTTTTGATACCAACTTTAAATATTGTCTGTTCTACAAAGGTATGCAAAATTTCAGGTATTTAAATTTAATTTTTAGGTAGTCGTCGAGGTTCCAGAGCGTCCAGAAGTTTGGCCGCTTTTCATTTGGCTATATCCTCCCTAGCTGCACCAAATTTAATTATAATCTTATTTTTATCCACTTTGCTGCTTGGGACTGGGAATACGGTATGTCGGCCTAGAAAATATCAAAAATTTTTAGATATACGCGGTGCTGCTATTTGCGTGTATGTGGGATAACTTGCTATTGCTATTTAAGGCCGGGTCATTGCTTGCCTATATCGGTATTTGCATACTTTTCGGTAATTATCAATATGTATTATTAGGCCCGACTGGCAAGGGATGGCTGTGCCAAGGAGTGATGGGTAGCGGCTTTAATTCGGAGGGTACCGACAAGGTGTTGTCGGTAAATACCGGCGATCCGTCGCGTCGGTTGAGTTCTGTAAATTATCCAGGTTGGTACATAAATTTATATAAATTTATTTTGGTTGCAGGAATGTACAAAAAGCGTGTATCGCTCTCGATAGCACCATCGGCACGTCGGGCTTCGATGCCGGTGGTTGCGTTGGCAAATTCGAGACAAGGGACACCGGGGAATAGTGGAAGGAAATTCTCGTACGTTTTCTTACTGAAAACAGATTAAACATAGATCTTAGGTGCCTTTAAAACTAATTAAAATATTTTAGAGCGAATATCTACCAAAATAAACGCGGTATGTCTATCGATGGCGCTTCTCTCCCGGGCTCGCGTTCTATACTACGCCGTGAACCTCTGCTCTTTTCACAGCAATCTTTGAATTCACAGCAATCACAAGGCAGTCAGAATAAATTATGATCCGTTTAATAAATATTTTTAATAAATTCATGCGTTGCTGAATATAATACTAAGCCAGTGCGGTGAATCTGATATGTATTCCGCCATCCTGAAGCCGTCACACGCCTAATGACAGATCAACAATACACTTAATTTTTTTTGCTTACTGAAATAGCACTACCTTGCAAAAAAAAATCCCGAAGATTTGCATAAACTCAACGACATTAATGTACATCCTATTTCGTTGTTATACTCCCCCACAAGTTCCAATTCATCAGGTGCACAAGTGATCGAAAACTGTCCCCCCCACCCCAAACCCGATGAGCGATTAGGTTGATTGTCTGCGGGGGCTGAGCGTCACCATCCCATCGATTTGTCATTATAAGGAAATGACCTCAGATTCAAAATTTCCTATTGAAATTTCCTATCCCTTTGACCCTCCCACCGGAAATCCGCTCCGATAACACTCTACGTGCACTGAACAAATAAGCAAATCCAGGAAGAAGCCGGCTATTCTTTGCTCAACTCGTTTCTAAAGGTCTAAAGGTGCCGAGAAGTCAACAAGTGATGTTGTCCCCCTCTCCCTGTTGTGCCCTGGGGCTGGCCGGATTGGGCCCTGGTTGCGTGTCTGTCTGGGCCCCCTCTCCCTTTTCTGACTCTTTTCTCCCTATGGAACGCCGCCTGCGGGGGTATTGCCGGGTACATGGCGGTCATGTCGTTTTTTAAATTGGTTTTTCTGGATTTAGCGGCAAAACGCCCAGAATTTTCCTCAGAATTTCGAGTAATATTTCAAAATAATTTGTATTTTTGGAATTTAGGAATCTTTCAACAAAAAATTTATTCAGTTATACTTTAATGCGTATAAAAGTTGGGGTAAAACGCAGCGCTGAACCGTAAATAAAACTTTAATTTTGTCACTTTAAATAGAATACGTTAATCCAAAAAGAACCGTTTTTTTCAAAAATTCAAAGCTTTAAAAAGGGCATTAACGGCATAAAATGCTATGTATTTCTTTTGTTCCTCTTTCTGACCGTATTAGCATATTTTTCTCAAAAATTTAGTAAGAATTTGGCGAGTCCTTTTTAATTATAACCCGATTTTAATTTAGCTCGAAAGTTTTGCCAGCCGAATCGTTCCGGGAAATCCTGGATCATTTGATTCGTTTGGTCTAGCGTAGGCCAGTCTGCCACTCTCTCTCGCTATCTCTTTTTCTCTCTCTGTCTCTGTCTCTCTCTCGCTCTCTCTCGCCCTGTCTCTTCCTTACCATTTCCGATTCTCTTGCCGGGACGCCGGCCAAAAACGGGTGCACGCATTTGCACTTATATCTTGCGGATGCCCTTTGATTGGATGAGTCAGGCAAATGGTCTGGACCCTTGATGCTAGCCTCAAATCAGATGGACCTATTGACACCGTTCGGGTGCTAAAATGCGTCTGTCATTTCAATCATATCGAAAACAAGGCTTTAAAAATTGTTTGTGTTGATGTGCGGTTTTGCGGGTTAGGACGACCGCGATATTTTTATTGCTTTATTGTTTATATAAGGGCCGGAAAGGTTAGCGACTCGTCATTTATGCAAATTAGAATTTTCTTAGTTCACTGATTCCTCCATTAATTGATATAGATTTCGGGGGATTCATTTTCGATTTTCTCGCTATTCCTTTTCGTTCAACCCGCGTACCTACAGAATTGACCCCCCTGCAAGCGGCTTAGGTTTTGCACATTTGCATACCAATTGCCATGGTCAGCGGACCGATGGGGTGATTGTCGCCGCATCGTCGGAACAAAAAAAAAATGGACGATATGAGCCCTGGTTTTTGAACGGACCGCCGCAAGGGTTACGGTAGGGGCGGCTTATATGGGGGAGGAAGTATCGGTTTTTTGAGCGGACAGGGTGATGCGTCCAAAAATGTTGCTTTACCTGCGATAGAGCTATCGTATTCCTGCTTACCCAATTTTTTCACAGCTTCAGAAAAAGCTGTAATTTTCCGTATTATTGCGTCTCCATTTTCAACCGAAGCGTCTCGCGGGTTACGGTAGGATGTCTATAAAGGCAGCAATTGGTGGTTTTTTTGCGAACTTTGAGACAAAGGTTTCCCTTTTAATAGGTTCGGCATTGCTAGAACTATCGTATTCCTACCTTCCACACCCCTTTAAAAGCACAAAACCAGACCGTACTTCTCCATATCAATCCGTTTCCGTCCCCCATTGTTTCGCTTCGTCGTGGTGCCCATTTTTAGGGGATGCGTGCCAATTTTTCGGTGCTCTCCCACTTTTTGGAGATCCGATCCCCGGGGTGATAGGAAAGGATAAACGGGATACGGTCGCGTTCGATTTTGGAAGTGATGCGGGTGGATGGCGGGGGATTGTTTTTGAGGGAGATTGTCCTCTTTTTTGCGGCGTGGTGTCATCGTGGGTGGTGCGTGTGGATGTGGATTTGAAAAACTATGAAAATAAAAGTAATTAAAAATGTTAACATAACGTGTTTATGTTGATGGATGGATTAGAATTAGCATGAAGATTAGCATACGGCTTTTGCAAATTTACTATAGTTCCCCGTAGCCCCGTAAAACACTTTTTATACCCAATTTTCCGGCCGATTCAACTACCAAACTTTTAATTAACCCTGACAACCCCACCATTTTTATTCATACTTTTTGTTCACTTCGTCTACCGTCCATGGTCATTTCACGGATTAGGGATAACGGGGAAAAGTCGCAAAAAACACTCGCTATCACCCAGGGGATCAGCCTGGGATCGGGAAATAGATTGTTTCCCGCCTTGAAAAAAGAATGGGGCATGCGGGGGGGGGATATTTCATCTCATTTTGTTGGATATCAGATGGAGAGCCCCAAAGGTGCCAATGGGAACACCAGCCTCCCCCTCCCCCATTCATTCACCATCCAACCATGATCACCCAATCAGCCAACCAATTGTTTTCGTCTTGATTCCGAGGGGGTAATTGGGCGAATGACCGCGCCTTCTATTTCTATCATTTGATCCGATAGATGTTGCGTTTTGGGGCATTTCATGAAGACAATGGGATTTAGAAATGGGTTGATTTCGTTAGAATAAGTCTGAAAATAAGATAGCATTACCATAAGTTATATTATTCTCTGTTATTAATTAAGATATACCCCAGTTTTTGGCTTTTACGTGTTTTTCTAAAACCAGATTATTTATCTTATTTATATTCATCTTTATTACACTATATAAATGGATTTTTAGCATTTCGGTATGTTCAATAGTGGCATTAAATTTATTAATAAGATCCTCGATTTATTAAAATATAGTTAAACGAAATCTGTGTTCAAGCTTTGTCTTCACGTATTTCCCCGGAATCAAATTTTAACATCTGTATTACCGCAAATTTTAATTCAACATGTCAAATTTTTGCGTCTCTGTTTACCTTAAAGCTATTAGTATTCACCAGGGTTGAAAAGCCGCTTCGCGACTTTTCAACCCTGGCCCCGTCTCGGACCACATGCTGTTTTGCCATTTGCATAATTGTCCTCTATTCAGAAGACAAAAAAAGGATAAACAACCTCTTCGGCCTCTTTATATAGGGGACAGCTCACTTCCGGTCTATGCTAATTATTACTAACAAAGAGGTATCTACAAAAACCTAAATTTAATTGCGAAAATGGCTAATTTTTAAAAATCTGATATGTGTGCAGTGATCCCTATACCATTACGCACCTAATGACGTATCATACGTAGCCCAATACCCGTCCCTTCTTGAGATATCCTCCGGACAGATATGCGGAAGTGGATGCAAAGTGGCACACACACACACACACACAAACACTATTTTTTTATATATAGTAGGATAATTTAACAAGCAATATTGCTATCACTTAATTCGATTAGCTTCAATAGTTCCCAGACGAACTGATTGATCTATTAAATCGAACCCTTGGCCCTCTCGACTGGCCACTCACTTCTGGGCCCCCGAATCCGCCGGGCCGGCTTTGCAAATAACAAGTACATTGAGATCAACAACGTTTCTTTTGAACCGAACTTTCTTTAATTTGTGTCCTCTGTCCTTTAACACCTCTTCAAAATATCTTTCAGACGCTCGTTCCATGAACGAAAGTGCGGGGAACAGCAGTCTTGGATGGGGGCGACAATGTTTTGGTAGTGCGACGGATGTAAGTTTTTGAAATCTGTGGCCTGCCCCACCCCTTTAAAACAAAAATCTTTAAGGTTCTTGTTTCTTAGCGGGGCGGGGTTTGCAGTTATAAACTAATTTTGCCAATCCCGATAATTAAAAAAAGACATTTTAATTGCATTTTTACGATTTTTATATCTGAAAGTTTAAGACAATGATTCGGCTTTAAATTTGAATTTTTTTTTACTAAAATTTATGGGACCAAAATTTCAAAAATGTGGTGTTTGATTACCATGAGGGCTAATAGCAATTGAGAAAATCACCTCCCCCCCGTTAACGAACCAGCACCTCTCTTTCCAGCCTGACAACTGTCCCTACCTCTACTATGCCCCGGCTCTACCCCACCTCTACTTCGTGGCCTCGCTACCATTCCAGTACATCGCGTTCCGCATGAACAAACGGACGCCGCCGAGTATTCCGTTAAAAATATGGGCAAGGATGGTAATCAAATGTTTTATAGCTTTAACTTATGCAAATTTAGTTCCTGTTCATGTGCCTTATGATAATCACGATAGCCGAATCGGCTGATGAATATATGGCCTCGGCGAAGCTGTTTTCCCCGAGAAATACGTTGAATGTGATTGCGATTGCTAGCTGGGTAAGTAATATTAAAATATAGGCATTTTTATAGTAAATACAATGGCTCGAATGCGATTTTTTAGACCCTAGCAGTGTTGTCGATTTTCACTTCGTTCAGCGCTGGAAGGAGATCGAATGGCTATGTGGTGACGTATTCGGCGTTTCAATTCTTTTTGTCGATATTCTTATTTACAAAGGAGGTTGGTTGACTTAAATAAGCTTATTTAATTGATTCAGAAATTGGTAGTGACCAATTACAACAGCTGAAGCAAACATTGAAATTCCAATAAAAATTCTAGGTAATTGATACGCACCATGTCGTATATTACGAAGCCGGACGTATTGGTATACTCCTCCTCCTGAACTTCCTATTCTACGGAAACGACCTAACCGACGAGAAAGAGGTTAAAAACATATTTGCTTATGTCTTAATTTAATCTTTTAGTGCCAGGCCCCCTACGATCGCGCTGGATTCTATTCTCGATTGATCGTCTCCTGGTTGACCCCTCTAATTGCCAAGGGATACAATAACGTAAAATCAAAATTTAGGAGTCAATAACTCTATATTCTAGCCACTAAATCTTGAAGATCTACACGAATTGCCAAAAGGTGCATCTTCTGAGGAATTGATCGATGAATGGGATTGGAGGTGGAAGCGGGAGTGTGGAGGTAGGTTTTTAAGAACCGTTGAAGGCCGTAAAAGTCTATGAAGGTCTATAAAAATATTCTCTATTTTAGAAAAAGCCAAGTCAACCAGCCACCCCTCAATTGCATCCGTTCTATTTGCAATTTTCAAGCCGATAATCTTGCCCGCATTGGGGCTGCGCGTCTTTGGAGAGGCTATGAATTATGTTAATCCATTGCTGCTCAAGTTGGTATTTTAATATGCCTTCATAAACGTTAATTTTTTGAATGATCATTACTTAATTTAGATGCCTTATCGATTTTGTCAATGATGAGAACCCACCATTAACATTCGGAATAATGTGCGCAATTGGAATGTTTGCCATGGCCGAAGTCAAATCCCTAATCAACGTCAATACCGTACTTGCTCAACAAAAAGCGGCCTGTGGAATGCAGTCCATACTGTCGAACGCTATCTTCAGAAAAGTAATAATTTTATACTAACGATCCAATACAAAATTCAGAGCCTAAGATTGTCCCCAATCTCTCGCGGCCGTCATACTGTAGGAGAGGTGGTGAATTTCCTTTCCGTTGATGTGGAATTGATCACCAGTCAACTACCGTATCTGGTGGAATGTGTCACTTGTCCTTTGAACGTAAGCTAAATTAAGCTATGATGGTTCTATTAAAATTTAGATTGCCTTCTCGCTATCGTTGCTCTCAGTGTTAATGGGCCCAACGGCAGTTTCCGGAATTGCTCTTATGCTTTTGCTCATCCCGTTCAACTACTTCACTTCGGTGTTGATCAAGAAACTGCAACTGAAACAGCTCAAGGTTAAGGATGAGCGCGCGAAGATTTGTAACGAGGTAAGCATCGGAATTCCGGCGGTAGCAACTTGTTTTTAGGTACTGAATGGCATCAAGCTCGTCAAGTTGTACGCCTGGGAGCCGGTGATGTTGTTGAGGATCAACAAATTGAGGGAGCAAGAGGTAAGTATGACCTTATTACTAGTTATTAGACTAAGTTAGTTAATTTCAAATTGTAATGAATAAGATTGTTAGGTCAACATTCTACGCAAAGCGAACATGACGGCCCGACTGGTGGACGCCATTAATGCAGCCTCACCCTATTTGGTATTCACAAGCCCTTTACTTTTTAAGCGTATGAGATTTATAGGTCGCGATGGTCACTTTCACCGTTTTTATCCTATCTTCAGAAGAAAATATTCTGACACCACAGGTTGGGCAACTTAAATGACGCAAATTCAAACCATCTAGATTGCCTTTGTTGCCCTAGCTATTTTCAATCAACTGCGCCTCCCCATGAAAGTCTTTGCGCTCTTGATCAACTATGTTGTAAGGGTAAGTAACCAAAAACATAAAATTAAATCTATATTTATCGTTTGTAGGCCCTGGTCTCGAAACGGCGTATCGAAGAATTTTTGGTGGAGGAGGAACTGGAGCATGGCGCTATTGGGCCGTGTACAGATATTGCGGATGTGATTCAAATTGAGAAGGTATAGTTTTATATATTTTAAATCTTCAAATTCCAAACTTCAGGCCCGTCTAAATTGGCTGGGCCCCCAAATGCCGACCACGCTTACCGTGCCCTCATTGACGGTAAAACGCGGAGAATTTGTGGCTGTCGTTGGAGCGGTTGGCGCTGGAAAATCGAGCTTTTTAAATGCGATCATGGGTATTTTTGGGTTCCAAATTGTTTCTAAGTTTGCTTTAGGAGAGCTATGCCTTCTCGAGGGCAGCATTAATGTATCTGGAGAGCTTGCCTACAGCTCTCAGCAACCATGGCTCCGGAATGAGACGCTGAAGAATAACATTTTGTTTGGGAAGGTGAGTAGAAATATTTATCGAAAGTTAAAAAATAAAGCACCCTAAAATCCCGAGTATAGTCTTCCCCCCCCGCCCGAGCTTTTCCCTTCACCCCGATTTCCGGGTGAAACGTACTTAGCGTTCATAATTCCGTATGACCGTAAAGAGGTGTTTTTCGTTTTTTCGCTTTCTCGCAAATAACTCCGTTCATGAAAGGTATTTTTGTCATTTTGATTGAAGATTTTCCGATATGTGGACTATTTCCAGCATTTTGAGTGGTTTAAGAAAAGAAATTGATGCAGGAAGTCCTAAGCAGCGCATCTTTTGGCCTAGGTAGCTTAGGCCTAGGTTGCGGCGAGAGCCGGGGGACGCACGTTATTATTAGGTTGAACCGAAAGTAATTGTAATCGATCTTCGGGACAAGATTTCCAATACTTCTACCAAGTAGCCAACTGGCTTTTAACTTCCTTTGTTTGGTCTAGCAAGGTACTATATACCCTAGAAATATCGAGTGGATCCTAGCCCTAACACTCTTTTTATAACTGATTTTGCCCGAGGCAAAGGGTCAGCCGAGGCGCTGACATCGGGGATCCCTCTTTGCTTTCAGCCTTATAAAAATTACCGATGCCGTAATCCCCCCATTGTAACTGGTAATGTATAATGCCAGTGTAATATCTTTCTAGCTATGCTGTCCAATTCAGCTAACGGATTTACAGTCGGCCGATATTCTCATTTGTTTGGATAAAAATCCGACTTTTCGATGAGCTTGACTAAAAGGCTCTCTTAAATTTACTGAGGATAAGGAAATTAAATCTGATCCATTTATCATAAGCAGTTTTTATTGACAAACATACTACCAATCCCAGCTATCTTCCCACCCTTCTTTATCTGAACAAATTTTGCCAATTAGTGAGGCACCAAGTGACCGACCCGGAGATCGGCTGGAGACACACAGTTTGCATTGCTACTCTTTTATCTTTGCCAATCAAAATTTTTCTATAGTGGAGTATTATTGGTCATCTACAGTAGATACTGTGTTAAAATTACTAATACCCTAAACCCATTCTTTCGCGAACAAAAAAATAAAACCAAAATGTGCTCAAAATTACGATTCATTTCTCAATTCCAGACGGAGACAGAACATTTGTTCTTATGTGATCTACGGGCATGAAACAGATTTAATTGAACTTGATTTTGATAGAGTCCACTCAAAAAGTTATCCACTAAACTCGGAGGAATCGGCCGACGAAGGGATGTGTCGATTCGTAGCCCGAAAACCCAGATTGACATCTTTTTAAATTGACCTGGGAAAAAATAATGCAGCTAGCTATTAAAATTCTTTTTAATGCACTGCATAGCCCAAATGTTTCTCAATCTACTATCACTTATTCAGGTCACTTGGGTCGGAACGGCCGGCGATATCCTTCACGAAAACCAATAACCCGGAAACTGGATTGCGCTCACTCTTTTCCAGTTAATTAAAAAATTTGTGGCAGTCCCGAGTTAAAAATAAAACTGAAACTGGACAAGACTTGAGCCTAAATCATAGCAAAAAATTAGAATGAACGAATGGTGGATTCAGTAAAATTTTTGCAATCGAAAAATTACAATTACTTTCGGTTCAGCCTAATAGAACGTCATTTGTATTGGTACGTCGCCAAAGTGTACCGGAACTATACTCGGGATTTGAGGGTAGATCTATAGCTAAAATAAAAACGACAATTTTTGTATGTATTTATATTTTAGGAGCATAACTCGAAACTCTTCCGGCGTGTGATAGAAGCCGTGCGGCTGAACATTGATTTTGAGCAGATGGATTTGAAGGAATATACAGAAGTTGGAGACAATGTAATTTTTCATTGTAATATTCAAAAAAACCATGGTGTTTAGGGTGTAACACTTTCTGGCGGTCAAAAGGCTCGTGTTGGATTGGCTCGTGCGCTCTACCAGGTAAATAACACGATTTATTTATTTAATTTATTCAGTTAAACTGCTAATTTGATATATTCTAATTACCGTAACTTATCCAGGAAGCCGATGTGTACTTGTTGGATGACGTCCTATCCGCAGTAGATGCTCACGTCGGAGCCTCTGTCTTCCACCGAGCTTTAGGACGGGAAGGATTCCTCCGCGGCAAAACTAGAATCCTCGTCACCCATGGTAACAGGAAAATGCAAAAAAGATAACTTTGTCAACTCCTTAGGTCTAAATTACACGAAACACTGCGATCGTATCCTCGTGATCAAGGATGGACAAATTGTGGAAAATGGAACATACTCCGAATTGCTGGTGAGTTCAAATTTCTTTGCATTTTTGGCTTAATTTTTATCGAAAAACAACATTACTTCAGGCAGCCCAAGGAACCTTTGCGACACTGCTGACCGAGCATAAGAACAAACCCGATGAACCTGTGGAAGAGGTCGAAGAAGAAGAAGAGGATGATGAGATATCAGAAGAGATTGAACGTGAAAAATCATACCGCCGACTCCCGAGCGCTGTTTATTCGATTTCGGATAGTTTGATCGAGATCCCGACAAGCTCTAAGCAAGAAGCTATGGAAGAAGGAAGCGTTGGTTTTCTATGGTAATGCATAACAATCCAATGTTAGGTCTCCATGCGTGTCTACGGTGCCTATATGCGTGCTGCTTCCATGACATGGACTTCAGTCCTTATGATGTTCTTCGTGCTCCAAAGTGCATTTGCCATTGGTCGCTCGCTATGGTTGGCGCATTGGACGAGCAGTACAGATGTCTCGGAGGCCGGCCAGAATTTGGCCATTTTCTCTGGGCTGGGGATCGTTGAAGGTTTGGAGAGTCCGCAAAAGGCTGGAGCTTTTATTTTTAGTGTTGGCGTTGATTGGGACACAAGTGGCGCTGGTTATCGGATGTCAGAATGCTTCGCTACGGCTTCACTCACCATTGCTGCACTCCGTGCTCCGATCGCCAATGTCATTTTTCGACACGACACCTGTTGGACGGATTTTGAATCGATTGACTAGGGTTCGTAGCTTAATTAAAGAGACAGGGTAAGAGAGAGAGCGAGAGAGAAAGAGTGAGAAAGAGCGAGTGAAAGAGAGAGAAAGAAAGAAAAGAGAGAGAGAAAGAGAGAGAAGAGAGAGAGAGAGAGAGAGAGAGAGGGGAGAGAGAAAGAGAGCGAGAGAGAGCGATAGAGAGCGAGAGAGTGGGAGAGTTCAAAGTAGAAAAAACTTCACCGACCCCAAGTTTCTAGGATCTTGAAGTGATCGACAATCTACTCCCAACCACCATCGGAGAATTCTTGAACACCCTAATGCTGGTTAGCCATCCTCAAATCCCTCCTATGATCCCAAATTTCAGCTGGTCGTTGTCCTAGTGATGATCTCAATCGTCACTCCAATGTTCATGGCGGCCATTCTCCCAATCGGCTTGATCTATTTCTTCTTTATGGTAATTTCTGATCCATATATTACTTTAAACAACAAAATATTTAGCGGTTTTTCATCCGGGCAGCACGTCAGCTGCGCAGATTGGAGAGCGTCAGGAGATCTCCATTGATCTCCTTGTTTGGCCAGTCGGTGCATGGAGCATCTACAATTCGAGCTTATAAGAAGGTAAGCTTATGAGAGGTAGATCATTAAATGATCTTGATATTTAGGTCGACCCTGCCGCCGAAGATTTTGGACATGAAGTCGACAATTTCATCCGGTGTCGCTTCCTATGTGTGGCAAGTAATAGTTGGCTGAGCGCCAGGTAAATTTAAACGATGCTCTCCCCTTCAACCATCTACAATTTAGACTCGAAGCCATTTCCGCGGCAACTACCCTATTGGCAGCACTTTGTGGTGTTTTCACTTCATACTACTGGAAGGGTCAAATAACGCCAGCTGACCTGGGCATGAGCATTTCTTACGCATTGAATGTAGGCTTTATTTTCGCTGTTTTACATCTTATTCCAGCTGACCGAGATCTTGAAATTCGGCGTACGTATGATGTCCGAATTGGAGACCTACATTGTATCCGTGGAGCGTGTGGACGAATATTCGAGACTAGAGGCGGAAGCTGAATGGCGTGAAAATGGCCCTACAAAACCTTGGCCATCCCGTGGAAATCTACAATTCCGTCATTATTCCACCAGATACAGGTCTGATAGTTATCCCATTTATTTTAAACAGAATCTTTAGATCCGAGTTGCCTCTTGTCATCCAGGGATTGACACTCAATATGAAACCTGGCGAAAAAATTGGTGTAGTAGGAAGGACAGGCTCAGGTAGCTCTATTTCACGCAATACGCAATTCCTATTTTTAGGCAAAAGCTCCCTAACAATGGCCCTCTACCGTATCATCGAAGCTCACGAGGGTCAGATTTTAATTGATGATGTCGATATTTCATCGATCGGTCTCCATGACCTTCGAGAAAAGATTTCCATCATTCCACAGGTGAGCCTCCCTGGCCGCTCCCTTTAAGTAATTTCTACAGGAACCAATCCTGTTCTCCGGCTCATTCCGCTTCAACATGGATCCATTTGAGCGGTACACAGATGATCAGATCTGGGCAGCATTGGAGGTAAAGATTCAATCACTCGCTCAAAGCTGGCTTTAGACTTGCCAATTGAAAAATTACGTAACTAATCTGCCCGGGCGACTTGAAGAGCAGATCACGGAGGGTGGCTCGAATATGAGGTATAATTTCCAGTTGATGCATCAAAATTAATATTTGTTTAGCGTTGGCCAACGACAACTCGTCTGTCTGGGCCGTGCCTTGTTGAGAGGCGGAAAAATTCTAGTGCTAGACGAGGTAAACTTGGAAATCCAGATTCAAAGACTCGAAATTCCAGGCGACGGCCGCTTGTGATGTCCAAACTGATGCGCTTGTGCAGCGGGCGGTTCGCGATAATTTCCCTGATTCTACTGTAATTGCCATTGCACATAGGCTGGATACGATCGAGGACTATGATCGGTAAGTAACTAAATCTTAAACAATGCTATAAACAAAGCTAGAAAATTTTTTATAAAAATGTGAGAATTTTTCAGGATATTGGTCATGGATGGCGGTCAACTAAAAGAATTCGATACTCCAAAAGCATTACTGGATAACCCTCATTCTCTCTACCGTAGTCTTGTGGAGAAGGCCAAGGAGGAGGCCAATTTCCACTCCGAATAGCTACTCATTTTCGATCATTCCCCAATCTGCATATCGCCACAGCATACACGAGTTGTACATAACACATATCGGAATAAATATTTATTTTTTAGATCTCACTTTGCAATTGCACCTTAATCAGAATTAGTCACACAAAATGGAGGTGGGGGAGTCGGGGGAAATGTTGTTTATATATAATAAAAAAGCGTCTTGAGGGGAAAGGAAACCCTGCGAGGCGGGATTTATTTTTCTCCAAACGTTATTTGCTTATTTTTTCAATTCAAATGGAATTTTTATAAATGGTTGAAAAATCCTTCTTTTTGTTTTTAAGGATTGTTACGAAAATTTGAGTAACTTGACGTCCCTCGCAAAACGTATTTTTGGCCTGACTATTCTCTTAAAATTAGGTATTAAAATTTACTTTTTATGTTTTTTACAACAGCTGAAAGTTATTTATCTTTTTCAGAAATGTTAAGTATTTTATCAATTTTGGCTATTCGGCAAAGCACAGTCCTGATTCCTCCCACTCGCCTAAAAATATCCAAATTTACTTTTCATTTTTTAAAAACATCTGAGACGTTCTTTTTTTAATAATTTTCTAAGAATTTTATTAACCTTGCCTCCCCCGCGAAACGCAATTCTGATTCCTGACCACTCTCCTAACAACCCACACAAATTGCCATGGCAATCCACCCCCCATCCACAATCTACCTACCAAAAATGAGCCCAAATGACGAAGTCACAAATCACAATAATTACCATGCAAATCCCGAGCACCTGTGCTTTCTGCCGATTGTGCAATCGTGTGCTGATTTTCGGGTGTGGGGGAAGGCGATAGCTTGTGGCGGAGAGAGAGTGCCAGAGAAAAAAGCAGAAGCTACTTATAAAGGGCCCAGAAGAGACCCAGAGGGCCCCATGCCGACTCAGTCGCAACGTTTTTTTGGTTTGGCTGGCTTCCCCCCTGCCGCCTTTTCAGATAGTCGGCTCCCGATAAATTGCTCGTAAATTATTTTTAGGGTGGGGGCGTTGGTTTTTGAAAGATCGTAATATTCAAAAAAAGCATAAGTAATTTACTCATTTTTCCAGTGTTTTAATGAACTCATTTCCATTTTTATTCGTTTAATCGAAGCCAATCCAATTTTTTTATATGATATATTATTCTATTTCTACAGTATTTATCTAAAAAATAATGGTTTTTACCAAAAGGTTTTTGAGCTTTTTTTGTGAGCATTGATCTTATAATTTTAGAATTTAATTTTACCAAAATATTTTAATCGTCTCCCCTTTATATCGGTCAACAGCCCCAATAATCGCAAAACTAGGAAACCACCTTCCCCCAACATGCTCTTTTTTCCGCTTGGATTATGTAAATTCTTGTAGGTTATGTCGAATCGGTGGCGATTGAGTTCAGTCTGGTCTTTACCAAAGTCACATTTTGTTTTATCTCAATCTTGAAAAAATTTCAATACAATTTAAAATTTAAAATTCTAGATAGCCCGATGGAGGCGACAATTATGCATCGGTGTTTTGGGAACGGCTCAAGTGTAAGTTTTACAGTTTTAAAGGGACAGAAAAGCGGGGATTTGTGGATATAAATTTTTGCGCATCTTCTGTAACTACTATTTTTAGCTAGCAAGATGCCCGGAACAAAGCTGGGTGTCTGCGTTGCCCCATCTCTACTTTCTCCTCCTGATCCCGATACAAGCCCACGTTTTTCGAACACCAAAACGTGCCCCATCGGCTCTACCCCTACGGCTACGAACTCGAATGGTGAACGTCATGCGAATTTCATTTGTTTGTTTTTGCTTTATTCAGTTTATATAACAGAGCGGCCATACTTTTAATTGGTGGAGACGATGCCGTAACACCGATTGTAACAGGATAAGTCAAAGGACATTGATAACTAGAACATTAGCGCTCAAGGCAATAATAATATTACGATCTTTTTATATTTTTTATTAACAAAGCATTGGGTGGCTTTGCAGATGTTTACCGCCTAATCTAACCACTAGCCTTCAATTGTTCGAAAGAACTTTGAGGTTTAGGGTCTGTTGATCTGTTTGATCATCAGCTCGCTGGTGGAATTGATTTTCCTCTATTTGGGTTCCGGGCCGCCTCTAATATCGTTGCAAATCGATCTCATCGCGTCCATTTGCACATGGGTAAGTGCGGGTGTTATTGGGATACCTTGAAATGAGGACCATAAAACTTTTAAAAAACTTTAAAAATACATAATTTTGGAATATTTTCAGACACTCGCCTTGATATCACTGGTTGTTGCATTCTATTCGGGTCGTCGTTCAAACGGGTTCGTCGTCACTTATTGCGTGTTGCAATTCGTTGCCCAGGGATTGATTTTCTTGAAAACGGTTGGTTAATAGAAAAATAACTAAATCAAAACCTTGTAAAGGTCTTCGATGGACAAGACCTGTCGCCATACCTGATTGCTCGTATCGTTTTGCTGTTTATTCTCAATGGCTCATTTTTTGGCAATGATGTCATTGTTGTGGAAAAAGAGGTTGGCCCTTTACATCCTAACAACACAAAATAATATATATAAAAAAGAAAGCAAGCTATACTTGCCCCGTTTGCGCTAAGAAAGTCGCTAGACTAACTGTAACATGGTCTAAATCTGGGGGGTAGTAAACTTGTTCACTACCCCTAGTAAAAAGTTCACTGGGGGTAGTAAGAAGTTTACTAGGGGTAGTAAACTTTTTGGGTTTACTAGGGGTAGTAAGCCCGTATGGTACCAGCCCTGGTTTTGAAAATGGGGTTTACCAAAATCAGTTAAATTTTTAGGGATTTTCCCCAGTCGACACCGCTGGTTTCCACTCAAGAGCAACCCTCTCATGGCTCTCCCCCATCATCGGCTTGGGTTATAGAAAAGTAATTCAAAATTCAAATCCAATGTTTGTTCCTCAATTAGGCGCTGGTCTTCGAAGATCTGTTCGACCTTCCAAGAAACACCTCCACAAAATACCTTATGAAAAAATGGGACGAGTCTTGGTTGAGGGAATTGGGTCGTAGGGCATGTTATAAAACTTTTAAACGGACTTTAAGGAGAAAATGTCCGGAACGGTGGCCGTCCCTCAGTATTCAAGGTGTTGACACAAGTGTTTTTGAAATCAATGATTGGACCGTCGGTGCTGCGTTTCGTGTCTGAGGCCATGTTGTTTATCAATCCAGTCTTACTGAAGTGGGTCGACGTCTAGCGTAATCGGGAACCCGATCCTTAGATTTCTTATCGATTTCGTCTCAACTCCGGAAGCTCCTCTATCCTTCGGGTTGCTATGTGCGTTGTGCATGTTTGCCTGTTCGGCTGTTCGTTCATTTTTGACAAACAACTATGCGTATCATATCCTGCAAAATGCCGTCTGGATGCAGTCCATGCTATCGACAGCGATTTTCCGAAAGGTGTGGAAGCGTTTGCATTACCAAAAATGCCTTGAAGACCCTGCGACTTTCACCTGTATCTCGCGGCCACCATACCCAAGGAGAAGTGATGAACTTCCTGGCCGTAGATGCAGAGAAGATCGTCAGCTATCTACCATTCCTCGTCGAGACCCTCACATGCCCCTTGGATGTGAGTAGCAAAGTCATCCAAGTTAAAACAACACTTCAGATTGTTCTGTCTATGATTATGCTTTGGTTTTTCATGGGATGGACTGCCATTTCTGGCATTATTCTGATGGCCTGCATCGTTCCGTTTAACTACTACACTTCGATGTATATCAAAAGGCTTCAGTTACAACAACTGAAAGTTAAAGACGAAAGAACCAAGCTTACGAATGAGGTAAGTTTCAGAAACCAATAGGTTGAATGCCCTGTAGGTATTGAATGGGATGAAACTGATCAAACTCTATGCCTGGGAGGAGGCGTTCGAGCGTGAAATCAATAAGCTCCGAGCCGAAGAAGTGCGAATTCTCAAAAAGATGAACATGACGGGCCGATTGGTGGATTCGATCAATTCTGCTGCACCATACCTCGTCGCCATGGCCACATTTGCATTCTACGTCCTGATCTCCGACGAGAATGTCCTCACCCCACAGGTGTGTGTAGATATAGCTCCGCTAGGTCTTTTCCAGATTGCTTTCGTCGCTCTGGCGATTTTCAATCAACTGAAAATGCCGATGAGGATTCTTGCCATGATTATCAACTATTTGGTGCAGGCTAGTATTTGGGAACGGTTGCTAAAATGCCATCCAGGCTTTGGTCTCGCTTCGTCGTATCGAAGACTTTCTGGTCGAAGAAGAAATGGTGGTTGGGCAGATCACGGCTCCCACGGATCCGAATGTCGTGCTTAATATGAAACATGTGGGGACTATACGATAACTAGAAAAAGATTATTTAGGCTGACTTTAACTGGCTCGGGATCACCTCCCCACCCACCGTCCGCATTCCGGAGCTTACAGTACGACGTGGTGAATTTGTTGCAATCGTTGGGGCGGTAGGAGCTGGCAAATCGAGTCTACTAAACGCGATGCTGGGTAGGTAAATTAAAAACTGGTAAGGAAAGAAGTATAGGAGAAATGTGCTACCTTCGAGGTGTCGTTGAGCTATGCGACAAAGTAGCGTATGTGCCACAGCAACCATGGCTTCGAAATGAAACGCTGAGGCAGAATATTCTGTTTGGGAAGGTAAGTGTTATAGGTGACCTTTTGGTTACCACAATCTAGCCTTACGATCGAAAACTCTACCGTCGCGTCACCGACTCAGCCCAACTACGGACCGATTTTGAAGCTATGGATCATGGCGATATGACCGAAATTGGAGAAAATGTAGTTTATTTCAAAGAAAACTAGAAAATTCAATATTTTAGGGCGTAACGCTGTCCGGAGGGCAAAAGGCTAGAATTGGATTGGCACGCGCTTTGTATCAGGTTGGCTCAAAACGTGAAACTGAAAAGACATGTCTAGGAGGCCGACCTTTACCTGATGGACGATTGTCTATCAGCGGTAGATGCGCACGTTGGATCCGCGATGTACACCCGGGTATTGGGAAGGGATGGAATTCTAAGAAACTCGACACGGATCCTGGTGACACATGGTTAGTCAGCACTTTCGTTAACGGATCGCGAATATAGGCCTGCAATACACAAAAGAATGTGACCGTATCCTGGTGATGAAAGATGGCGAGATTGCGGAGTCTGGGACCTACTCTCAGCTTCTGGTACTTAAAAAACATTTCCTAATGGCTCTTTTAGGAAGAAGGGGGCCTCTTTGCCGATATGATTCAGGAAATGGAAAAACATAAGGAGGAAGCCAAAGAAGAGGAGGCTGAAGAAATTTTGGATCCAGGTTTGGAAAACAAATCTTTTAATTGTATTTTAGGCCGATTGCCATCTCATCGTTTCTCTCGCATGGAGTCAGCTTCAGAAAGCGTTAAAGACGAGGCAAAATTGGTACAAAAAGAAACGGTCGAAACGGGCAGGGTAGGAATGAAATACTCAGAATAAAAATGGCAATTTAGGTATCGAATGCCGTATATCTGGCTTATCTAAAGGCCATTAGTTTGACCATTACGATGATAGTTTCAATCTTCGCTATTATCCACATCATCTTCGCGATCGCAAGATCATTGTGGCTATCTGCCTGGTCGAATGGAAATGTAGACGATGCGCTGCAGGAGAAGGATACCGGCACCAATCTTTCCGTTTTCTCATTCCTGGGTGTTGCGGAAGGTATGGTTAGCTAAAACCATTGCTAGGCAACGTTTATACTTTTAGTCATTACCCTCCTTGGAATCCAAATAGCTTTGGTGTTTGGATGCCAGCGAGCCTCGCTAGCTCTCCATTCCCCGGTCCTACATTCTATCTTGCGCTCACCAATGTCATTTTTCGACACAACGCCAGTGGGGCGGATTCTAAATCGTTTGGCCAGGGTAGGCTTGGGCTTCTAGAAAAGATCAACCTTTCTTAGGACCTAGAAGTCATTGACAACTTCCTACCAGCAACTATCGGGCAGTTCTTGAACTGTGCTGTGCAACTCTTCGTTGTACTCGTCATGATCTCAATCGCCACACCCATTTTTATCATTGCTGTGGTTCCAGTTTTGTTGATCTATGCCTATTTCTTGGTAAGCAACACAGCATCATTGTAGCCATATTTTATAGCGATATTACATCAGCGCGGCTCGTCAGCTCAAACGTCTGGAGAGTACGCGACGTTCCCCATTACTATCGCTGTTCGGTGAAACGGTGCAAGGAGCCTCAAGTATTCGGGCCTACAAAAAGAGTGACGATATTTGCTTGAATTTCGGAGAGCACGTCGACCAGTTTGCAAGATGCAAAAGTTTGGCATTTGCTGGGAATCGGTGGCTTGGGTTGAGGTAGGGTAGCTAGAAAGCGGTATTCATGAAATGCAGGCTGGAAGCTATCGCAGCTACGTTGATTCTATTGGCTGCCATGTGTGGCGTGTTCAGCTCAAGATTTTCCGACATTTCACCCGCTATGCTTGGCATGAGCATTTCGTACGCTCTAACGGTAGTTAGACGATTTGACGTAGATAAGCGTAATGATATTAGGTGACAGAACTACTGTACTTTGGTGTGCGAATGAGTTCTGAATTGGAGACGTACATTGTATCGGTGGAACGCGTGGACGAGTATACACGGCTGACGCCTGAAGCAGAATGGAGGAGTGGATCGCTTTCTAAGGAATGGCCATCGAGGGGACTGTTGGCTTTCAAGAATTTTGCTACGAAATATAGGTCAGATAATTTCTACCGCGTTCAAAATATGCTACAGATCCGAGTTGCCGCTGGTCATTCAAAACCTGACGTTAACCACAAGATCCGGAGAGAAAATCGGCGTCGTGGGCAGGACTGGGTCAGGCAAAAGCTCCCTGACAATGGCCCTCTACCGTATCATCGAAGCACAAGAAGGAAGCATCAGCATTGATGATGTTGACATCTCAAAAATTGGCCTCCATGATCTCCGCGAAAAGATTTCTATTATCCCACAGGTAAACTCAAATTCTTGTTAAAATCAATTTTCAGGAACCTGTCTTGTTCTCCGGTACGGTGCGTTTCAATATGGATCCATTCGATAAATACACGGACAAGCAATTGTGGGATGCGCTCGAGGTAAGAACTCAGAAAAGATTCGAGAAACAAGAATCCAGATTTGCCAACTGAAAGAATATGTCTCATCCCTACCCGGTCAGCTTGCTAATAAAATCACGGAGGGTGGTTTGAATATGAGGTTTGGAGATAAATAAAATTGGTATATAAGCGTAAATTTAGTGTTGGGCAAAGACAGTTGGTGTGCCTTGGACGAGCATTATTGAGGGGTGGAAAGATTTTGGTTCTGGATGAGGTAGGCTTAATTTACTTAATGCATTGGACACCTTTTAATCATAAATACCATTAATTTAGGCGACCGCTGCTTGCGATGTCCAAACTGATGCGCTGGTACAGCGGGCAGTTAGAGAAAACTTCCCGGATTCTACTGTGATTGCCATTGCTCATCGACTAGATACTATTGCAGATTACGACAGGTTAGAATACCTCAAAAACTAGAAGAATCGAACAGCTTAAAGTATTTAACGCAAATTTTAGGATATTGGTTTTGGATCGTGGACACTTGAGGGAATTCGATGAGCCGCAAAAGTTATTGGAAACCCCGGGTTCCTTGTATGCGTCTCTTGTGGAAAAGGCAAAACGTTCCGAGACCCGGCCATTTTAATTCCCACATATCATTTGTTTATTCTCGTTTGTGAAGCATAAATACTGTGATGTTCATTAGATACTCGGAAATCGTAAAATCAATATCACTAGGTGGCAATGGTTTATTGCTATTAGTGCTTTGTCGTCTGCATCTGTACAGTGATAATGGAAATCTGATGAGCTGGGTGTGAATAGCAGAGGATCGGCGCGAGCATATCTCGTCTCCCAAAAACGTTAGAAATCGAATGGACAATCATCTGGCACACCCCTTTTACAAAAGCAAAGAAGAAACGTCGATAAGGAGGGATTAAGCTGAAAGTTACAACTTCTTTTTTCCGGGATTAAACTTACCAGAGTGTAATCAACGAATTCAGCATAGTATGTGTAGAGCCAATTAATGTACATAAGGCGACAACTAGACGCTTTGGTAATACTGCTTCGACACCCAACTTACGAATATCAGGAACAAATTCAAACCCAATCGCAGCCAGCAAGAAAAATGTGAACGGGATTCCGATGCATACCACCGGAATTGAGGACTGAAACGGAAATCGAGAATGTTCATATTAGCTCACCTGCATCAGCAACAAAACTATCATCCTTTTCTGCGATCTCAATGTGCGACCAGTAATCGCTCTGGGTTGGAGATATAATTTGTAAAAAATAAATATTGTCAGGCTCCCAAGCCATACGACAGTAAAGGCAGTAAATGAACTACAGATTTCGAGATAGAGGATCATGTAAGGATCGTCCGGTGGTAAGATGATCACCATAGATTCGTTTCGGATCACGGCCAATCCAGGATCTGTGCGCAGCTTAAAAATTGATACTATTGCTAGGTTTATTTGCGATTTACCGAGTGTTGTATAATTTCTGGTAAGTCATTAGAGTAGGTTATCCATTGGAGTGATACCATTATCGCGAGCGTAAGATATATTAATGGGAAGAATATGAACCTTAGGTATCGGAAGAATTCCTGAGTCGCCTTTACAGTCAATGTTGTAAAACGTACCAAACAATTTCCAGACAGTACGGCTAGCAAGCGGTAATAGAAAGCGACGTGAAGAGCAACGACTTGCAGTAGCAACCCAACAAGGATAAGGCACTAGACTTTTTGAAAACCGAAGTCTACACCGCTCCACATAAATTTGTAGGCACCCCCAATTTTTGGTCTAGGGAAATCGCAGGTCATTATAGCGCTTTTATCCCAATTACCCAATACTAATTGGGGTTTGTGAAGCTGAAAAAACTTGTGAGATTTTTACGAAACCACCTCCGAAATTTTAAAAAATTATTTTTCTGAAAATTAGGTTTTGGCCGATCCACAAAAATATGTAGGCAGTACCATTTTTTCGCGATTTCCGGATTCAGCGTCATTTTTTTCACCTCGAAAACCATTGGTGATGGTTTCTGGTGATGCTCTTGCTTGAGCAATTACTTTTTTCAAAACAGACACAGTAAGCTCGTGCTCCAAGCGCGAAAAATCGTGGGATCAAAAAGTGATCTGTAAACGAGATCGTTTTAGCGGTGGGAACGATACTTTCGGAATGTTACCGAGCGGATGTGGTCCGCAGAGGCCTTCCGACCAGAAGCAGATGCATCTCAAGCCTCAATTGCGCATTTAAAACGCAAAACTCCCTGAACTTGTTTCTGGCCCCACCGTAGCCTGGGCCTAACTTGGGGTAAAATTCTCCTTTTCAGGCGATTTCAAACTCGGTTTGTGCTGTAACTTCGTCACATGACCTGTACGCTTCCGTACGTAACGCATCGAGCTCGATTTTCATCGAGATCGACCGGAGACGGGTCCAAGCCACCACAGAACCGGGTACTGGGACATGCACATCTTGGGATTCTTCAGCATAAAGGCTCGAGGGATTTTGGCAGCGCAGGATCCGGCGAATGGCAAAGGCGCATCAATTTTGCATCATTTGGAAGCATTATTCGCGCGCGTATTGCCCCTTAAGCGATTTCTGAGATCCCGTTCCATGAACCATCCTGATTCCGGCGCCTTGCCGGCGACAGCGGCTAGATTTTGTTGAAAATCGAGTTCGATGCGTTACGTACGGAAGCGTACAGGTCATGTGACGAAGTTACAGCACAAACCGAGTTTGAAATCGCCTGAAAAGGAGAATTTTACCCCAAGTTAGGCCCAGGCTACGGTAGGGCCAGAAACAAGTTCAGGGAGTTTTGCGTTTTAAATGCGCAATTGAGGCTTGAGATGCATCTGCTTCTGGTCGGAAGGCCTCTGCGGACCACATCCGCTCGGTAACATTCCGAAAGTATCGTTCCCACCGCTAAAACGATCTCGTTTACAGATCACTTTTTGATCCCACGATTTTTCGCGCTTGGAGCACGAGCTTACTGTGTCTGTTTTGAAAAAAGTAATTGCTCAAGCAAGAGCATCACCAGAAACCATCACCAATGGTTTTCGAGGTGAAAAAATGACGCTGAATCCGGAAATCGCGAAAAAAATGGTACTGCCTACATATTTTTGTGGATCGGCCAAAACCTAATTTTCAGAAAAATAATTTTTTAAAATTTCGGAGGTGGTTTCGTAAAAATCTCACAAGTTTTTTCAGCTTCACAAACCCCAATTAGTATTGGGTAATTGGGATAAAAGCGCTATGATGACCTGCGATTTCCCTAGACCAAAAATTGGGGGTGCCTACAAATTTATGTGGAGCGGTGTATATTATTTACCGAAAATAACATAATAAAGAATGGTCCCATAGGAATTGGTGTTATATAAAACGCTCCACAATAGTGCCCAGCAATAATTGGTTGAGCAAGTGATGATGAGAAATCGAAAACAAGCGATGACACCTAAATGTCAATATCGTATGGCCAAGACCCGGGTTCTTACTGAAAGATTGGCCAAAACCCATCTATAGCCCTTTAAATGTTTTGGGGATCGCGTAGAAATTGCATATAATGTTACACAGGAGAGCATTAGGGCGAGTAATCCAAATAAGAAGAACATTACAGATAGGAAAATTCGTAAAATACCCGTGGGGTGGAACATCTGAAAAATGAAACTTCAACAGAATCAAAAATGTAGGCCAGCATCAAAAATAAAACGGCGAATTTTAAGCTATTGGTCAATATGGTCCGTATATGATACTACACCACCAATTAGTCCCGAGCGGCAACATCAGCCTCAGCCCGGCCCTATTGTCATTTCTAGGAAAAAAGGTGGCTTGAGCCAAAAAATTCGTGATTTCCACCTGCCGTTTGGCCCCCATAACACGATTTGTTAATGAAGAAGCGGCGGGTTCATCGAGTTTTGGCTGGTCAAACATTTTTCGAGGAAGGGTTCTTGAGCTTAAAGTCTTCAAGTGGTCCCTGGGGAGCTTGTCGACTAGCCAAAAGCATTATTGCAGGAAAACAAAAAATGAGCTTTTGCCTTTATGTGCAGAACAACAACGTTGTGTCATAAATCGGCAAAAGTCAAGGAATAAAACATTTTATTCTTAGCCCCATGACTGTCTATAGTACAGAAAGTATTGTTCGGCTTCGACGTCGCGATTTGGCTTTTCTGGGCGTATCACTTGGGGGAGGAGGTGGAGCGTGACCCTCCAATAATTCGAGTATTCGTGTCGCCATTCCTCAACCGACCATAGTACAACGACAAGGAATATCGGGCTGTACCTAACTCAACCAAATTAGAAAAAAGATTGAACCAACGACACAATCCACAGCTCAAATAACCCTCCAAATAACTGTGCCGGGGTGGAATCGAGGGCAAAGACTCCAAAGGTCAAGCCGCCAAACAGCGCTCCAAAGCAGTTCAGCCCCGAGAGAACGATGAGCAGATTGTGAAGTAGCTTTACCAATTTACAATGTATTTTAACTGCTTTATACCTTTAAGGAACGTAGATTTTCATCAACTTGAAACCGTAAAGATAAATTATACTCCCAGCCGATATCATCTCGGGTCAGCCTAGTCGATAGATCCTCGTTGTAGGTGTGCAAGCGCTTGTATGCCTGCATTTAAAGCGCTTTGAACGAGCCGTGATGTTCCTACCAAGATGGTTCCAGCTGATAGTGCCAAATAAATAGGAGCGGCCACTGCGATTGTTGCAACCATAGCATAGGCAAATGCTAATTGATCAAACAATAATTTGAATGTTTGGATAAAAAACCTAATGTCATAAAACATGCTCCGAATCCATTAATCAAAATCACGGAGAGGATAATTGTTGATGAGATTGTTGGCCATTTATGTTGTTCGTAATTGGAGACGTAGTGTGTAGCAAACATCCTGCGAATTTTTGGTCTAAATTTTTGAAAGAAAGGAATTACCTCTCAATGGTGAATTGAGGTACGATAAGAGCTTCAACAAACACGACGAAGAAGCAGTACACGGATAATAGAAACGCCAACAAATCCCAGGCCACTGAAACTTAAAGGGAAACGGTATTTAAACGAAGTATAAATACTAATTAAATATTTTGTACTTGCTTACCAGATATCGGAAAGAATTTCAATCGATATGGTATCAAAAGTAAAGCAGCGAATTCCAAGAACCACATATTGATGGCAATAAACAGAAATATACGGGTGAGGTTCGAATGAAAAATGGCCGAATGTGCTATCATACGGATAAATGGGACAAATAGAACTATCGTGATGATTGCCGTCAAGAATTCGAAAGCCGTGATTAGGTAAGCTACGGCAAGGGCGCATTTTTGATCCTAAATCGGCGAGATGACATTTTTCTGAGCCCTTACCTTCAATAAATCGACATCAATAAGTACCGTCAAAAATACGGTAATCGGAGCACCGGCTACATTGAAGTTGTGAAGCATCTTGTAAGTTGATATATGAATTTTGACAAAACTCGGACAATCTAGCGTTTCTCGGAAATCGAATTGGCCGGCGGTGTACGCAGTCCCAGGACAAGGCACCAAAAAACTCCCAGTTCAGCTGCCGCCGTTCCAATTTCACCTGTTGGAAAGGGTTTTCGAGAGGAGGCTTAATGCCATTGGCTTACATGAATAGCCACAAAGTTCGTCATCATCTTCTTTCAGGGGATCTGCAAATCAACTAAAGTGAGAGGGCCTCAAAAAGTTGTGACATGTTAAATTACTGAAATATTGAATAACCGGATGGTTCCAGTCGGTTCGCGACTGCAACCATCTGGCCTTCGGGCTACCCTACATGTAATACACCTAAGTGTTCATAATTATAAAGGCAGTCGAATTTTTTGAAAAATCTCAATTTCTAGCGGGTTTCAGGAAAAGCCTTCTTTTGCAGAAAATACCCCAATTACATCTCAAAAGCAAATATCAAATCGATTTTTACTTTCCAGGGCGAGCCTTTTCTCTGTGAGGCTTTTTGTCGAAAATGGTGTTTTGAAAACGTTCATAATTATAAAGGCACTCTATGTAAAAAATTCTTAAAATTCGGAAATCGATATCAGGTTGTTAGAAACTCTTTCAATAACGCTTAGCGGTAATATTTCACTGAAACAGATGAAAGAGACGGCTGTCCAAGCACTGATCAAGGATTGCGAGCACTTTTTTCCGCCAAACAAGGAAAGACGCTAAAAACACGCCAGTTCCTGCTCGCCAAGCCTTAATCCCGACGTAGAACTTGTTAATCATAAAGTGCCAGATATTCTCATTGACGTTTAAGCCAGGGGGAATAGGCTGACCAAATCATAAATCAATTTCAAGGGGTCGACACCAAACCCGGAGCTTGTCTGGTTCGAGGAATCGAATCTTTCTTTGGCCGACAAAAGCCGTTTTAACTCGGATTCAACCGGGAAACGGCGGCACGGCTCGGCGCGGTACGTGACGCGACAGCGCGACCCGTTTCTTGGCCAAAATCGCCTCGAATCCGCTTGCAAAGCCGTGTTTGACTGATTTAGCCGAGTTCAGAAAGATATGATGTTCTTAAGGCAGACCGGATCCATTTTACCGGTCGCAAGAAGCCTTCAGGTGCTGATCCGGAGAGGTTTCTCTATTAGTGGCACAACACAACCCCCGTTCTCATCAAAGAAAAATAAATGGGGCAGAGTTACGGTAGCGGCAACCATTATCGTTCAAAAACGGTTAACCCGTTTATCGTACAGTCTCAAACGCATCGAGACGACAATTGACACTTGCTGCACCGAGCCGTGCCGCCGTTTCCCGGTTAAAACCGAGTTAAAACGGCTTTTGTCGGCCAAAGAAAGACTCGATTCCTCGAACCAGACAAGCTCCGGGTTTGGTGTCGACCCCTTGAAATTGATTTATGATATGGTCAGCCTATTCCCCCTGGCTTAAACGTCAATGAGAATATCTGGCACTTTATGATTAACAAGTTCTACGTCGGGATTAAGGCTTGGCGAGCAGGAACTGGCGTGTTTTTAGCGTCTTTCCTTGTTTGGCGGAAAAAAGTGCTCGCAATCCTTGGTCAGTGCTTGGACAGCCGTCTCTTTCATCTGTTTCAGTGAAATATTACCGCTAAGCGTTATTGAAAGAGTTTCTAACAACCTGATATCGATTTCCGAATTTTAAGAATTTTTTACATAGAGTGCCTTTATAATTATGAACGTTTTCAAAACACCATTTTCGACAAAAAGCCTCACAGAGAAAAGGCTCGCCCTGGAAAGTAAAAATCGATTTGATATTTGCTTTTGAGATGTAATTGGGGTATTTTCTGCAAAAGAAGGCTTTTCCTGAAACCCGCTAGAAATTGAGATTTTTCAAAAAATTCGACTGCCTTTATAATTATGAACACTAGTGTACCTATCTACCTGCTTCCACTAACTACTTCGATACCTTCTTGACGGCTTTAGACCCTCTCCTAGCCGAAATCCCCTTCAAAAACTACCTAAATACCTTCAGATCCGAAGACTTTTTTATAATGTTTTCATCATTTTTGGGGTTTCTGACCGCGCTCTATCCGAATCCGAAGAGAGCTAAGCTCTAGCTCCTTTCCCCTTCGAGTTGAATTCGGCTTCACACGGACGGACGGACGGAGACCACAGCAAAATTATTATAGTTGATAGAGTTCACAAAATTTAACGGGTTGCAAAAGGTCCTAGTAGAACAGGGTCGAGCCACAATTCGCGAAAGGCTAACCGGAAATGTTATGCAAAAAAACGGATACGAGTGTGGACACCGGTCAGATCCCGCAGAGGCGATCTTTGCTGATTTTAAAACTAAAACCCATGTTATTCTTATTGCAATGTGCTTCACTGATTCCATAAAAATTTTGCGACTCCAGTTTTCAGATGTCTACAATTTCGAAGCCCCGTTTCACCGCCGTCCAACCCTAGCATCAGCTCGTTTTTCCCCAAACATTTTTGGGCTAATTCGGCTGGTCGCCGGCGCTATCGCTAGCGTTATCTCTGGCAACTCGTCGGGTGCCTCTGGTCTTTCCACTTTTTCGCCCCCTGGTTCCAAACGGGTTAACTCCTAAAAGCGACCCCGGATCGTCGACGATGAAGGCGATTTTCTTCGTTGTGCTGGCAGTATGTGCCGGGTCAGCCCAGGTAGATGATTTGAACTTACTGTTCGCAGTAGACCAACGCATTTAGCAAAGGACCAATTTGCAAATTACAGGCAAACTGGATGAAGCTGCCGTCCCTCATCATCCGCGAAACCCAACATCTGATGAACTTTGATAAGCTTCCAGCGCCCATTATCGAAGACAACGAACCGGAAAGGGTAGGACTTCAAAACATAAAAATTGAAGTGCATTTCCAGGCAATCGATGAGCCAGTTTTTAGAGGGGATCTGGAGAAAGTACGTGTGATCAGCGTAAGTGTAGCCTTAGCGTTCTCAAGCCAAGATTTCTAGTCTGAGGATCTTCGCCTCAGCTCGTCGGCCGAGGAAGGGGTAAGGAGATGATAGATTTTGTAAAAAATTACTTAAAGGTGATGGAAGAGAAGGTACACTTGTCGCCACCAAAGGAGTTCGTGCCCAACAAGGTGAATTTGGACTTTAATGACCAGGGTTGCGACTTTTCAACCCTGGCCCCGTCCAGCCCCATAATATTCTTCACGCTGCTTACGTTTCGCCATTCCGTTACGAAAAATGAAAAATTTCACTCTCTCGCTCATTATAAAGGCTACCGCAACTTCCGGCGTATGCTAATTGTTTCCTACCAAAGAGGGTTCCCGGTTTTACAACAAAAATGTGATTTTAATATCGAAAACTACGGATTTTCTAAAATCTGATAAGCGTGCAGTCATCTCGGCGCCATTACGTACCTAATGACGTATCATACGTAGCCTAATACCCTTCCCTTCATGAGATATCCTCCGGACACCCTGACGGAAGTTGCATGCAAATGCCCACACACACAGACTACTTTTTTATATATAGTAGAATTTTGTATTTTAGCTTCCTTCTCCAATCGATGATATGGATCACCTGAATCGCGATGGGATCGAGGCCGACGGGAAGTGGGAACCATCGTTGGACACCGAGGGTCAGTACGAGGTTTGTATTTCTGTATCGGATGCATTAAATTGAAATTCAGACTTATTCAAAGGACGTATTTTGGGGTGAGGACGAGGCCGGGAAAGAGCGACCATCGTATATTGGGGGACTTCTGAAGTCCGAAAAGGCTGCTGTACTCAAGTGAGTGTTTCGGAAATAGCTGTGATGAAAGGTGAAATAGGCTTCTAGGCTATTGTTAGGAAGGTTTAGATGAAACCTGCAAATTTAGGCTCTCCCAAATGGAGTGGGAATCCCCCGACTACGATTTCGATGCCCTTCCGGAGGCTTTTGACTGGCGTAACGTGAACGGAACGAACTACTGCTCGCCTAACCGCAATCAACACATCCCGGTGTACTGCGGCTCGTGCTGGGTGTTCGGCACCACTGGTTTGAGAGTACGGTTTTAAAAATTAGAGAATCCAGGAATGCTGAACGATCGATTCAACGTTGCTAAGAAGGGACGCTGGCCAATGACGATGGTATCACCCCAGGTTTGAATTTTCTGAATTTTATTGTTCTGACCTTAATTTTAGGAAATCATTGACTGTGGTGGAAAGGGAAATTGTCAGGGTGGTACGGTAGGTGATGTGTTGGAGCATGCACAGAAAAATGGGCTCGTCGAGGAGGGATGTAATGTCTATCGTGCTATCAACGGAGGTATCTTTTTCAGCCTGCTGGAAGCGCTAAAACAGCTTTCTATCATCTGTATTTGCATTTTGCATCACTTACAAGATTATTTTATTAAGCTACAAACCGAAAATAGTGAAGAGTAGGGTTATACCCGAGCATAGTCAAAATGCGTGTTTTGATAGGGTCAACAGTTGTTTTGGCAATAATTGGTAGGGATAGGGTCGCTGAATAATTTGAGGATCCATTCGGAAGGCAGGGTCACATAACATCGGGTCGTAAAATCAATACAGAAGGCAGAGAAGCTAGCACAACAGATAGATAATAATAGGAAAGGGCTAAAAGCAAATATCACATTGCGGGAAGCTGTTTTATTTGGTGGAAGCGCGCGAATTTACAATTGTTATATGAAATTTACAAGCGATGAAGCCTAGCTAGGTACTAAAAATGGAAACAAGCAGCCTGAAAGCCATGCGGTTAGTTAGAAGACTTTAGTTTATTGGATTGTTAGTATGTAGAACGTATAATACAAAGAAATAGCCATGTCGTTAAGTGGTTGATAATTGTCCATTGTCGGGCTGTGTCCGCATTGGAATCGGCAATTTGGTCTTGCCCTTATAAACGACATTTTGATGGACAAATGTCGTGCGTACCGGCTGGGGTTCTTGGTTGGGTGTAAGGAAATAGGATTGTTGTGTATATTCAGCGGCGTCCATGGTGACATACTGAGGTTGGGGCGTTTGATTTTGATGTTGGGGCCGGGGTGCTGAACGCGGAGCTGGGGCTCGAGGTGCGATGCGTTGTGCTGTAGGTACCCCCGGTTGGGCTGGATTTTCGGTGTTTGTGACGTTTGTTCTAAAAATACTTGATATCTTAAAGCCATACATAGGGTGATCGTCAAGAAAAGGAAAACCTACTTCTTTTCGTTGTTTCTTTTTCGATTCGTCTCCCCACTTAATTGATAGAACCGTCCTCCATCACTCCTCGTCCGATTTAAGGCATGACGATGTCGGGATTCATGTAGGTATTCCTAGAAAGTGCATTTGAACGCTCAAATTTGGAAAAATCTAAATACCTGTCTCTTTGCTCCAATCGGGGGTATCCGACCAGCTTTTTCCAAACGACACCTCATCTCCCGTCGTTTTATAATCCTGTCATATTGCCGCGGGTTGACATACATCACTTGCTCGCCACCCCTAAAATATTTGTACATTTTCGATCCCGTAATCCTACTCGTCTTCACCGGCATACACCTGTGGCGCTGTAGAAGTTTGCGCCACATATTCTTCAGTTGGGTACTCCGGTTGGGAGGCGACCGCTTGCGTTTCCGTTTCCGGTTGGTGGTCAATGTGCACTGAACGTTTGTTTCTAATAGTCAACTTGTTGTCACCAACCTGTCTGCTCATAATATTGCCCATTTCCCTGTGAAGTTTCGGGTTGTTCCTGCTGCTGATTCGCTAGCTCCTGGGCAAAGTGTTGGTTGACAAGGTCCGGCGCGAAAATCGTGCCATCGGGGAGCAGCTAGAGATCGATAATCGTAATTATTCTGTGGGAACACCCCCCTACCCTCGCCCCCTCTGGCAGTTGCAGTATGAATTTTCCATCCTCGTCAGGCGGGAGTGTGGCATCGATCTATACAAATAAATTATTCATGACACTAGGTCTTTTAACTTACCGTCCGATGTCCATCTGTCACCTTTAAGGTGATCCCGTTCTGCCTGAAAATAGAAAATTAGGTGTGTTTATTTGATTCTGAAAACTGGACAATTTTAATGATAGAGAACTATCAAAAAATATATCAAAACCTACCCTGTATACCATCCCACACAAAACCAAGCGAAAAAGTCATAATACCAAAGATTCCCGTGTAAACCGATCAGAAATAGGGGCATTTTCTGGTTTGGACTCAGAAAACCTAGCACTAGCTTGCCCTTGGACTCCAAGTTCTTCAGGTGAAATAAGCTTTCCCTCTGCCTTTATGCACACCCTGATCATGACGGTTTTCACTTTGCATCTGCCCCGGATTAAGCAATTATTGTTAGGCTGGCTGGGCCCCCGGTAGCCATGGCATTGGCCAGGGACCAGGCTAAATATAGGGTCCACTAGATCGGGACCCTCGATCGACAGGTCCAACCCCCCTTACCACTAAAGACCCGGCGGTAAAGAATGGAACTTACATGGAAAAGCCTGAGGGGTGTCGGGTGATTGGCTGGCGAGTGGATTGGCCCGGGATCAATCCCCGCGTCCCACCCCCTAAATTTCGGGGCAAAGAACGGGCGAAAGGGCGGGAGTGCAGATTTGGGGTTTGGGGTAGGCATGGAGGGGGCCGAAATATATTACGACGCCCAGCCAGGGTGTTAGTCCCTGCCCGTCGCCGGGGGCCTATTAATTATGTTTTTCGAGGATGGCGCCGCATTTGAAGATTCTAAATGGGTTGGGGTGATGGAATTGGGCGATAATTTATTATTTGGAATTTTGGATTTTCTGAAATTCACCAATAAATGTGACTTGTTATAAAAAATCAAACCTTAAGTTGCTGGACAGTGATGACATTTCTAGATCAATACAATCTTTTTAATTAAATTATATTATTTATGAATCAGTTTTTTTCAGAATTCTGCCATATCCTGACAAATTGAGATGGTTTCTATTTAGTTCATACTCCAATTATACTGATTCTCAATAGTTTTTTTCAATCATGCTACCCATTCCCAAAAAGGCAGACACAATTTTGAATAGTTTTAAATGCAATTATGCTTTTTTAAATAAGCAAATTTCTAATTCTTCCAGAATGCTCCCCATTCCATCGTTGCGGCTCCTGCTGGCCCGACAACTGCTTCGCACTCCAAAACTACACTCGATACTATGTGAAAGAGTACGCCCAGGTTAGCATAATTCTTTGCTTATTTACAAAAATATAGATCTTAGTGATATAATTATGGCAATTAAATAAGGCCCAAAATTCTAACAATTACATACTTTGCAGATTAACGGTACCAACCCTGAAGACACGCGCAATAAGATCAAGGCTGAGCTGCAGGCTCGAGGCCCGGTTGCATGCGCCATTGGAGCCACCAAGAAGTTTGAGTACGAATACACCAATGGAGTTTACTCGGAGGAGAGCAACCTGGAGGTGAGCGTGAACCTCGTTCTCAAAATAGAGATTTTCTAGGGGCTTAGATAGATCACTGCACCTTTTCTATAGTGCTACAAATTTTTAGTCCATTAAAAACTTTTTTAGTCGAACCACATCGTGACGGTGTCAGGATGGGGAGTCGAAAATGGCACCGAGTACTGGACGGTTCGCAACAGCTGGGGAGATGCCTGGGTAGGTGTGAAAAAGCTGATCCAGCACTGATCTTGACCGTACAAACATACAGTTTCTATTTTCAGGGAGAGACCGGTTGGTTCCGCGTTGTCACTTCTTCCTTCAAGGAAGGAAATGGCGACAAATGGAATATGGGCATCGAAAGGGAGTGCTACTATGCCATCGTTGATGCCTCGAACCTGTAGTTTGAGTTGTTAAGGAATAAATGTTATATGAGCAATATCTAATAAAATGCAAAATAAAGATGAAACTGATGGAATTATTGAAAAACGGTCAGCAATGCCTTTTCTGGTATGTAGCCGGTGAAAACAAGGCAAACAACGCAGCTCGCTAGCTCTCCCCGAAACGCGCACCAGCTGGCTCACTCCCAGGGAGGCCCCTTTATAAGATCACGCCCACCTACGATGGTTTCAACCTGGCCATGATGTTAACGAATTCCTCGTTTACGATTAACCCTGAGTGTAAAAAAATAGCTGAGCCTTTCCTTTTTGTTGTTTTGTATGATTTTTATCCAAAGACACATTTATTATACTTTTTTTTCTTCAGATACCGATATGCTTTTGCAATATTTTGACCTTTTTCGGCGGGATTTTCGGATTATCTGCTTTTCCACTTTCGAAAATTTAAATATATTGCTCCTCAATTTTCTAACCATACTTAATTTAGTACTTGGCTTGAACCTGAACCCTTTACTCGCAGATACAGATATGGAACGCGTCATCAAGCCCTCCGACCAAATAATTATACGTAGGGATGATTCAAAGATTTGATAACGGGGGTGAAAACGATGGAAGGCTTGGCATATTTCAGGAGGGCGAGAGAAATAGAGGGCTAGAGAAGGTGAGGCAGGGTCTACCTTGAGCACACAGATACTCACCGCTTTCTTGCCCCGGCCCTCAGATAGAAAACGGGCCGCGGTCTCTTGTTAGCTTTTTGGCAGCCTACGCCTATTTATTCGATTTGTAAGGCTATTTTGCGATGGGATTTAATAAAGACAGTAAGTTTTTAAAAGTAAATATTTTGAAAAGCATTTAGAAAGATAGATTCTTAAGTTTTGTCGACAGTTCAAGTTTTGACCTTTCAGCCATAGCCCATAGTGGCCAATTGGACATCTATAAAACATCTTTCCTCAGCAACAAATGGAAATCGAGGGATTGTCGTTTGGAGAAATCTACCTCTAACTCTAATAGCAGTGATTGGTGCTTCAATATCTACAGCATCGAGGCAAAAATAAATTCTGTCCACAAAAGCATATCCTTAGGATCCAAATCGCCTAATTCAATCCCAACCTCTTGGGGAAATTAACAACTACTTCTTGGGCACCGAATTAGCCAATTATAAAAATGGTAGGTCTAAAAATAATCCTAAAAATACTTGGCCCCGTAAAGTTATCTTCCCGCCGTTGCCACCATACCGGAAGCGGGAGCTGTTATTGGGGCTGCATGATCGGAAGGCGTCGAAAATTCTTTGGATCCATTTTAATACTATGGACAGAATGCGGTAGGCGAAGGTTCTGTTTTAATAACAGCCATTTTCAGTGAATGGCTAAAAGTCATGGGCGATCTGCTCGAAAAATCAAAGCCATCCGGTTCCCGGGTTCCGCTGAAGCATTTTCAGATATCAAACGGAAATGCGCGTAGTTATGGTAGGAGCTTCGACGTTTGTTAAAAGGCTTTTTAGAACCCAACAAGGCCAGATTTTCGGGGTATGATGTGGATTCCAACATTTTTCTGTACCTGTTGTTTGCTTGCGGTAACAAATTCTTAATTATTTTATCCTGAATAGGAGAAAATCACGAACATCACCATCACCATGGGACTGACGATGGGCATCATCACCATCATCACGGCCATAATAATGTAGGTAAATATATGGTTGCCCAAAAAAGCAGCTTCTCACCGCTTTATTTAGGATAACACTCATCATCACCATCATGGAAATAACGAGGTGAGCGTCTTGGAGTTGAGTGGGTATAGGCAGATGGGATTATTGAACCTCTAAACCCCGTACCTTCTAGGATAACCATCACCATGAACACCATGCACACCACAATACTCACCATCACCATGATCATAACAGCAGTACCACCATAGAAGCTGGTAGTAGTTGACCTTTATTAGGCTCTACCTTAAATAATCCGCACTTGGCCGCAGCTTATGGTTGAATACCACAATTCAATTATTCATTTTAGTGACTGTGCACTCGACTACGCACGACCTTTCCGATTTTGGAGGTATTGTGGAAAAAGACTAGCAAACTCGACAATTCAGGCGGAGGAGGCGGTGATTTTGGCGGCGGCGGAGGTGGCGACAGTGGCGGTGGTGGCTGTGACAGCTTTGGCGGTGATTGATAACTGTGAATAAAGTATTTAAATTTGAAAAGAGCCGATGAAAAAGCATGAGCTGAACCAGGGAAACGGTTGGCATTCCCATTAATAGTGATCTGGCTATAAATATTTTAAAAATGATATATTGACCGTTATGGATAAATTACTGCAAGTCCAAAAGTTGCTAGAAAAAAATCCCACGTCTCAGCCAAGCCAAGACGGTGAAATTGACCCTAATAATGATCTCGAAACTAACCTGCGCCTTATTGGACAAATTCCAAAAATGCAAAACATTTGCACGAAGTGGGATTCGAACCCACGCATCGATACCGATACCAGAAGACCCGAACCCGCGGTACTCGCAGGAAGCAATGCTTGAGTCTGGCGCCTTAGACCACTCGGCCATCCGTGCATGGGGAGAGAGGGCTGGGGGGTCCTTTTCCCTCTTCCCCAGCGGGCCCCGCCCATCGTGGTCGCTCTCTTGTTGGCCTTTCGGAAAGAGGGCGAGCCTTGGGTCTTTTGGACATTCTTTTCCGAGATTTCGACGATTCCATTCTGATTTTCCAAGAAGAATTTGGGTGCGAGCAGTTCTGGAGCCAACCGAGTGGCATCTAGCGGCCCACACTCTTTTTCTAGGCGTCAACGAGCCGTGGGGCTATCTCTGCCATGTGAAAATTGAGATTAAAAAAGATCTGTGCTGAAATATCTACAACCAGAAGGAGTAGCCAGATTAGGATCCGCTTATGACTTGGTTTATAATTGTAGATGCCGTGCGATCTGAATTCGACTCCAAGAATCCGCATTCACGTTCCTGAGCTAATGAGCGATCGGCATATTCCTCCGTGTTCTAGCCGGAAGTTGCCCTTTTCAAGCCTGTTTTACCGGTTACCGCAGCGATTCATATCAAGGAAAAACCAAGCGACTGAAGTGAAAGGGAGTCCAAAGGAGCCAAATTCGTAACGAAATTTTGAGTGAATCAACTTTGCAAGGTCTTCTTATATGAGTTTTCTAACCCCGAAATTTTATCTAAAGCACAAGACTTAAGACAAAAGGTTATGGGCTAATCACATATCTGGATTTACAATCTTCTGAAGAAGGACTTAAATTCAAAATACAGACCATATTTTAAACCAAATGACACTGGTTCCCTCCGTTCTTCTATATTCCTGCGTTACCGAATGATGGTTAATAAATCTATCTACTGAATCGAATCCCGCGTCATAAGCGTAAAGATAAATACAAGACAAGGTACCGATTAATTTGATCCTCTGGGATCGTTAACTTCGTCAGCAGCTTCTTCATGTTTTTAACTTCAAAAGTACGTTGGTTAAGTAACGTAAATTAACGTTGTTCAAACGTTAGTAGCTGCAAAACGCTACTTGACCGCCTATAGTGAGGATCCCGACACTTTCCACTAAACAAATTGTGGAATTAGGTGTACCGCGTTGTAAGGCGGCGCCCTCGAAGAGCGATGGATGGAAAGATGCAGTTTATCGCCGCTTTTCCTACCAAATCTATTTCCATTTTAGGTAGCTATCGAAAGGAGCCGAACGGTAATGTGTCTTACGCCCGACAGCCCCCACCACCACCAACAGCTTGCCAGGTTTGAAGTTATTTTTGTGCTTCCCGTCTATCGGTGGGCGGTTTAGCCAACTTTTCCTTGTTTAGTCTATTCCTCCCCGGTGACAAAAGGTATTTTATTTCTAATAGTGTTTAGTAGTTGCCGATAACTAGCAAATTATACAGATCTTTCAAATTTGAAGTTCTAGCTCATTGCCCGTTTTCATACATTTTTGACCGAAGCTCTAAATGAAGTTTGGCGTTTTATATCAATTTGATTTATACGTACGCGGCGTTCTCATTTATATACTAAAAACGTCGTTTGAGCTTAGAAAGTTTTAGAAAAGTAGTTTATATGGCATAATTGGCCAACGAGTTCATAGGAAGCCAGAAAGTTCAAGTAGGTTCGCTACCGCCCCCCGTTAAAATAACAAGCACCGGTATTTTTCAATGTGTTTTGAATTTACTTTGCAGAATCGGCGTGATGGGCAGGGAATCGTCGTCACCAACCAGCCGACAGCAACTTCATATGTGTAATTGCGGTTAGTGGGATATGAGATACTTCTCCGTTTATATTTTTTTAATAGGCACAAACTACAATGTCCGCAACGGGTGAATCGACAAGCTCGTCTCGATCGGCCGTTGGCTCTTTCTAGAAAGGTAATTGATGATTTACTACTGATTTTAATTATAGGTTGGTCTTCCCAAGTCGTTGGCTTTCCCTGTGCGACCGGATAAGACGCGTTGTCGTTCGCTGACGCCTTGCGAATGTAATTGCGGTTAGTGGGATTTGAGATACTTCTCCGCTCTATATCGTTTTAGTTGCCACCAACCGCGGCTCCGTAGAAGTACCCATAACGAGTGAATTTTACAAGATCGTCTCGATGGATCGTGAGCGCGTTTACAGAAAGGTAATTAATGCTTGTCTACTGATTTTAGTTGAACCTTTGTCTTCCGTCGCTGTTCTTCGTCGACCATGCAGCTGTGACAGGATAAGACTGATGGTCGTCCGCTGATCCCTTGCGAATGTAATTGCGGTTAGTGGGATTTGAGATACTTCTCCGCTTTGATATCGTTTTAGTTGGCGAAAACTGCAGCTCCGTAGAAGTGCCCATAACGTGTGAATTTTACAAGCTCGTCTTGATGACTCGTTGCTCGATTCCAAAAAGGTAATTACTGCCTTTCTACTCCATTTAGTTGTACCTTTGTCTTCCGCGATGGCTGTCATTTCCTCCAACATGCTGCGGCGACAGGATCAGGCGGGCAGTTTGTTGGTACCATGCAGGTACTTTTGGTGCTTCCGTGTTTGCGAGAGGGCAAGACCAAATTTTTTTTAATTGGGGGATCCCGGACCGGGCATTAAAAAAAGATTTGATAGTGTTTTTAGTAGCGCGGTCTCTAAAAGATTAGTGAAACTTTATTAGGGCATATTAAAAAGCTTAGTTCTTGCCCAGTTTCTTTAATTTTTCATATTTTTGGACCTCAGGTCAACGTTTCAATTTTTGCATGTTTATCCGGATTGTTTTTGTATTAAAATATATGTAAAACGCGATGAAAATTGTTCAAATTTAATTACTTACCCTGAAACCGCCATCACAATTTTTTTGGTTAGCCGCCCCCGTGATCATGGAAGCACCTAGCTTTGAGTAAATACCGAATCTTCAGGTTTATGCTTACTAGATCAACGGATGTTATTGCTCATCGTCGCACGTCAACCATTTAGAAGAAACGAGGATTAGTTTTCGTCCTAGCTTTTCCAAACGTTTTTTTCAGGCGGATACATTGCTCTCATCACGTACTACCTCGCACCGAAACATTCTGCTCGCAAGCCGACAGGATCAACGACAGGACGGCAGCACCAACGAAACTATTAGAAGCAATAATCCCTCTTTCTTCTAGATTTATTTTCATAGGCTTAGTTAGCAAATTTTTAAAGTTTGACGTGTTGCATACGTTTCTCTTTCTTTGCCTGCTTCTTAGTTAATTCTTTACTCCTCGTTTTATCTATCCAAATATTGTGATTTGTGCTGATCGGAATAATTTTTTTTACGATAAAGTCTTTCTACAAGCTTAATGTGGCGAACGAACAGTAGTTTCACGACTTTCAATTATCACCGGAGATTTTGTCGTCTGAATAGTAAAATCTTCACCAGATATGCGAAAAGGCAATGCCGAAAATTTAAAGGAAAATGGCTGAAATGAAATTCTCTGCTTAAAGTATATTTATTTTGAAGCAGCATTTTGATGGCTGACATTTCCATTCGGGCAGGATTATGTCTTTTGATAGTCTGGTGGATATTTTGGCCCTGACGGGTATTCAGACGACGTTTTTTCTCATTAATTCATGCAAATTTTTCTAGAACGATGCCAGCGAAGGAGACGATCGAAGAGAAGGTAGCTTTTTCCATAAAAATGTCACAGATTATTTGCAGTGCTCACGGTTGGGCGCGGAAGGCTGGCGAGCCCAGAACCAGCGCGTCGCGTACATCGTCCTGCAGGCTGTAAGGCACAATTTTTTGCGATGATTTTCTCAATTTAGAGGGCCCATCCTATCAGGCCGAGCATCCCCCCGAAGGCCCAGCGCGAAACCGGCAAGCTGGTGTCGGCCGCCGAGAAGGCCAAGTCCTACGAGAAGAAGAAATAAGATTAGTAAAGTAATTCTGTTTCATTAAACTGTGATTTTTTTATATTTTTGTCTAGTAATCAGTTTTAAATGAATAGTTGTTGACGATAAAGTTTTTTTTGAAAATAACACCAGAAACAATTGAAATACGGTATCAACAAATCTGCATGAATCATTTTTGGAGGTTGACTTTGAATCGGATGATGATAGAATCAAAAAAGAAGGGCCTGATCGGCGAGCCTTAAAACTTTTGCGCTCCAGTTGATTATGTCACAGATTCAGGATCATCTTGTCAAGACGCGCCGAAATGGTCTGAATGGTTGTTTTGCAAAATTTGATGCCGAGTTGAGATCCTGCCGTTGATAACGAACACCAAAAATGTTGAAGCCGCGAACCGTTGATCCAGTGTCGCAATCAACGGCTACTTTGGCCCCCCGATGATATTGCGCTCTTGAATTGCTTCCTGGGTATGATGGGCCCGGACGCGAGAGGTATAGAACGCCGCTGCGGGCGGGGGTCGAACCCGCGATGCTGGCCCAACGGACGGTCCGCTTTGCCGATTGACCAGGGGTCGACGAGCGGGGAGAGACGCAAAGGGCCTACCACAGCGCGCCGGGCTCCGGAACTTGCAGTGAAAAGAAGTGAGTTTTTAAGAATTAAAAAGCTAGAATATGTCTAAAAAGTAGTTAATATTTCTATTCAAAGATAGAAGGTCTTTAGCAGTTTTTTTTTTGAAATTTTGTAGCTTGATTTAGCTTCCAATTCCAGCGCTAAAGTAACGTTCCCTTCGACTCAAAGCATATATTTCTTTCGGAAATGTGAGGATTGCTTTAGATCTGGGTTTTTTTAATTTATACCACTGTCGAGTAGTAGTTTTGCTATAAAAGCGAAAAGATAGACTGAATACGTTAGTATTTTGTCAAATTTTGTTGAAATCGACCCTTTCCGGGCAATTCTCCAAGGCAGTAATGGTTTAGAAGTTTTTGAAAGATGGCCTTTTTCAGGATTTCCGGGTTTATCACAAAAGATAAACCCAGTATCACCTAAAAACAACGGATTGTACGTAATTTGGCACCAGCAAAAAATTCGACTTTTCCTAGCCTTTTCGAAGGTTTCAAAGCTGCTCGCACCCCTCCTCCCCTGCCGTAATTTCAGGAAGTCCAAATCGGTGCGCAAAAAACGGAACACACGTCTCAAGTTCTCGCCCGTCAACGTTCGGTCGAGATGGAAAAGCGATAAATTGTCCGACATCCTGCCCTCCCCTTGCTCGTCGTTCTAATCATCCGGTTTAAAAAAATTGTCGGATAAGTGGAGGGAAAGCGATGGGGAGGATGGCCGTCTCACCTGTGGCTCATTCCCAGGCATCGACTAATTGGATGATTTTTGGGGGAAGGGATGGAAGGGCAGATTTTGAAAGGAAAAAAGGAAGACCACTAGCCAGCGACCTGGAGTGGATTTGTGCCTCATTCCCTCGATTGGGCTCTTCGTGTGGGCTCATGAAGTTCTTTGGTAACTTTGAGAGGTTTATTTACTGTTTTGCTCCGTCTTTCAGATGACTTGTAGCTTAATTAAGATAATTAAGATATGAATTGGTTGTTCTAGAGCTGTATTTGGTTAAATTTGATTCTGTAGGTATTAATACTTACTTTAGATGTAACTCTTAAACGCTATTTTGTTAATTTCTCTTTTTTTCTTTATCTCTAAGCCTACCAGAGGATCTTGTTTTCATTCTTAAAAACTTTCACGTTTCTTGGAGCTTGAAAGCAAGGTATTAGCCGGCACGCATACCTTTTTTAATATTGATTCTTTAGATAGCACTCATGATGTGGTTTTAAAGCGCCGTTGGTTAATCTTTGTAAATTTTGTTTATTTCTCAGCTCTCAAAAGGGCAATGGTTATTTCCTTCTTAGACCCAAGGCTGTGATCGTTAATTTCGCCTCCAAATTATAGCCTAAAAACCTACGGTATCTCACTTTTCTCTCGATTTTGGCGCTGTCCAGATTGTTTTTTCGAAAATGCTCGCTTACCATGCCCGCAAGTTCTTCTAGACAACAACAATGTTTTCAAGAACCACAAAAAAACTTGCTGAACCGCAGGTCCGGCCTAATTTCATCATTGGGCGGTTTTGGTCGCGCCAGTGACGACCTTTCCCTCCAAAAAGTAATATTTTTGACTCGGACCCCAAAACAGAAATGACCAACCAGCCGCCCTGACGTTCCTTGCTTGGGCACAGAAATTTCAGCAATTATCCCGGAATGTCGGCCAACCGCCCCACGGGGTTCTCTGGGGTCGCCAATTATTTTTTAAGGTCGACTGGTTTGGTGGAATTTTTTATTCGGTTCTGGTTTGGTTTTGAATTTTGGGTTTTTTTTCAAGCTGTTGCCGATTTCTTGAGCTTAAGGTCGATTTCAGCCGAGTGCTGAGATTTCAAATACAGCATTCGGAGAAGCCAAAATGCCGACACGCAAAACACCGACACTCAAAATGCTCTGATGGCCGTTGATTTGAGTATCATCACTTTGTTTGCGAATATTTGAACTGTCGGTATTTTGGCTGTCGGCATTTTGAATGTCAGTTTTTGCCTTTCGGAATTCTCCACGTGGTTATATTGGCTGTTCCCGAGGCGTTCGTGTATTAACTTTGGTATACAAAAGTAGATTACAATCTCAGAGCGTTCCGAAATGAACTTTGTACTGCTAGTCCTATTGGCGCCTATCGCCACAAGCTGGCCGTTCGGTGACGAGTCATTGGAGAAGACACAGCAATGTTGGATGGACACCGAGGTCTACGTGTTGTGTGGAGGCTGTGAGGGGACGTGTGCGCAACCGACTGTGGTTAGTATCGTTACGGAATTCGAGAATAATAGTCATAACGTATTTAATGTTTTTTAGAACCCATGCCGAGAGCGTTGCAAGCCACCGCGTTGTGAGTGTCCGTCGGAGAAAGGATATGTGAGGTCTATGTAGGTTTTATATGGTTTTTTGAGATTCTCGATCTAGTCACGGCCACTGCATCCATGTTAGCGAATGCCCTGGCCCGTCGATTTTCAGCATGGATCCGGATCGTGTTAACGTGTCGCCAAATCAGGCTATGGTATGTAAATTGTGCGCTTAAAGGGGCCAGGAAGTCAAAATTCGTGTGCTGATTAATTGATTCAATTATTAAAAGTGGCAAATGAAAATGTTGTATTTTAGATTAAAGCTGACGCACTACAGCCTGTATCCGGAGTGAACGTAGGCTCGGCACCAAGACGTCTCCTCGGCTCTGAAGTCCTCGATCAAAGACCCAAAAAATATTTCCCAGTCGCCAACACCAAGGGAGGCGCCCGACACCAGGTAGTCTAAAAAATCGGCAGCTTTCACCAATGATAATTCCAGCAATATCAGCGTAAATATTATTAATGTAAGTCTAGCATCGTTAAACATTTAATTTAGCTTTTACTTAGTTGAGCATGACTACAGAGCTCTTTTAAACGAGTACATTTTAGCCTCGCCGCTCCCCACAGAAAAAGTTTGTCCATCGACGACGGCTAGTGCGGCTTTGATTTTTGCAATAAAACGTTAATATACGCCTCGAAGAACACACAGAAAATTTTATTCAACAATGTCAGCATCTCGTGCAACCTGAGGTGTGGGCCGTAAATTGGATTGACACGTATCTTAATTTCGGGGCTCGAAGATGAACGAAACAACTTAAATGTATAAATGGAAACAGGTATTGGGTTTTTAGTGAGATTCCAAATTACGGTAGTATTATGGGGCGCATAGTCCATAAACATCCTTTTTAAGGCGTTTGATTACCGTACACCGCAGCGGAAATTATAAATCAAATTCTGAGTGGCACAATCGAGTTAACGGACAACTTTGGAGGCATGGAAAATTGGGTAAGAACGCCTTGAACGGCTGTAATTTCCCCCTTATCGCTGAGATCTCCGGCCGTGGAACGCCATCTGCAGGTGATGACGTTCAGGAATTCTTTGCGCACTTCCACGCTCATCGCAAGTAATATTACCGGGCTTCCGAAGAGAAAAGGGAGGTAGCAGAGGTCGAACTAAAAGTAGGGAATTTAGAGTAGGATATAGAAGAGAGCTTGTAGGTACTTGTATTTGAATTTCAAAGATTCCAGTTTTCATGCAGAGATTTCGGGTCCAGAAAAACCCCTTCCCGGTCTGCAACCTCAAATTGACTATAAAAGAGGTGGGAATTATTACCTCAGCGCAACTAACGCGTACGTCAATTAGTTGTAACAAACTTCGTACCCAACACATTCCCCCAGTTTTACTCATACGTAGTTGAAACTCACAAATTGGGTGACATCAGCCGTGAACTGCTTGGCCCCAACCATCGTACCGTAGAATTTCAGACTCTGGTACGCGGTGATAGGAAACGCCGCGATGATCACCAACTAAAAAAAGGTTAGAAAACGGTTACCGTACTCACCCCAGCGTAGATTAGCATCCTCAGATTTCTGCGTTTCTGTGAATTGCTCATGATGCTTCGGGTGTTGTGCTGGAGTTTCCAGAAACACCCGATGTTGAGAATCGCGCAGAATAGGCAGGGGAAGAGCAGGATTCCGACAGTACCAGTTCTGATGAACTAAACAAATAATGCCAGGAAAAATTTCTGTATTCACCACCATCAGTAACTGCCCAGGATAGTTATAATTTAAGTCTGGCCATCCGATTAAACCGATTAAAACCAGTCGATAGGCCGATAGCGAGAATCCCAAAAAAATCAACACCGCCGCCCAGCGCCAACGATAGCGAAACGTGGAACGACTCTAAAACATGAAAATAATCACGATTACGATAGGGATTAAACAGCTTTGCACCTTTACGTTAAGATACCATAATGCCTTACCGTTTCGTGACTACTCGCCATTGGCCTGTAAAAAATTTGAAACCGGCAGATGTTCAGCCAGATCATGGTTAACTAGAATTTTTCAAGGGTTTTTCTGACGACAACGGCTGTACCTGGTGCCCATTTGTAACCATTTTTGTAAAAACCATTGTAAGATAAATAATTGAAATATCACAATTTGCATCGCGAACTTCACGGAGTAGTACGTTACCCAGATAGCAGGATATATCGAAAAAGCCTAAACACTTCTATGTAATAAGAATGGATATAGGATGCATACCAAGAATCCACGATTGAGTATAGAATTGGGTTCTCAGTGAATTGGACCGGGCTGCACCGAGGATCCACATAATAATTGCGTATAGCACCAGGCCGACCCCTTCAACGCCCAGCACTAATATTGTCGAAAAGTCAACCATGATGCTGTGGGTGGGTTCTTCCGAGTTCATCCAATGAACAGCTTGCCGGCTGCTGAAAAATTTTATTTAAAAAGCGTTAAATTGGTGAAAATGCCTGAGGGTTTATGTTCCAGACCACTGTGAAAATTCGGCGGATCTCCCAGCGGTTTTCAAGGGGTTAGAAATTTATTCTCCTCCAAAAACTTGAAGTTCAAAGTCTTAAAAATATTGAAAATATTATTAAATGTAAATTATTAGCCCGAATTCGAAGTCGAATTGCTAGATTAGATAAGGTTTTGTTTATCAAAAAGTTAGTAAAATAAGAAATCGAGCGCGTTTGTGAATTTATAAATGGAACCTTAAACTCCAAGTTCTGAAAAATAGTTAAAATGCTACTAAGCGTATATTGTTAAATTGAAAAAAAGGATTCGAAAGGCGTAGCTTGATCCAACTGTCTGCTGTTGGGAAAGCCGCTACCCACCCGTCGACCAACCTTATTATCGGCTATCAAAACTAATTTACATGCCCCCACGGCAACGGATCACGCCCCACCCCATTCAATTCAACCCACCAAAAAATGACGCTGACATGATTACTGTACTTGTCAGCGGACGCTGAGTTCAAATCCCAAAATCCCGATGCCAGAGAATGAAAATAGTCCCAGGCACAGTTTCAAAATTTGACAAATACGTTCTAAGAAATCCCAATCAGGAGCGTTCTTCTTGAAAACAACGACAACGTGCGTTTCCGGAGTCTTATTTTTAGCTGGCGTGAAATTGGGTCAAGCCCAAGCGGAAATTCAGGGAAATCGGGAAGTTCATTAACGGTCTAGCCGGGACCGAGACTATATTGGCGGAAAAGACTAATGAATTTTTTCGGGGGAAGTCGGGCAATCGGGAAGTGCGCGTGACTGTACCCCGACAGGTTTTTATCTAGATTGAGCAACCGGAAGTGGGGAAATTGCGTAAAAGTTAATAACCAAAAGTCTACTTCATAGCTGTCTGCATGTTTTAGGGTTACTCTAGTTCGTTAGAAATTTTCTATTTATAGAAATTACCTGGCTGCCAGAATCGGATTTCAAGAAGAACCTAATGCCGAACGCTACGTAAAACGCCGCAGGCTAGATGTGAACGTACTTCGAAAATTAGCGGAAATTCCTTGAATCCCCGGCCACATTCTCATGAAAATTATAGTCCTGTCAAAAAGTATATATTTTTAAGTCCTTGTCTGCGCTTAGTAAGCCCAAATGCTTAGTATTCTGGCTTCCTTAAGCCCCCCAGCTTTGTTATGCCCAATTGGCATGCTAATTGCTGTTTATAGCTAGTACGTGGAGCGTGTGTCTGGCAAAACCCACAAAGAACTGCATGTAACATCCGATAAATAATTTATTGAATTTGAAGACAAATAAATATAAATCTGTAATAGAATTCTCGGAATTTTGCCAATTGGCAATACGTTTTGTGGGGTGGGCGGGAGTGGGAAAAAAGGATGGCGCGTCAATGACATGTGAAGCGTAGTAATTTTTGAAATTGTGATGAATGGAACAAGAAAAAAACACGGGAATAAATATGCAGATTCTATTAAAGTATGGGATAATTAAATTTTAATTGTCACCACGGGTCTTTATATTTTTGGATACTTTTAGGTAAATCTAAAATTCGATAAGATCTTGGCATTCAAATTTCACGGTAATACTGCTTAGTTGAACATCGACTGGCTGACTTCAAAGGTGCGAGCCGGTCGGGTAACCCGAGATACAAAACGTTGGATGGTCGTCTGGCCGTTGGAGGTTGGCGCGAATTTAGTAGGTCGACGGCTGAAAAATATATAAAATTGTATTTTTATTGATGAATCCACAGATTCCCGTCTTGTATACCTTAATAATACATCTAGCTACCCCTGAAATAATCTGTAATATATCCAGAAAAATTGACCTCAATTTCTTGCCCCTCGTCGTCGTCATCGTGGTCGGCTCTGGCCCTAACTGGGTGGTGAGCATGGCCTCGATTTTTGTGAGCAGGTCGCTAAATTTCGATAAAACTTTGAACATTATTCATGTAAATAACACACCTAACTTAACCAAATAAGTAAATTATATCGAATAAAATCGACTTAAAAGTATTGCCGCGGAATCCCGCAATTTTCACACTCACGCAGTCACGTCACTTCGGCCATTACGGGCCAAATGGGTGGAGATCTGTTGGATAAGCTTGTGCGGGCTACCCGCCGTCGTTTCTCCGTATTCCTCTGGAGGAGCGGTCACACGCGTCACCTAACAAACGAAAAATAGGGGGTGTTGAAGCCGAACGGAAATGATGAAGCTGGGAGTGAAAAATAGGAAATACTCCAATCGAAAATCCAAATATTCCAAATGTTGTTTTGGCTTGACTGCTATTTCAAAAAGCTTAAAACCACAAGAGGGTTATTTCGAAACGCAAAAATATATCTACAGTACCTTTTCCATCGGAGCGACAGAATACCTCTGTCCTAGTGGCGGGTTCTTCATCTGCGGTGGCATTCGAGAAACTTGCGCGACTTCCTAAAATCGATTTTTTTAATACTTGTTGTTATTTAGAAGCTTTTAAAGTTATTTACTACTTACCTGACTCTTCGGCACGCCAACCGGACTAGCCGTTGTTGTCCTGCCCTTCGGGATCTTGGTCCTCTTTCCATTTTTGACCCCCAAAGGCCGGCGAGTCGGCTTGGTCTAGGGTAAAGTATTGTATCGCCTGGCTTCTTCTCACCTTAACGATTACAGTAGTCTCCTCCTCAGTGCTGTATTCAATTGATTTTTCTTGAGGAGCAGGCGGGGCGGTGACCTAGAATCGTCATAGAAAGTCTAGCGAAAATTCGTTACCTCAACGAATGTTGGTTGCACAAAAATGGCCTTTGGGACGGCTGGGGCTGGATTTTGGATTTTGATACGAGGCTGCGGCTAAATTCAGAGATTCAAGTTTTGGAAATGGTTTAACGCACCCTCGGTCTCGGTCGGCTGAAAACGGCTGGAGTTGGTCGTTCAGTAGTTGGTGGAGGTGGAGGGGGAGGGGCTAAAAATGATACCTCATTAAAAGCATACAACCCAACCTCTAGTAGCCGCCTTCATAGGGGTAATTTTCTTCTGAACGATCTTTGGTGGTGGTGCTGGTGGTAGAACGGGGATAGATATCATTGGGAACGCAGCCTAAATTGAAAATACATAAAGCGTAAGGTGATTAAAAGAATAAATACCTTCTCGGCCTGATAGTCTGCTTTTTCATCTTCAGGGTTTTCATACTCTTCGTAGACCTGCTCAGGAGCTTCCGGTTGTGGTAGTTCTTGAGGCGCAGAGATAATTTGTGGGATGACTGGCTGTGGAGGGGCTTCCGGTCGAGGATTTGACGAAAGGCTAAAATGCAGAAAATTCAATAAAAAGATTTTTATCGGCTTTTAAAGTCAGTCAAACGATCTTTTGCTGAAACTTACATGACGGAAGTTGGAGGCTGCCCAGCGACCTCACAATACTTTTCATCCGACCCATCCGAGCAGTTGATCTCGTTGTCGCACACCTAAACGTCTTTAAAACCCACATTAATGACACCTACGTTTTGCATCGGGATCGTCTCTCGTCGATTTTCACAAGTGTAAACCGATTTTTCGACGGGCTTATTCCTAAAAACGATGTTTAGGGGGTTTTAAGCATTTTTTTTACCGGCAAAGCATCTCATCCTCACCGTGACGGCAATCCCGTTGTCCATCACAGCTGTAATTTTTGTCTTTGAAGTTATTAAGATAAAATACCGATGTTCAAGTGGTACGCATTCGTTTGATTTTCCACAATGGAAGAGACCGTGGCCGCAGACTGAAATATAGATAAGTTACCGTATTTTCATTAAAACTAGCCCAGGGCTTATATTTGTTCGATCGAGGGGCTAACATAGAAGTAAAGCAGATCTTTTAATTTAGCTAGATCTTTACCATTATAAACAGCCTAAAAGCTCTAGTAATACCAGGAGTACTAACAATGGAAATAGGTGACTCGCGTACAAAACAAGCTTGTATTGGAGAAAATGCGTTAAGTGGATTGTCCCCACAAAAAGTACGTTTTCCAGCCACATTCCTATTCGCCTAATTTTCGGTGTTGCCTTCCGTGGGCACTTGGCGCCGTTGAAGATGGCCAGCGGGGTGGTGGGGGGCACTCCAGCAGGTCCACGTGGGCACCCCGGAGAGATTGCTGAGGATCGGCTTTCACGCACCAACAATGGCCACCAGCGGAAGGGTGGACAGACGGACAAGAATACAGACAGACAGTCAGAAACAAAAAGGCACACGTTTTTGCACAAAAAGATGTTTTTTGTTAGGCGCTAGTGGCTTAAAGTCGTTTTAAGAAATTTTGATTTTGATGAACTTTCGCATATTTCAAAATAATGACAAATCGAGAAAACTATGCGTGGAAGAATAATTCAAATGGCATAATCAAGTTTGAGTCAGCGCTTCAAATTGTCACATTGGGCAGAATTTTGTCGTAAAGGGCTGATGGTTAATTCCAGACATGGCAATTTCGGTCGGCCGGCCGCGGCCGACCGGCCGACGGCCTCATTAGCATAAAAAAAAATCGGCCGTTTCCGGGCCGCCGACTCGATGCAAAATGACTTCCGGTCGGCCGATCGGCCGGCCGACATTTTTGGTCGGCTCGGCCGGCCGACAATTCACACTTGAGAAAAAGTTTCACAGAAACGTGTCGCTGGCGCCTCTAGATCCTATCCTATAAGCGAGAAAAGTATGTTTGTTTTCTGTACAGCCGATTTCTCGGCCCCCAGGCCGAATTTTGAGCTGATTTTTGGCTTGGAGGTGGAGAAACACATTTGTCAGTGACGCATTTTTTTGTTTTTCGAAATTCCTTCATTTAACGGTTTTACAAGCAAAATAGTGAAAAATCCTTAACATCTTGGCCGAAAAAAGGTTTGTTCAGAGGATATCTCCCCAGCCAAATGGAATTAGGCGCTAATTTTTGGAGGGCAGATTGAAAATTACATTCTCCTATGATTTAATTCTGGGTTTTGGCAGATTTTGTAATCTAAAATTTTTATGAGCATTTTTCCAAAAAGTCCTTAACAAAATGGGCCAAGAGCCGTGGTGTCCGGGGCATAACTTGAAGCCCTGATGGAATTCCGGGCTAAAATTTGGACCACTTATGTAATCGATGGTGCTTCTTAGGCGCAGCTTATTAGATTTTACAAATTCGATCATCTTCCACCTCAAAAATCGATTTTTGTAAAGTGACTAGACGGCGCCCGGCGGATCCCCAGAGGATGAAGAGGCCTGTCCCGCATCGCACTCCCAACTCCCTGTGGTGTAAGGGAAGCGCACCAGGTCCTCGGCGCTAGGGGTCAAGGGTTCGGATCCGGCGCGATGACTGCTTTTTGCTTTTTGGTAATTCTTCTAACAAACATATTGCTTGGCTCTACGTATGCAAGATTTAGGTCTGGCCTCGCTCTAGCGCCACAGGCCAAAGGAAAGGTCCTTAGCTCGGACTCTCCCGCCGCAGGCCAAATCCTGGAGGAAACCAGTAAATAGCGCCGCAGGCTCAAAGATTCTGGCTACGTTGGCTCTGGCGCCGCAGGCCATGGATGGTTCCTTGCCCCAGATCAGCTAAATCCGGGGGGGGGGGAAACGTAGTGGCTGGCGCCGCAAGCTCAAAGGTTGGAGCGCAACGCTGGCTCTTGCGCCGCAGGCCAAAGAATGGTTCCTTGACTCAGGCTCTTGCGCCGCAGGCTTCAAACAAAGGAAAGAGAATTCATGGGTCCTAGACGGGGTCCAGTGGAAAAGGGCCGCGAAGCGGACTTTTTCCACTGGTTTTGAATAAATAAGGAATGGGTTTGGGCATTGGTTTTCACTATTCCCTTGGATGCCTGCCTACCAAATTTTATTTAAAAATCTTTATTTTATGTGGGGAAAGCGTGCTTTTTATGTCAACCCTGAATTTTTTTGGAAGGTTGCCAGCTTTAAATATAGTTCAATTTTGTAGTTTCAAGTAACACACAAATTTAGTCAGGATGTTGCTATGACGAGTGGGCCTTTAGTTTCCTGAATCTTTTTTTAATTGAATCATTTTGCGGCGATGAAGCAATTAGTGATGATAAAGCAAAGCAACAGCCACGTCAAATCCGTTGTAATCACGTCTAACCCTGGACCGTTGCAACCCCCATTATTTAATTAATTTCCTCAGTCTAAACATTTTTGGCCAAGTAAATCCCTTCATTAGCATCCAAAAATCTAATTTGGTTGCGGGTTTTCGGCCGTTTCCGGGCCGCGCGGCCGGCCGACATTTCGGCCGGCCGATTTGGCCGCGGCCGCGGCCGACCGGAAATGGCGGCCGGCCGATTTCGGCCGGCCGCATTCTAATTTTTTCGGCCGTAAAAGCCGATCGACCGGCCGATTTGCCATGTCTGGTTAATTCTGAAGCCACAATTGAGGGCTATGGTCGTCCGTGCTGCTTTTAAATGCTAAATATCGTCACTATTAATTCGCCTGTACTATACCCAAAACCCACCAACCAGATCATGGAACCAAAAAACCTCCGCACCCCTTTCCTTTCCAATGTAAAAGCATACCGTCACAATCCCTCTCATCGGTCCCATCAGAACATTCAGAGATCCCATTACATCGTCTGTCGATGGGCACGCACTCCTCCGAGACCACACACGCCAGTTCGCCCGCCGCACACAGCGCTGCAAAATTGGGATGACGTCGTGACCGGTTCCAAAAGGACATCCCCTATTTTTTGGAGACCCTTGAAAATCACTTACGACAATTCTGCTCGTCTTCTTCGAGGCTGCAGTCGTAGGTGCCGTCACAACTGCAACAACAGGATTTGATAGCGTTATCGCGCAAATTCGGTATGGAAAAAAACACACCGAAATTCCATCAGGCAGAAATTCAGTTTTGGGATTAACTTCAATGTTAATTTGATCAACGAAAATATGGAAATTTGAATACGCAGAAAAATGTCACAGAAATTTCATGCCCAAATATAATTAAACCGAAATACAGTGCACATAATTTTTATTCTAGCGGAAAATTTGGTATTTTACTTGTTCTTACAACAGCCTATTAGAATTTTCGCTTAATGGCATTTTTATGAAACGGATTACCACGTAGATCAACTTATGCCTAATTTCAACGCCTTCTAAAGCCGCTGAATGACGACTGTAACCGTACCGCTTGTGAAGTTCCACGCACTGCTCGGAAAGCGGACACCAGAAGCTGGTGGTGGTGTTGCAGGCGGAATCGCCTAAAAATATCCTTAACGTTGTCTATACCTTTAAACCAACCGCTACTGATTTGGCATCCCTTCACGTTGTAGTCGTAGTTACAATTCTGGGTGCCAAACGTGTCGTAGACCAACCCGGTTTTACAGGCCTTACGGTAGGTACGGAATCCGTCGCTTTGCCATCTAAATTTTGGGCATTGTTGAGGGCTATAAGGTCCAACCTGCAGTGATAAAATTCCTGACTGCATTCAAATCCTAAAAATTGGCCCAACGTCGATTTGTAGAGGCCAGCCTGTTCGAGAATTTCACTGGAAATAGTGTTAAATTTTTGAAGGTTTGCCATACCTGTTATTACAGTAATTTGGCTCGATCGGCTCTAGGCTGGTCATGTCAAAGATGTCAATGGCTTTTCCGTAAGCCCCAACCGAGAAAAAGATGATACCAGCGAGTATTGAGCCATCTCTGCGTAACATCTAGAGATAAAATTTATTTATATAACATAGGAAGCTAAATAAAAGTAATGAGAACGTCTTAAGTAAAATCCGGTAGCAATTAAGAGGGGGTTTTGAAAGCAAACTGACAAACAAGGTAACGTAAATCAAAATTTAATTCATCCAAAAATGCAAGTTTTCACAGACATAAAAATATCTTTAATTGTCCCGTTTTCGCGCATTTTATCGCAACAGCATCGCAATCGTGTCGAAGTAGAGTATGGTATCGTAGTAGGTGACTTTTAAAACTATCTACTTACCAAAAATCTGAAACTAATTTTTATTACGTAATGTTACAAAAAAGATAATTAACTGGAATAAGAAGAATGTCCAAAACGTGTAACAGATCAAGCTTTAAGGTGTACCGTATACCAACATGTCTGAAGTAATTCCTAAAAATCATAGAATCCCAACAAGCCCGCTAAGACGCACTTTCGATACGGCAAGCCCGGAGCTGAATGGCAGCCACCGGGGGGAAGGGGGAGGTGTTCGTTGGCGTGGGGCGGAAGCGGTGGGTGACGACGGCGAAGCACGACAAAAGCCCTGTTCCCATTGGTGGGCCCGAGAGGCGATCCCGCAAGACGCGAGGGGAGACCCCCAGTAGAAGCACCCGACGACACCTGTCCGGCGGCCGACGGCGCTCCCGAAATGGAAGTGCTTCTTCCCCTTTAGAGGCCTCTAAAGGGGTCTCGTATACCACGATCAACTATCACCCCCCCTCCCGCCCCCTGGGGGAATTCCAGGAGATGAGGAAGTTTATTTTGAGGTAGGGAGGTGTACTGTAGTGCAAAACACGCGGTGTCGAGTAATGGGATAGAGACGAATTCTGTTGGAAAGGTAGCATCTACAATTGGGGAAAAAGCTGACTGGTTACGTTAGGAAAAGGAGGCTGAGATCGCTCCTAAGTAGAAGGATATGCATGTTTTTTTCACATAGACTGTTCTGATCCTTTAGGGACGTCCGGAAACAGGCAATTTTTTGACCCTAAGTGGCCGTGTAAATAGTTTTCCAGGCATTCAAGCCGATTTTGAATTTAAGGTGAAATTTAGGAAGGCAGAGTTTATTCTTGCGTGCAAAAAGCTTTTTAATATTGGGCAAAACTAGCTGGGCCACCGTGCTCTTTAAAGGGACACGCAAAATCCATAATCAGAGCACTGTAGCGCCTGCTGCATTTTGCCCAGATTTTACGGAAAGACAAGACAATTCAAACGACTTAGAATTATAATGTACCCTAAAATCTGCTCTGTATGTTTTAATTAGAGCTTTAGATTGCTTGAATGCAAAAATCCCGGTGCCAAAAATATTATTATGGATAACTATGTAATTATTAATGCGTCGGTAACTCATAAAATCAAGGAAATCATGAAAACATAGTCGGTCACTTAGAGATCAAAAACTAAAGGCGACTACCTAAGAATAGTAATGATATAGTAATAACCATGCAAAAACCTCAGGTCTGACATTAGGCATACGGTACCTCTAGACCCGATACGGTAACCGAACCCCCTAAAAAATTCCCAAAATCCAGTAATCAATAAAAGTTGAAGTCTAGCGATCAAGGCGAAGAAGGGCAAAAATCGTCTGTGGGCGCCCTGCGAAGGAAGGGGGCCCCCAGCGCTCCAGGGCCACTTGGCGAGGCGGGCGCGGAAAAAGCGGCTGGAAGGGGCGTGAAGCGCGGCCTTGTCCGGAGCTGTGATCGGCCGAAAGCGCAAATATTTCCGGACATCCCCCCTCCTTCGACCATTCCCGCCTTCCCCTCTTTTCTATTCCCTTCCCACAACACATGCACAACACCCTGAAGGGAGAGAGAAGGCGGGATGGTGGCCATGGCCATTCTGGTGAGGGTAGGGTGGGCCCACATCAAGAAACCAGCCGGTTGAGGCTTTTCGGAGGACATCTATGGCAGACGGGGCAATGGAAAGTTACTTTTGTGTGGTGATGATGATGTGGCAGCCGGCATAAAAATGATATTCTTTAGCAGACGCCTTATAAGGAACAGTATGACATAGATCAAATAAATATGCGCAAGTTGAAACTCTACTGCTTCCTAGATGGGTGACTCACACCAAAAACGGTACGCAGAACCTGTTCATCTACCAATAAACGCAGAAACCGGCAAGGGCTTGTTAAGGCGATGTCGGAGTTTTGCGATGCGAATCCACCCTTAGGGGGTAATTTTCCTTGAAGGGAAACGACGAAACTTTTTTAAATGTTAAGCTCTGTCACTCACAAACTAAAATCCGGCGTAAAATTGCCTCCGCTGCGTTATAGCGCCAATATATTCGTGCATGCCGAACCACAGAACCACTGAAAAAGTCACCATGTCCCTTCAAACATGCACATTTTCACGGTTTTAGGCTTCAACGGATGAGAAGGAGTAAAATTTAATAGATACCGCCTACAAGCCGATAATGTAGATGCGAATTCGTGTCGCATTTAGAAAGTTGCGGGTCGCATCTGAAGGGGTTGTAGATGCCCTTATTAGCACCTATATACCTTCAACATCTGAGATTCTCGCTCGCCCGCCCGCTCCCGCTTGGCTCTCTATCTCTCTCTCTCTCTCTCTCTCTCTCTCTCTCACTCTCTCTCTCTCTCTCTGTCTTTCGCTGGCTCTCTCTCGCTATCTCGCTTTCCCCTAGTCTCGGGTGATCTCGAAAACTTACAGATATCCCGATCACCCAGAGGGTCGGGTTGCCCGTGTCCTTTCCCCTTTAATGCCCGCATAATTTTTACATACGGGCTTTAATCATCTTATTTGTTGCCGACCCCTTTAATTTTGCTATTTCATCAGAATTTCGCTCTAGATCATGACATCAACTGTTTTTCCGGATTCTACGGTCAAATAAAAAAAAAACACAAAAAATACGCTAAAACAATTCCGTTCCCCTCGCTTCCATCACGCCATCATGAATCAGCGTTGTTATTTCGAAAGAGGGAGTGAGGATCGTCGTCGTGTTTTTGCCGTGAGTTCAGGAGGCTGTGCGCAGATAGGCCGTTAATGGATTCAGAGGCTCCGCCCATAAACCACTATCCATTTCATTCGCTATTCATTTGACCACGATCCCATGATCCCAGAGGGTTTTTTTACTCACGCAAATTTCAATGCCTTCTTGAAAACCATCATAAATGTTCTTAGGGGCCCACCTGCTTAATTCCGCCAAAAAGTTGGGAATCTCCAATCTCTCTCTCTCTCTCTCTCACTCTCTCTCTCTCTCTCTCTCTCTCTCTCTCTCTCTCTCTCTCTCGTTCTCACTTTTTCCGTCTCTCTCGTTCTCTCTCTCTCTCTCTCTCTCTCTCTGTCGTGTTGTCTCTTTCTATCTCTCGCTCTCTCTCTCTCTGTCTCTCCTTCTCTTTCTCTTTCTCTCACTCTCTCTCTCTCTCCCACGCTCTCTGCTTTCGCGTTCTCTCTCTCTCTCTCTCCCTCGCTCTCTCTCCAACCCCCTATTCCCTCAGTTTTCCTGTAACGTTCTTTCCTATTCGATCTTTCAACCACTATCCATATCTCGTCTTCTCGAACATCTCACGTCCTCCTCCCGCCCCATATCTATATTTTTGTTTTATATCGTCACCCCTCCCCTTCGCCCGGAGGCAAAGGCAGCCCCCGATACCAAACAGCTATCCATTCCCTGTCACTGTTTTGAGCTGGGTCTCCGGCTTTTGCTTCTATCTTATTTATTCCCTTGAAATTTTGAATTATGTCTGGCTTCGTCGGTTTGTCTGAATTTAACTGGGAGACCTTCTGATGCCTTGCATAAATAATTATTTCCAATTTTGAATTGCCTAAAGGGACTAGGAAGGTAACAAACCCGGTTAATACGTTTTGTCTGTCTGGAAAACCAAATGCATATTTCTAATTCCCCTATCGACTTCGAGAAATTTCCCCCGTGTCCAGCCCCGTTAATGTATGCAGGAACAATCGGTGGATGGCACTCTCAGCTAGACAGGCAGGCGATGATTCATTTCTCACGTCGATAGCGTTCCCGGGTGCAGTGTATTGAAAATCATCTTCGTAGTCGTTGGTGCGCTATCATTTGCCGGTTCATTTAAAAGTATTTTTAGTTGTTTTATCCCGATTTTCTTTCTCTGACTCTTGCTCTATCGCTGTCTTCGCGCTCCGTCTCTCTCCCTCGCTCTCTCTCTCTCTCTCTCTCTCTCTCTCTCTGTCTCTCTCACTCTCGCTCTCTCTCTCTCTCTTTCTCTCCCTCTCTCTTTCTCTCTATCTCTAGCGCTCTCTCTCTCTCTCTCGCTCTCTCTCGCTCACTATCTCTCTCGCTCTCACTCTCTCACTCACTCTTTCTCTCTCTCTCTCTCTCTCTCTCTCTCTCTATCTCTTTCTCTCTCTCTCTTTCTCACTTTTATCTCTCTATCTATCTCTGTCTCTCCCTCGCTCTCTCTCTATCTATCTCTTTCCCTCCCCCTCTCTTTTTTTCTTTCCTCTTTGCGTCTAAAATTTTTAACTGTTTCCGCCCTTCACAGAATACTGTAATTCCAAGCGTATGAGAAAAGCCAAAAACGATGATTAATTGATCAAGAACTCCCCCGACTCATTTTGGCACACTAAAGCTGGGCATCCCCACCCCACAAGGTCAACATTGCAACCGTTCCAACTTGCGCCTCTTTACAGAACTGTCTGGCCGACTTTGAGAAATAGACAGAGACGCGACCAGGGTTATCCCACACCATTAAAATGCCAACAGCCCACTTTTCCTGGAGTCTGCTTTCACTCTCTTCTTTTAGCCTTTTTATTGGAGGCTTTATGGCCTATGGTTTTCATATTGATTCGACCAATTTCGGATAGGCAGAAAAGTATCAAGTTTTAATTTATATAATCAAATATTGTTAGAAAAATGGCTGGAGAAGCTCTTGAGCTGGTTGAGGTTCTTCTGAACCGTATTGGCAAGGAGGGACGTGTCGGCCTCGTCGCCCACTGTGGGCTCGCTACGTATGATATTTTTTTGTTATATATTTATATTTGTGAGCCGAAGCTTATGAATTAGTCAACTTAATAATTTAGCAAACATCTGGAGGACAGCCTCCCAAAGACTTCCGAAGTCGCCCACTACGCCGAGCTCACCTCACTAGGTGATGCTCAAGAGACCGAACTCGATGGGTTGATCATCAGCAATTCCATGATCCGCGAGAGAGTTGGTCTTGGATTAATAAATGAAATTATTACTTATAATACTTTTTAAAACAAAATATATTTACAGTTCTTGAAAGAGAAGAAGTTGGACGACTTTGCGAATATCATCTTGCAATCGCTCAAATTTGGCGGGACTTGTTTGGTGCGAGAGGATCTTTGTGAGTTTATTTTTAAAGGATTTTGAAGGCATAAAGTATTATAGATTTGAGTATTAATTATGTATTTAAATTCAGCGGCCATCTCCGACCCAAAAGATGTGTCGATGATCACCGAATTTTTTGATACCTACCGTACGGAGGAGAACGGAGTGCCGGTTGGCTTCAACTTTCTGGCCGCGCAGCCCATTGTCGCCAGCATTGCGGTATCAAATTATTATAATGGGCTACCGTAATTGCTAATTTTTTTAGACAAAATCGAATTATTTCGATCTGTTTTGGGTTCTGGAGAAGAAGTTGTTCATCGACGACGTGAAGGTTTAATTAATTTTTATATTTTAGACTTAGGGTCTGTGCTAGGCCAAGGCTCAGGCTTAGGCTCATGCTTAGGCTCATGCTTAGGCTCAGACTTAGGCTCAGGCTTAGGCTCAAAAGTAGATGTCTAAACTCAAAACTCAAAACTCAAAAATACTTTAGACCGGCGTTACTACCTTCCGCGACTTCCTCGACAAAACCCAATACACCACCACCTCGATCGGGGCCTACGAGTTCATCTTCGGCGGCGCCAACTTCATCTCGCCAGGTTTCCAAGCCAGAAAACGTTATAAAAACATGTCTAGGAGGCTGGTCCGAGAATCTACGCGTCTTGAAGCGGTTCAAGAACTTGAAGCCCGGCCAGGCAATGCTGGACATTGGCGTGGGGATTGGTGGTGGAGCTCGGCAGGCGGCTTCTGTGGGTTTTTTTACATACTGTTTTTATTTATATGGAAACACTTTAAAAAAGCATTAAGTTTATTAATTTTTTAGGAATTTGGCCTTCAAGTGACTGGAATCGATTTGTCGTCCAACATGATCAGCCAGGCCTTGCTGAAGAATCATAGGGACAAGGATACCCGTGTCAAGTGAGCTATCAAAAAATAATAAAGCATATTAAGTATTTATAATTACGTAGTAATTCGGTGATTTAGATTTCTGATCGGTGATGCAATGAAATACGACTTCCCCGCGAACTCCTTCGATGCCGTGTTCTCTCGAGACTGTGTCCAACACATCAATGACCTCCAGGGGTTGTTGGGGCGGATTATGGTAAGATATTTTATTATTCTTACTTTATATACTAGTTTTTATTACCTTATAACTTTTATTATTCTTACAATGCTATCTTAATGTCTTAGAAGTGGCTGAAACCCGGAGGGCAAGTCCTGATCACGATGTATGGGCGTGGACACGGGCCGAAAACCGATCTTTTCAAGGTATTTTGATATTTAATGAATTAGCTTCTATATCTTGTTTAATATATAAAGCGGTTTAACACATATTTTTAGCAATACGTCAGCGACCGGGCCTATTTCCTCCGCAGCCGCGATGAAGTCCGCCAGGTACGACCTCCGCTCAAACCCAAAAATATAATTTTGAATTCAGATTGCGTCGAAGGTTGGGTACAAAGAAGTGCTCGTCGAGGATATGACGTATCGCTTCCGGGAGATTCTCATGGCCGAGCGAGCCCGTCTTGTTGAACAGAAGATTGACTTCCTGCGCGTGAGTGGCTCGGAATATAAAATTAGCAATTCCAGACGGGGTTAAAAACTTTTTAACAGCTTTTCAACCCTGGCCTCGTCCAAATTTTATTTTTAGAAGTTCGGTCAGCGTGAGTACGACTCGCTGATTTCCGGCTGGTCGGCGAAGATTGAGTTCGTTGCAGCGGATCTCCAGAATTGGAACATGCTGATCGCGACGAAGCCGCTGGACAAGTAAAAAAAATGAGTGACTGGTCCCTTAAAAATGACGGCACGAAAGGGCCGAGCAATTTTGAGTGCATACTTGAATTCAGCCCGCTCGTTCCGTCAATTCCGGCCCAATTTAGAGATTAAAGCCTCCGTTGAGATTCAATAGATCAAATTTATATTGGAGATTAAAGGGATTTTGAAGGTTTTTTTAGAGCCTTGATGCAAAGAATTTAAAAATTTCCTTACTCTCCTTTCCGCCAACATTTTCCAGCCCAATTTCCATAAACTAACACATTCTACGGTCTCGTGCAATTTCGACCAGTCCCCCCCCACACACACACACACACACAAAACTGTGAAGCTCAAATTCGAATCTTTAAGGTTAGAATTTCAGTGCCTTGCCAGTCCCTTGATTTCCTATGCTTTTGAAATGGATCGTAAAGCTTTAGAATCACCCAATACGAGACGTAAGGACGTATTTTTATGTACGTTTTGACACCATTGACCAATTCTACGCTTTCCGATCCCCTTTAAAAGCTCGACTATGTCCAGTATCTACATTCCACGAGTTTTTTTCCGCTTTAACCCCCAAGCTTTGTGTTGTCCCCGCTTGTTGTCTCGGCTAATGATAAAGATGTCATCACCTGGATTTAGTACAACATTTTATGATCTCCGACAATTTGGGGAAAAGGGGGAGAAGGGACAGATATTCTTTGGTGGCACGGGGGACCGAATGATGGAGCTGAGGAGAGGAGCTGAGGAGCTGAAAATGTTTGTTGGAATTTGCAAAAATAGTGATATTGCCTGCGCAAGCCGTTAAAAATTAAAGATTTTCATGCGCTTGTTCTCCTTTTCGTTCTCTTGTGATATTTCATTTATTCGACTCCCTCATTCTCTCGCTCTCTCTCTCTCCCCACCGTCACTTTCTCCGGGGCGCTCTCTCTCTCTTTCTCTTCTTCGCTCTCTTTCGCGTTCATTTTCCATTGTTTAGTTCATAGATTCTTACCGAAAAAGGTTGCTTCGTTTAGTTGTTGGCGTACTGGAGGCGCTGCAAGGTGGAAAGGATGTCGTGCATGTGGTCCAGATGGCCGCCAGACCGCCCGAAGCGCACTGAAAATCGAGGGTTTCACAAACGAATTATATTTTTTTAAAGCCCAGGATTAGTTTTAGCTGCCAAACCTCTTAGTGGTACTCTTCTTGGGCTAAAAATTGGTTGTGGGGTAATTGTGCAATTGAAAATCTAAATTTTCATGTTCTAAAGCTTACCAAACGGCTGGGGTTGTCCATTTCGCTTGTCCTGGACGGTGTTGGGTGCGGAGCGTTTTCCGAATCTGAAATTTTTAATGGTTTTTGGAAAATAATAAGAGTAATAAGTAACAGGAATTGCGGTTTTATCTCAACAAAATGGTACTTTCAAACTTTTAGACATTTTTTGAATGCAAGTATTTTACTTTTATCTCATTTCGGCCTTCCTGGTTCACCGGAAGTCGCCACGGCAAAACTTAATTCGCGCATGCTTGTTCCGTGCGGCGAATTGGCAATGAAGTAGAAAATTAGTAGCAATTTCTCGCTTTTTCAGCGAACAAATTGGAACAGGTCTAAAAACTTGAGCGGATGCAGCAAAGCGTGAAAATTGGGTGCTCGTCGCCGTTCCGTAAACTATATTTGATCCGCTTAATTTGTAAAGTATAAGATTCATTTTAATAATTTTGTTACTACTATGAAGATGACTGCATTTTTGACGTGGCGCACTCTGCAAATGTTGTTTTTCAGAGCGTTAAGATATCTACAGTTTTAGTATCGACGTCTAGGTTACTTAACTCACTACATTTGGTACGTTTAAACAGCAAACTTAAAGACTATGAACTTTACGTGAAATTGCTTACCTAACCAACGCGTTCCTCATCCCACCACTGGGTGCGGCTCGACCAAATCGCACCAGGGCGTTCCGCATCGCCGCCCGCTTCTCGAGGCTGAAATTTGGAGCTACCATATCGATTGATCTACTACGATTTTTACGCGTCACTCGACCCTTAAAAGTTATTTACGTCGAGATTTTGAAAAACACTGGAGAGCTTCACCGACAAGCGGTTTTTCTGTCTATTGGCGCAATGGTAGTGTGATCTCTAGCGGCCCAAGGGGTCCGGGTTCGAACCCCGCCCGTGAAAATGTTGCTTTTTGTGCCAGAGCTTAGCGCTAGCCCTACTTATCAACATTTAATTTTAAAGGACGTTAACTAAGCAATTCTCGATATTTTTTCAAATACAAAATTTCCAAAATTCCGCCACCTCCATTAGTGACATAGTTCTCATTATTGGCGACCAGGAAGCTCCGTTTTTGGGCCCGGGGCCAAAATGGAACTGCAATGTGGCCCGGGCGGCTTCCAGCCGTAATTATGCGGCGCTTGCATTTAATAGAAACCCCGCAAAAAGCGAGTCGTATGGATGCGGGTGTGCCGTTGGTCGGTGTTAAATTTGGTTTTTGTTTTTTTGGTAGTAAAATATATTTTATATTTTATCTATTTGTATAGAAATTTTTAAAAAGCCTTTTCCTTAAAAACCCATAAAATTTTCAGATTAGCACGCATTTTCCTCGTTCCCCCTGACCATTGGCTAATGGACACATCCCATTTGAGGGGTATTATTGGGGGTTTGAATTAGTTGAAATGATGTGTGGGTGTGTGTGTGAGGGACCGCCGGTTTTTGCGCCTCTCTGCTGTCTAAAAAGCTAACCAAAATATACTGGAATGTGTGAAGATGCTGACGACAACACAGCCCAATTTAGGGACGGCCTACTGGCCGGCTGGGTAAAATTGGCAGGGGTTCAGTTTCGAATTATAATTGGGGTTAGCAGAGATCTGTCTGAGGAATTTTGGAATATGGAAGAAAAACGTGTTAAGTTGAAACTCTAGTCTGCGAAAGCAAAAAATATGTTGTTTAAAGTGCATAGGCACGCGAGAATCGGGTCATAAAAAAAATTTAAGGCTTCTGAAAAATGTCTTAGACTTTTCTGGAACGTTTTTAATCCCATGAAGCTGTTAAATTAGTGAAATTTTTTTAAATAGACGTTTTACGTTTTAGGCTTTGATAGCAAAACATAAAATAATATAAAATCACCATCATCGTAAAAAACCGATGAGCTTTAGAGATTTCGAAAAATCGCATTTTTGATGTTTCTTAAGCCTAAGAATAGGGCATTTAGGGCTTTAATAAAGTATGAATTAGGCTTACAAAACTTAAGGACTCAACAGTTAGTCAAGTCCGGAAGTTAGGCAGAAATTTATGTTAAGACTATGGATAGAAAGTGCTAGAAAGTTGTCAATCGTATATTGGATTTCTCTATGCACAAATTTACACCTTGAAACCCTTATCCTACTGTAGAATTACCATAATTCATACAACTAGAAACTCACGAGAAGTCCTCATCAGCCGATGATGCATCATCATACTGTTGGGCATTAACAGCATAGGCAATGAGGGCCAAGGCGACCAGGGGCACAACCACGGATAGGTGCATGGCGAGGAAGAAGAGTGAAGAGCTTGGCCGACCTCCTCGACCTCCCCCTCCCCTTGGCCCTCCTCCTCCTTTACCAACCCTTAGGGCCCACCCCCTTTAGGAGGTTTAGGGGCGGATCCCTTTATCCATTGGATGGATGTGGAGAATGGATAGATGGATGGATGGTGGATGGATACCTCTATGTCATCATGGGCATGGGAATTGTTGAAATTTTGAGAATACTGAATTATGAAAAAAAATCGGGGCAGAGTTGGGTACAAAATTCTTGATGGTATCTGGTACAGCCAACTACCGTAGCAATTAGCACCTCAGCATACCTCGTGTTGCAGGAATATAGCAGGTTCAAATACCTTTTAGAGATGTCCTTAATGCACACGTTCAGACCTCACTACAATACGTATACACCTATTCAAGCAAAGAGAACGCAAATGCGTCAATAAGCGCATACGCCGAATGAATCTGCTTTCTTCTTGAATCTGCTTTGCTTTCATGTACGGAAAATCTATGACTATGAATATCGTATGCAATTTCTATAGATAGGCCTATCTCAGAAATCCATAATCTTGCCTTATACGTTCCTTTAGAGTTTTTCTCAAAAAAGTAATTTTAAATTTCATTTTCATGTAGATATATTAGTGACATCCTCGTCATCGTCTATAGTTGTCACGCGGAATTATGGATAATTTTTTACAGTCTTTCAGGATTCAGAGGAGCAGATGACACAAATACATTGATTTTGTAGTTCCCATTGTTGGCGTCGATAAGTGTATGCTCATATCTTCGCTAATACAGTATAATTTTCAACAAATAAATAAAAATAGATTGAATTCTAAACTTCAAAATCCAACTTTTTGCAACAACAACTTCCTCGTTCTTTGATATGACCACATCACCATTTCTCCAAAAAAGTTCTTGATCTTTGCCCAAAGCACGCCATGCAACCCAATGAACCTATAAAGGGAAGTGAGCTGCGCGAAAAGAAAACCGCCGAACTCCGACCCATTTATCCCAATTTCAGGTTCAACACCGGGGGCAATGAGATGCACGGCTTGGTGGGGCAGCAGAGCCATCGCTTCGGCTTCCCAAAGTAGCGACAAATTGAATTGAACAGCTTCTGCCCTTCCATCCCTTCAAACACCACTCAACACAAAAAAGGGGTTGGAAGAGGAAGGTTTGATGTAGCTTATTCGGCACACCCTCGCCATGTTTCTGGAATTTGATCAAGGCAGAAAAATGGAGAGTATGACGTTATCGGAGTGTTGGACACGATTGATGGTGCTAAAATAATCGATAAAATCAGCAAATTGAATATTCTAAAAGGAGTTAAAGGCAGCGACGAATAACCAGGTAGTAAGCTGGTCTAAATGAATCTTTTAGTCACGATTTTGTAACTTTAAAAGGAGATCTACAGGAAGATTTAGGAGTAGCTGAAGGTTTTTCTCTTTCTTTGTTTTTTCTTCTCATCGATCCAATTAAACCTAAAGCGAACAAATATGTAGTATAGTCCAAGCAAACTTCCGCTTCTCACCCACTTAATACGATGTCTCCTAACCCCAATTTCCGCATCAGATACCAAGATACTTCACGCTGCGCTCTAGCCGTGCCGCAAAAAACTACCGTAATCCCCATACCCCATTCAACCGCGTCGCGCATCCCGGATATTGCAAACTCGCGTTATGAAATTGCCAATAAACCCATCCATTCCCCCCCTCCCGATTCGATGCCATCACCTGTGAAGTGTGCAAATTTCTCGGGCTCCCCCTCAAAATTGAGCCCTCGGGGGGTATCGCGAAAAAAGCGGGGTGCTCATTTTGAAATAGGGCGTCGTCTGAGGTTGGAGGGCCTGGTGATCAAAAATTTGGGTGTAGGTATTGGCGGTTCCGGTTGTAGAGTAGAGTTGTAAAAACGCACTTTACTTTGAGCTAAATGAGAAAATCGAAATAGAAAATTAAAACTAGTGGTTAACTTTGAGCTAAAACCTACCACTTTGGGGTAAGTAAAACAATGTCACTTTTTTGTATAAAGGTTTGATTTTGTGCTCCGATAATTAAATGGCTAAACCAGAAATGAATATGGATTTCCTAGAGAATTTCATATATTTTCTGCAGTAAGCGCTGCGTCAGCTACATAAAAAGCATAATTAGGAAATCCACAGCCATGCCCTGACCACCCCTTTAAAATCAACTTCCCTACAAAATTTAGCGTTTTTCAGACAACTACTCACCTTCAATTCAGATACCTTCTAACTACACCCACCCACAAGACCAAATAATACAGCCTGGCCGGGATCTCTGACCGGATAAATGGGATGATGGACCGGAAATGGGCCACAACCCCATCCACTCTCTAATGGATTTTCGGTTCAAATCTCTTTTCGCCCAAAACTAACGACTCGGCGATTTTTTTTTGGTACGCATTTTTCCTACTATAACCTAGCCTGTAATGGGCTTTAAAAGGAGCCGAGAAAGCAGGGGATGCTAATTGTGACCTTAGCATTGTTTTAAAAACTTCGAAAAACCGATGGTTATTTAACTTTATCATTTTTTGTAAAATGCTAAGCCTAGAAAATGCCTTCAGTGTCCCTTTACAAGTTGGTTCAACTCAAGATCTCAAGTTATCAGCGACTTTTTAGGAAAATGTTGAGCCAACTACGCAACTCTGTCGATTCCGTCACGAGCCCAGGAATTTCTAAAAACCTCGAAGCTGCCTTGGTCGCTTTATATAAGGTAATTTTCTCGACCAAGCTTAAAAAATCCGTATCTTAGGGTTTATTTGTATTCTCCCTAATTTTCAACGCAATCCTATGCTCAACCTTTGTGGCGATAATGTATTATTCGCAAGCCATGCAAAAAGTGAGGCCTCGAATTCCCAAACAAAAACTAAAATTTAGGCCCTCCACCCAGCCGTTCTTCGATGTACATTTGCATTTATCGGTTTAGGATCATCATTTTTGCTTTAAAAATTATTTAGAATTATTCCTACTATACCTGGAAGTGCTGTTAATAAGTTTGATGCAGAAAACGCCCAGGATACTGTGGCTGGGGATGCTGTTAGCGGTCAGAATTTAGAAAATTAAATTGTCTTTTTAAACGAGAAAATAATTGCATTTTAATCCAGCGATTTTAGGTTCTCCGCTCTTTTCTCTTTATTTTCTGCCTGATCACGTTTATTTTCAGTCATGAAAATTACACGGATTGGCTGATTATCTATGCTCATGGTAGGTTTTTTACAGGAATTTTAGATTTGCATAGTAGATTACTAAAATTCATATTCAAACTGAATTTTAATTTTCAGGGCACCGCGTGATTCCATGGTTTTTAATCACGTTATACTCCGCAATTTTTATTGCTGAAATCGTTGCTCTTGTGAAGTAAGACGGTTCCGATCTCACTGATTACCGAATCGATATAAAACTATAGACTATAAAAATTTTTCCAATTATTAAAGTTACATACATCAATTTAGATACTATTTGCACAGAGCCCAGCAAATCCGGACTGAGGTTGGTCCGACAGTGCTATTGTGGCGTGCATTGTTTTTGCCTGTAGCTTTAGTGGGTGTTGTTTTTCCGTTTAAAGTTATTTGATTTTTTTAACTATCGTTAACCTTAAATGGCACGTAGCCACCTCCTATCATTAATGCATAGGCGGAACCCCATCGATAAGAAAGGTTTTTGGCGGGAAAAGGGCTCGACGTGTTTTTTGAGTAACTAAAAAAAACCGTCCTAAACGTGGTACATCCATTTACGTTTTAATTTTTTTAGGTTCGCCGTGGTTCCAAGACAACTGCTGAAGAAATGAAGCGCACCCTCCGGGAAATGCAGCGCGCCTCCCGGAAACGGAGGATTATGAAAGATGAGAGCAAGAGTGAATCCGTTGATCCGGTTACTTAAGTGGGTGGTACTTAGAATACTCAAAAATCAAATTCATGCTAAAAATTTAGCTTAAAAAATGAAGCGCTGCTACAAGAAGTTATCATAAAGACAATAACTTTCAGGATTTACCCAAATACACCATCAAAGCCTACCAATCCAAAATACTCCGAAACAATCATAATAAATATATTATTTGAGCGTTTCCACATACCCAAAGTATCACAAATAAATATGAATTTAAGTTGAAATTTTCTGGAGCACAATAGCCGGCTGCGTAAAGCTGAATCTGGTTGCCGGATCGAATCGCCGCAATGGGAACCCTTCTGTGAATACAGATCGATCGCCTTCATGCCAGAAGACACCGAGTAGTTTGAAGCCTATAAAATACCGATAGTATATAGTATAAGTATAAAATACCTAGCATCATCCATTGTAATCGGATCGGGCCATAGATACGGTGTACGTTCCATACTAGCGCGTCATCACCTGAATTATAGTTGATTTTTACTGGCTCTGATTATATCTCTTTAAAATAGCAAAAGCTTCAAAATTGAAGTGGAACTTTGTCAATGTTATAATTTTATACTTATTTAATGTAAGGTTTTACATACCTACTGGAAAACCAGCAATCATCACTCCATCTGGCTTCAACAAACAATGCATTTTTGCCATTTCTCGCAAATCTCCCCATGGATCCATTGGATCACCATACCTTTAAATATCAGCATTACCAAATTATTTTTAGTACGATATCGTGATTTTGATAGAGTATTTATTTTAATTTTACAACTCACCGCCCCAACCCGCTATGTTCCAACGAGGAAAAATGCACAACAAAGTCCAGCGATTCGGAGAAACTAAAAATGTTTCAAAAAGTCTAGGTCATCCTACTTGGTCCAATTCCTTGCGAGATCAAAGGGATGAATATAGCTTACAGGTTGTTTGGTCTAAAATTGAATTTAGAAAAACTATGGAGCCCATCTACCTGAATTTTCAATTTCTGGTATTCTACTGTAAGGACATGGGCGGCGCCGTGACGGAGAGCATAGACTTCTACCTAAATTTACATAAATTGTGTCTGAAATTCATAAATAAATGTTTTCTATTAATTTTAATTGGAATGCTTCGAGTCTGTGTTTTGGATTTAAAAATAAATAACTAAAATTTTGCATACCCATGGGAGTTGCGACCCAATAACAGCTCCTTTTTTGCCCTCAAAATATTTACGAAAATGTGTCATAGCATCAAAGACGACTCCTGAAATATTCCAATGATACAGTGATTCTTACTACGATTATATCTTACAAATTACGCAAACTTACTAGTAGACTGTCCATACGTGGATTTGGCAAATATTTGATTTTCGGTCAGGGACATTTGTTTGTCGATATCGTTCCAGACCTTGTCATGAGGTTTTGCCACTTCATTGCGGTACCTAAAAATGTTAATATAAAAATTATACAATTAAAGAAACAATAAAATAAAAACGATCACGCTATTTAAAAAGTCATACCATTTATGAATCGGAATCCGTCCAAATAAGGTATATTCATTCCAGGTGGCTTCTGGGACTTCTTTTGGAGGAGTATCGGGTGGAGCTACTTCAGAAGTTTTCAACCAATTATCCCAAACCTAGGAATAATAATAATTTTAATAATAATATAATTGAAACGTTTATACTTGCCTCTTCACATCCCGATCCAATAAGTCGTGCCCTTCTTTCAATATCCGCTAATACCGTACTTGACGGTACATACCATACATCTTTTTGAACATCTTTATCAATTGTTGGGCAATCTTGACTAAATAAAGATTTTTTAATTTGATAGCTAAAACTTACGCTATTACAGATGTCTTCTCTGGCTCTGGACTCCTAATAGAATTCCGTAACATTGGCACAATAAACACGATGGAGGCGATCGCCAAAAATGCAGCGAACAACCCCTTCATGGCCTGAATTATATTTTTTTCCACTGTTCACTAGACGCAAAAAATCAACAACCAGTTCGGAGCGATCGTCTACAGAATGCACGTCGTACCCCCCGGGACGTTTGTTCAGAGCTGTTCGCCCCCATATTTAAACAGGCCGCCAATGAGAATTACACGAAAAGCCGGGGGTCTTAAAATCTTGAAAATTTGCACAGAGCGATATTTCCTTTTTTTTTAAATATACATGCAGGGGTGCCGCCGGAATGAAGGGGGCCAAATAGTGGGGGTGTATAAAGTTTGAGATATGGGATATTGATTCTTGTCGAAGGCTTGGTGTGGATTATGTTATAAAAGTGGTGATAAGGGGACGCATTTGTGATTGGGGAAAAGTGAAGGCTCACAAGCAGCTGCACTTTTCCGGGGAATTTTTATATAGAAAGCTACACTTACCGGGGTTTAACAATTTTTTCCTAGTAATTCTGTACGGCTCTGTAACAAAATGAAAACGATTTTTATAGCACTTTACACCGTCCTGAAATATAACAATCTTATCATAAAATAATCAAAAAAATTTTTGAATTTTTGATAAAGTGACGAAAATAGGTCGAAATTTTCGAATTTTCAAACTTCAAAAAATTATTTTTAACATTTCTAGCAATAAAAACTTTTACTGGGTGTCCCAAAAAAAGCACCCTCCTTTAGCGGTCCGGGGGAAGCTTCCTGTTAACTTTTTTTAGGAGAGACGGCGACCAGACTTTTTTAAGAAACGTTTAAGATCAAGCATGGGCTAGAAAAATTGTAAAACAAAAGGCGCTTGTTTTCTTGCTTTTTTGAGTCCTTTCGATAGTTGTAAAAATCATTCCGATTCGGCCTTTCTGCCGAAATTCGCAAGGTCGAAATTTACTTAAACAGAAATCTCCTAAATTCCCAAATACTATACAAAAAAAATGTCGACATATTCAAATGCCGACACTATGAAGTTTCGATAGTATGATCGCAAAGCACATTATACAATTAACCAATAGTCCCTTAGAGCCTTTACGCAAAAAAGCCCGTGAAATGGTCCTAAGGCTCCAAAATTTGCATCCAAAAATGGGCGGTCCCAAAAAGACACCCGGCCTAAGAAAAAACACTTCCGGTTGCCAGAAGCTCCCAAATTTGCATAGATGCATATCCTGCCTAAGATGGAAAGTGCGAACTTAAAGTTCGCACTTCCGCCGGAATTGGGCGGCAGAAAGAATACTTCATATTATGGTCTGCCTTTCGGCTTTCCCATCGAACATCTGCGATGGTCGAGGAGATAACGAGAGCAAGCTCGACGTAGGCAAGATGCGAGGGGATGATAGCTTCCGCTTTGTAACATTTTAGCAGAGCTTTGGATCGAAATTCGGAGCTGTTTGTATGCTGGTATTCTGCTTATCGGTGTATACTAGTAGGATTTTTGTTAGAATATCTGTATTTTATAAGTAAGCATTTGTGCTAGAGTATGTGACCTATTCCTATAAGTAACATTGAAAATAAATCAAAACCAATACGGTTTTTGGTTGGAATTTATAAGTTAGATTTTGGCCTCTCGACTTTTATGGTTTAATATTTCGTTTAAGCTACATAAATCTCTATTAAAACTAAGATTTAAATAACTTCATGGAACACAGCAGACGCAGCTGTACAATTTATAGAATTATCAGAATTCCGAGTGAGAACCTATGATGAGATTCCTTGCAGGCTGGATGGGGCGGTTCCACCCCCATTCACATTATTTTACGTCAAATAAAAGGCAGGGGGTGAAAGGCGATCGCGCCTTACAAAGGCCCTTCAATCGCCGAAAGAAGCTTTTTACATCCAAAAATCAATTCGAAATGTAACCTTGTACAACTAAAGTAACCATGTTTACTATTTAATTCACCTGTAATACCAAGTAGACCGCAATTTTGTTACACTAAATAGCAAAAATACATACACTACTGCTATAGACCATATTTCTTATAAGCTTCCAAAGGAAATCGATCATGCTCAACAAGCGTTTCCAAGGCCTTGTAGTATGCTGCTCGTTTCTCTAGGTAGTACTTATGGTGTCGCAGGTCCAAGGCGAGGCAAGATATCTTCAGTTTAGAGACATAACTAAATTTGTTTTTTAAATTTAGTGACAATTTCCCACCTCCATCTGTCAAATTCACCTAACGAGCATTTTCGATCAAATATAGCTTCGCTAGTGAAGGGGAGCACCCATTCGCCACCTAGTTTTCTAAAAATGAAGAAAATTTAAGTGTTTTGAAAAATTAGCATACTGCTTCTTCCATCCATGAAAGAATAGATCTCGGCCACACCAATATGTACCAGAAATCCAGCCGTCTCGGGACCAGCCTTGTCCTAAAAGAGGTTTTTTGGGTTCGTAAAAAAATCAACTATCTTTTGCTAGGTCTCGACAGCTAGTGGACTATATTTTTTACATGCTATTCCGCTTTCGATACATAAGCTATTTACCTTTATCATATAACACAAATCCCCGTCGTGCCAATTCCTCTTTAGGCACTAATGAGATCAAATATTGCATGCAAGCCTCGAATCGAAACAAATCGTTGTAATCCCTAAATTTTTTTCATTAAAAAAATCTCAATCCATACCTTGAGATCACCCAACTCTCCTCGCAAATTTTCTGAAAAGCACTCAGCTCTGGCATAAAAAATTCGACGGCAACACTCTAAATACCGTGGTCTTGACACGATTCAAACCCCCCACTTGAATCGCTCCATTATCGGTACCCCCTTGCGGAATAGCATTGGTTTTTTCCATATATTCCACCCAAAGCTGAAGGAAATTCGCGGCTTGTTTTGATTTTCTAAACCACAATCCATAAATCCCTGTAACATTTGCGTACCTTAAAATATAAGAACCAGCCATTATTTCATCGTTGTAAAATCGGTTATAGAAAACTATATTTACACTCGATTTTGCGGGCAAGAATTCTTCGATTCTGAATGTTTTGATAGTTTAAAATTCGAATTTTAGATTTGCACCTCCGCCTGGGATTGATCACGCCAATATCTGCATCCAAGAAGACGTAGAATTCATAATCAGAGTTGTACATCAAATCTCTCATCAGGCAGTGCCGCGTGAAGAAGAACTAACTTTATTGTTTTACAATATTTAGATAAATTACATCATTTTGAGGGCACAAAAGTTGCAGCTCCTTACTCGCACTATAGTCGACATAAATAAATCCATAATTATGCACCTAATTTTGGTTGTAATATCAAGGCTGTTAGATACCTCTGCATAGCACCTAGCCGAATTTACAGCTATTCGATAGTCGGCCTCATTTTTCCGGTTCTTTACTATATACACAAGTGCTATCGATGAGTTCTTGTCGTTTACGCTTGGCAGTTGGTCTTCACTTTCTAAAATTTGGGGTTAGGCGTAGGAGTTGGATTACGGTAATGCGGCTCGTAGTTGGTGAAATTTTGCCCCGTGAAACCAGGTCCATCATATAGGGTGTGATTTGAACGCCAGACAGAGAATGTAAGGTAGAGCACTAGAAAAATTGAGGGGATACTGTAGAGCAAGTAAGCTGCCAGCGCGCGTCGGGGCATAATGGCAGAATGAAACCAGCCGAACAACGAAACGAAATCTGCCACCATCGAAAATCCGACCATAAATTTGAAAGAGTACAAAAACTGGCTTGAGCCGTTCACTTAATGGGCTGTTCTTTCGTAGGTAGAGCACACACCAGGAGTGTCCGAGATGATCGGGGCGGATACCAGCCTTATGGGACTCCACGAACGAACTCGATGTAGAAGATGAACAGAGTCGCCGTTCGTTTGTCTTTCGCCTCAAAACTATTAGTGTTATATCGAAATTTAAGGAGACGTGGAGGGTACTGTATCTTTTTTATCTGGCCGTTGTATCGTGGCTGTCTATAAATGGTGAAAAACCGAAGGAATGGGTCGAAAGCTAGATCTGAAAGCTAGTGAAAAATTAGTGCTGAGTTTTTAGGTTTTTCGCTTCATAAAAAGTTGTAGTATGTATAAAAATGATAAAACCCCACGCTAAAATATTAAAGCAAACAGTATTAGAAAAACTATTAGAGGAAACACGGTACGCGAGGTGATAAGCATTGCTTGAAGTACTTTGGCGACGCTGCGTTCTCTTTTCGTTTAAAATTCATGTCTTTGTATTGATTCTTTTTCTCAAAAAGTAGCTCGAATCCCGCTTCAAATAACAAACTCCCTAAACAAACATTCAACCACAGTTCTGACAAGAAACTTCCCCCTTCTTTTTCCTTCTTTTTTCTAAAAACCCCTTAGACACATCCCTATTTGCAGAATGCAATACTCTCCTTCCTGCCTCCCCTTTCAAGATGGTTGAAATATCTCGTGGTCTCTAATGAAAGCCGGGGAGAAAGGGAGGAAAAGCCTGTGCTGGGATAGGAGATCCTCTCGGAACGCCCTGAGGGCATCAATTCAGGGCCCCACTCAAATATTCGGCAGCCTCAGGGAAAAGGGACCCAGGGAGGGCCAACGGGGGAGGCCCACCCACGGTGACATCAGAAGAAGCAGAGGAGGGATCGATTTGAAGGGGCCAGGCTGAGAGTGGAGAGATGAGAGAGAGAAAGCGGGGGTACGGTAGAGTGACTCTTCCGGGAGGGTTGAGAGAGGGTTTTTCTTTCTCAACCCGGCGACTCTCATCCTTTATTGCTCTATCGTCGCTTCTTTTGGTTGTGGGGCCCTCGTGGGGCCCTCCAGGGTCGCATCGATCGAATGTGTGAGGGCCTCAGCACTGGCTGAGGGCCCTTTTTCGCTGGTGGGCCTCCTCATTCCTGGGGCGCCCCGACCGACGCGACACGCGCCCCGACAAGGTTCGTTTTTTAACAAATGTCAATTGGTTTCATTTGTGAGTTGTATTACTTATTAAAAGGTATAAGAAGCTGTTTTAAGTCAATATTAAGGAGTCGCAGTTTTTTGGGAATCAGGAAGTGACGTCGTTTTTTTATGAAATTCTGATTTAAGTTTTCTAGGTTTTTCAGGCCTTTAAAACATAAACAACATCGAATTAACATAAATATCCGTTAAAACTTCCCCTTAACGTTTTATCCTTTTCAAGTCAGCTCCTCCCTTCCACCCAAATTTGTAATTAGTGTAGGCGGAACTGGTCCCCATTTAAGCCACTGTTGTCCAAAAAACTTTTGCAATTTTCCTGAAAGCAACTATCTTTTTTAGCTACACCCGATCTACTTACCAAGCCCAAAAAGTTATCTAAACTTAAAATTTATATTTAAAACCAGAAAAGCTGTTCCTCAACAAATCACCACCCAATTTCAGCAACAAAATCCAATTACACACCCGATATTTTGTTAATAATGAGGGCCCGCGTAAATAGGATTCGAGCGTTGGGAAGGGGTGATGATTCTTGGGGGAACAGCAAATTGCGGGGTTTCTGCGGCTGATTGGGTTCAATTTATTCGGCATGCTCGGAAATTGGGGGGCAGCTTGGGGGGTTACTGTCGGATTTAAAAGCCGATAATTTATGAAACCATTTTTACCATTTTGATTCCACGGCTCAATTTTGCGTGGGAAACTGGGGGTCGAGGTTACTGTGGATTTTTCAAAATTACGATAAATCTTTTAATCAGCTTTCTTCCAGGCATTTTTAAAAGGCGATTTGCAGCTTCTGATATTACAATTAAGGAAATAGCTTGTAATTAATTTTGAACGAGAATATCAGTTTTTCCCGGGAAATTTAGGATTTCACAAATTGGTTGCTGGATAAATTGTTGAAATAGAATTTTGTTCCAATTTTTACGAACTAACTGGAGCTTAAAGATACCTCTAAATAAATAGCTTTACTCGAAAATCAAAGATTTAAGTTGCTTTTTTAATTTTGATCCCAAAGATCAATTTTCCCCCGGAACTTTTTTCAAGCGGGTTTCAACCTTGCCGCTTCTCATTTGTAACCATTGGAAGGGGGGGACCACACGACGACGACAAATTGAATTCATTTGAGTCGGGGCGAGAGAAGGCTGTGAAGGGGGGACCCACCCGGGCGAAGCCCAATTCATTTATCAGAGCCGAACCTTTTGGAAGGCGGGGTGGATGGATGGATTCACTAAGGGATTCTAGAAACGGATATACGCCATTCCCCCTCACATCACGAATCTCATGGAATAATCCGGGGTCCCTGCTCATTTCTTTAAGAGTGTCGGGGAGTTCGAAAAAGTGGATTTGACTGTGTCGAGATTAATCCGGATGTGGGAAATTCCCATGATCCCTGGGGTTTGTGGGGGAAATTGGTGTGAAAATCAGAGGCCTTACAAAACAAGGGCTTCCGGAAGAGGGATTTTAGTCAGAATTGTAATCAAACTCTACACTTTCTGATCTATGTCAATTTTTAAAGATATGCTCATCGCGTCGTCATGTTTCTTGTTGATATGTATCTACCACTCTGCTAGTGCACTCGATGTCTTCACCAACCACTTTCACGTCCATCTGAAGGTTCGTTAATATTAACAACTTTATTATGGCGTTTTATTAAAAATTGTAATTTTTATTTTATGCATATTTTAGGAGGGCGGACTCGAGAATGCACACAAGATCGCTAAACGCCACGGCTTCATCAACCGTGGAGCTGTAAGTATATATTTATATTTCTACAGATTGATGTTTAACTCCAATCATAATTGCTGAATTAATATTTAATTCCAGGTTCTCGGCTCGGACCACGAATTCCACTTCGTCCAGCCTGCCCTCTCCCACGCCCGCACCAAGCGCTCCATTGGACATCACCGCAAGTTGCTCGGAGATGATGAGGTGGGTTTCTCTCTCTCTCTCTCTCTCTCTCTCTCTCTCTCTCTCTCTCTCTCTCTCTCTCTCTATCCATCTCTCTCTTTCCATTTTTTGCGCTCCGTATTTTCTACCATTTGCTTCTAGATCAAGCACGCCGAACAGCTGACCGGCTACAAGCGCACCAAGCGAGGCTATGCGTAGGTTATTTGTGATAGACTCCAGACTACAAAATTAAACTTGTTAATTCAAATACAACGAACGATTTTTTAGCCCGCTCGCCGACCGCCTGCAAGCCCAGCTCGACTTCACCTCCGTTCAATCCCCCGGAGATCCCCTCTACCAGTACCAGTGGTACTTGGTCGGTTTTGAAACCATTTGAGAAGCCTTATTCCTCGATTTTAAATTATTTGTATGTATAGGCTATGTCCATTTTGTCTGTGTTCCTTTGAAATAACCCTTGACGAGCTTGGGTGCAGATAAACCACCAGCTCGTTAGGGGGTCATTCAAGCTAGAAAGCTGCGTAGGGAGGAGTGCTTTGGAAAACAGGCCGTTTGGTTTGAGGGTTAAAGGAGAGAGCGAGTCGGGAAATAGTGTTGCCGATAACGACAATTCGGCAAAATGAAAATTCCACCAAATCCAGTTCGGCATTCTGATTTCCGACAAAATAAGAAATAGACCGTCGGCGGCTGAAAAACATATGATTATGCCTAACTACTTCAAAAGATGGCATCATCAGCAAAAAAAATTAATAACCGGCTCCAAATTTCAGAAGAACACCGGCCAGGCTGGCGGCAAGGCCCGGCTTGACCTGAACGTCGAGAAGGCATGGGCCCTTGGCTTCACCGGAAAGAACATCACGACGGCCATCATGGATGACGGTGTCGACTACATGCATCCCGATTTGATGAACAACTTTGTAAGCACCAAAAAAATCAGGATGTTTTGCGGCGGTGTCGGGCACTCGTCATTGGCTCCTTTTTCATGGGGGATCAAATTTCGTTTTTGCAATCAGATTCTTCTTGGAGCTTCGTGGGGTTCGTGGTGGCCTAGGAGCTAAATTGAGGGATGGGCTTGGAAAAATATATAAAATGAAAGATACCGAGGCGATTTTTTGATGTTACTTTCAGTGAATCTTGATTGCGGAATTTAGAATATTAATTCTTAGATATAATCTGTCTGACACGAAAATGGCTACAGATGCAAAGCTATTTTTAGAATGCGGAGGCCTCATACGACTTCTCGTCGAACGACCCGTTCCCCTATCCCCGCTACACGGATGACTGGTTCAATTCTCACGGAACGCGATGCGCCGGAGAAATTGCCGCCGCCCGCGACAATGGCGTCTGCGGTGTTGGTGCGTTTTTTCTAGGATTTTGAAAGCTTTTGAGTCTTTGAAAACAAGAGTTCCGGTTCGAAAAAGCAAAATAACCGACAATCCAAAAGAGAGTAAAAGACCTGGCTGAAGAATTTAGATACTTATAAAATATGCTTATATGATAGCTTTAGCAAAAAGGAGACAATTATAATTAGAAAGGATAATTAAGCTAGCTTCCATTTTCTAGGCGTCGCCTACGACAGCAAGATCGCTGGCATCCGGATGCTTGACCAACCCTACATGACCGATCTGATTGAGGTAACTCACAAACGTTACCCAAATACGTTATCCCAAGACCTTGCTGATTTCTATAAATAAATTTCCAGTTTTACTTTTTAAGGCCAACTCGATGGGCCACGAGCCGAACAAGATCCACATCTACTCTGCCAGCTGGGGACCCACCGATGACGGCAAGACGGTCGACGGCCCGCGCAACGCCACCATGAGGGCTATCGTGCGTGGAGTTAACGAGGTAAGATCTTAACTTAATTTTCTATCGATTTAAAACCTGTATTTCTAAATAAGTAAATCTATATTCATTAAAACATTTTTAATTCTAGGGCCGCGACGGACTTGGCTCGATCTTCGTCTGGGCCTCCGGTGACGGTGGTGAGGATGATGACTGCAACTGTGATGGGTGGGTTTTAGAAAAAACAGTTTTAAATCTTCAATATCTTTTTAATGATACAGTAATTATATCATTGATTTTTAGTTATGCCGCCTCCATGTGGACAATCTCGATCAACTCGGCCATCAACAACGGCGAGAACGCCCACTACGACGAGTGAGTTGATTTTAGTTTTTTTTTAACTAAAAATCTTTTAATATTACGACACATTAATTTCGCCTATTAGACTTAGTTTCAATTAATCTTACAACTTTCTAGGTCCTGCTCCTCCACCCTGGCCTCAACCTTCTCCAACGGAGGCCGAAACCCGGAAACCGGAGTTGCCACCACCGATCTCTATGGCCGGTAAGCTTACTTATTACGATAAAACTGAATAAAATATTATAGCTGCACCCGTTCCCACTCCGGAACCTCAGCTGCTGCTCCGGAGGCTGCTGGCGTGTTCGCTCTTGCTCTGGAAGCCAACCCAAGCCTCACCTGGTTAGTTTAAATACAGAAAGTTACAAACTTCGCTTCTCAAGGTGCCGCAAAATTCAAAACAACAATAAAATCCATACCCATACCTTCACCGTATCTTTAAAGGGCTATACCCACGTCTAATCCTAACAAATGAACACCCCCGACAATATCTTCTACCTCTTGTACGATTTGCTCCTGTAAACGGTTCGATTTAAGGCGCGACCTGCAACACTTGACCGTCCTCACCTCATCCCGGAACTCCTTGTTCGATGGACGATGCCGCGAGCTGCCGAACCTCGGAACCAAGGACAACCACCAGGACACCAAAAACCCCAACTGCTCGCACTTTGAGTGGCAGGTTCGCGATACGATCCTTTTCGCTCGGGAATTAGTGGCTAGAGAGAGCAATAAGTGTTCATTGAAAAGTCAAGGAATTCAGGAAATTCTAGAAAAGTCACGGAACGAATTTAAATGGGACCAGTCAATCAGAAACTCATTCGTTACATGAATTCTTGGCTTTATGTCAGATTTGGCTTAATATAATACGTCATTAGGTGTAGAATGGTACATACATCAGTACACAGATCTCAAATTCTTCAAAATCAGCGGTTTTCGAACTTGAATTTGAGCTTTTGTTAAAATCTCAGCCAGTTTGTCAAATAGCATCTAAAAGAAACCCTGCCTTCCAGATGAACGGCGTCGGACTGGAGTATAACCACCTGTTCGGCTTCGGTGTCCTTGATGCCGCCGAGATGGTGATGCTGTCGATGGTCTGGAAGACGGCCCCGCCACGATTCCACTGCACCGCCGGAACTATCGAGGGCAACCAGTAAGGATTGGGGAAATCGACGTCGTACACTAATTTAGCGAGATCCCCGCCGACGGTAATCTGATGCTGGAGTTGGACACTGATGGATGCGCTGGTTCGGCGACGGAAGTCCGATATTTGGAGCATGTCCAGGCCGTCGTTACCCTGAACTCGAGCCGACGTGGAGACACCACCTTGTATTTGATCTCGCCAGCTGGCACCCGGTAGGTCTTTGGTTTTAAGGCTCCTGCTTTCTCTCTCTCTGCTCTCTTCCTCTCTCTCTCTTGCTCTCTCTCTCTCTCTCTCTCCCGCTTCCTCCCTACTGGGGAAAGTGTCCATGCAATTGTAATCGCGCAATGTATCGTACAAATTATAGAACGATGATCCTCTCCCGGCGACCGAAGGACGATGACTCGAAGGACGGATTCACCAACTGGCCGTTCATGACCACCCACACCTGGGGCGAGAATCCGCGCGGAAAATGGAGACTGTTGGCCCGATTCCAGGTATTTAACGAGAATGATAGCTAAAAACGTAATTGCTAACCGTACGAGGAGATTTATACGATTATCTTAAAACAGGGAGCTGTGTGTTTTCAAAATGGGATTAGCCCAACTTATTTAAAAATTCTTGCGGCTTCCAACGCCGTTGATTGATTGCAAATTAACCGGATTCAATTAGCTCAACCTCAATCTAAACATTTTTTCTATTTTCTTCTATTTCCAGGGACCCGGCGAGCACCGCGGAATGCTAAAACGTTTCACCCTGATGCTCCACGGCACCAAGGAGGCCCCGTACACCAACATCGAACCCCTACGCGGCCATGCCAACTCGAAACTCGAGGTCGTCCAGACGGCACACAAGCGCGTTGCCGCCTAAATAAGCTGTATCTACATCCGCTTCACCACAGAAAATCATCCTCCCAAAAATCCACACTACAAAAATCGGCCGTGCGCACACCGGGACTCGCGCTCCAGTGGCGGTTCCCGTACGCGCTGGCCGATGCCGGACCCCCCGCAACGGGCCCTGCAATCCAATTTTACAATACCATTATACTCTCGTAGTCATCTCTCTCTATTCCGGGTTCCCCCAGCATATATACCGTTTCCTTCGACCTTTTCCCATCCCCCAGAATTTGTGAAAGTTTTACGATTTGACGAACCGGTGAATTCCCCCCCTTACCCCCAAAACCCCAATTTTTCCCGAGAAAACACTAACTACTGCGTGTGGCCGCCGAGTGAATAAAGCGATTCTTGTTGTTTGCGATTGGTTGTGACAAGGAGGAGAATTCGATACGTAAATAGAGCTCAAGCACAAAGAGCGGCTGATTTTTGGTTCAAAGGAACTTGAAATTCCGGCACAAATTCTGGGATCCCTGCAAAAGCCGGGCTGATTTCAAATTCAAAAATATACAGCAGGACTCGATTTTCGAGCTCGCAGACGATAAAACCCCTCTATTGCTATGATCAAAATGGATTTTTCAAAAATTTTGTTTTTTCTTGGAGCATGACCAAGTCTATTTCGTGCAGAATTTTTTTGCTGACCAAAACCTACGTCTCAGATTCTGCGAAACCACCATAGTTACAAGTTACAAAGGTTTAAAGTTTCAAAAATTCCCGAAATCTCTTAGTTTGGCCGTAAAGATTCCTTAAAGCTTCCTAAGTTTCCTTTTTCTTGCGGTAGTTTTGGATTCTGAAAACTAGAGTTTATTCATCAAAAATTTTTGCACAATATCGGCTTAGTCATCACATCTTTTCGAAAAAGCAATTTCGAAAAAAACAGGCAAAGAGTCTCTTTGTTAGAAAAATAACTGCCTATCCCCCGTCAAAAATCGGGTCAATTCCAACGTTAAAAATATACACTTTTCAACCCGATTTCCAAACTCTCAAGCCATAAAACCACCCCTATCCCGCCCGATCAAAGGCCCTCCTCAAATATTTTCGCTTTTCTTGGACCGTCTCAAAGTGACGCCCCGAAAACATGATTCTCCACTCTCGGCATTATTGCTCAGACACATTCCACACGTTCTACCTTACTTTTGATTTTTCGCATCGTGCTTTTAATTTTTCAACCTACCCAGTGACAAATCAAAAATCGGTCACTCTAATCCATGTTTCCCACCCTCACTACGCCCCGAAAAAAAACATTGCGGGGTCGGGGCGAGCGGCGCGATTATGAAAATGTTCCCAGCGGCGCGGAGAAAAAGCCGATTTGTATGAGAGGAGCGCGGCAGATGGGGGAAATGGGACGAGGCGATCCTGTATGAGGGGAAACGACCGTCATTTGGAAATCCATGGGAACTTTCTGGTTTGGGATATATTTTACAATATTCACAATTTTGCTTATTTTTTGGCGGCGCTAAAATGAGTAAAATCAAGCTATATCTGCTAAAAAATTTCTGAAACTTTAAAAAGCATTTCAAGGTTTGAAAATACTTGCAACTTTTGCCGTTAGAATTAACTTGAGTTTTGTTACTCATTGACACATTTAATATGAATTCAAAAGCTAGACATTAATATATAGTCCAATGGGGTTTTTAGAAACTTGTTTAGGTTGATAGTTAACAACTGGCAGACGACTTACGTATAACTAGGTTTAGGCTAGAATCAAAAACATGTACATGTTTTGCAATTTCGCCGTTTTATTGGGCGCCCAGCGATCAACCGCCACTAGTTAATCGTTGGAAACCGGGCCCCGACTGGTTGATCGCGCTCGCCGAATTACCCAAATAGTCACTGCCCTATTCTGGGAATACGAACTTTTAAAAGTATATGATTAATTTCCCGATCTCCAAAGTCCATTACTTGATGTGATACCTTCAGGGATGTATTTCTTAGCCGCTATGCCGGTTCCCCTATTGCTCTCTTTTTTGTTCAATTTAATGTGCTCGCCGGGAGGTGAAAGAGAAAGCGGATGGATGCATTTATCGGAGGGATCAATGTGCGGTCACTTGGCTGATATCCCTGACCGCACATTTGTCTCTTGCTCCCAGGCCATTCGATTTTCAATTTTGGTTCCTGGCTTTGAAATGAGTTTTGAATCTAAAAAATGTCGAGTTTTTGGGCGTCAAATGTTTAAATTTTGGTTTCGGCAATTTATCTCTCACCCCGATTCTCCCTCTCTCTCTCTCTCTCTCTCTCTCTCTCGCTTTCTCTCACTCGCTTTCGCTAGATTTTTTAAATAAACCGCCCTATTAAGGGAAATGACATCAAAAGGACCAGAAGCAAAAGTCAAGGAGCGGCCCTTTTATAAAGCTCGCGACACTCCTAGGCCAGCATTATGTATCCTTTTTGGATTTCAGGTATGACAGTAATTTCTTTTGCTATGCAATGCTTTTTTTAGCAAGTAATGGTTTGTGTATCGGCCCTCCTAACAATACCCTTTTTATTAGCTGGTTTTCTATGTGCTGGTGAGGTAAGTGGCTATCCCATTCCCTTTAACCCTCCTTAAAGGATGAATACAAACTTCGAGCCGAGCTAATTGCCGCTACATTTGTGGCATCTGGCATCTCAACAATTATCCAAACCATGTTTGGGTTTCGGTAAGTAATAAGTCAATTAAATACAATGTTTACGAGATTGGCTTTACTACAAGGGACAGCTTTTGCCTACATCCCATCAATTCAATCCTACATGTCGTTGGAAGAGAATAAGTGTCATATTGGGCGGAATCAAACCGCTGATCCGAGTTTGTACTATGGACACTTGGCTACGGTAGGGTCGGCAGTAGCTTAAAAATGAAATTATATTATTGCAGATCCAAGGGGCCTTGATTTTATCCTCATTAGTGCCGATATTTATTGGACTTACTGGGATCGTTGGCCGGCTTACAAAGCTTATTGGTAGGCCAAGCAGCTATGGAAATGGATTAAATTACCGATATCCCTGAAATTAATCGCTTATGCATACTATCTAATTATTATTTTCAGGACCAATTACCGTATCCCCGTTAATTTTGCTGCTCGTCATTTCCAGCACTGACATGATTGTCAATCGAGTTTCGCAACATTGGGTTTCGATTATGTACGTTTGTGTAGTTTTTACGATTTTTAAAGGGACCATGAAGCCAGGAGTTTCCATTTTTAGCCAAGCTGCAACACTATTCGCTACCATCCTCTACCTTGCCGATTTACGAGTACCTATGCCCGGCTATAAAGACGGAAAATTCCGATTTTTCCGTGGGAACGTATTTGGAGAATATCCGGTATACAACTGAAAATGCCGTTTTTACTCCATGCCTTTCTAGTATCTAATCGCCATCATGGTTTCGTGGATCTTCTGTGTCTTTTTGACGATTACCAATCTGGTACCACCAGGTTCTGCCGCTCGGGTTGACAAGCCGGCCAGCATTGAGGTGCTGCAAAACGCACCCTGGCTAGCAGTACCGTATCCAGGTCGGTCTAGATAATTTTAAAACTGCATAATTCGAAATGTCAGCTCAATTCGGTTTCCCTAAATTTAATGTCGGCCTTTTCTGCGCATTCTTGCTGTCGGCGATGACTTCGGTTTTTGAATCGGTTTGTTGAAGTTTTAAGTTTCTACCGTAAAAAATGAATTTCATTAGGTCATTCATTAAAATATATCAAACCTGTTTGTATCGATTGAAATTCAGGTTGGTGATTACCACGCAGCTGCCCGAGTTAGCCAGGAGCGATCCCCGCCCTCGCATGCAATAAATCGTGGAATCTTGTCAGAAGGTTAGTGATTGATTACATGTAAAGGTGGTAGTTTTGCTATAACGGACTTTATTTGATTAAATTTGGTTTTTAATTTAATTTTCAGGCCTTGGCTCTTTTGTATCAGGCTGGCTGGGTCCAGGAGTCGGGATGACGACACATACGGAAAATATTGGAGTTATTGGAGTGACCAGAGTAAGATATTCATTTTAAGTTGAGAAGAAAACAATAAATTTACGGTATGCCAATTAATATTAATCTAAATTCTTAGGTAGCCAGTCGATGGACGATGGTAGTTGCTGGGGTGATGTTGATCGGGTTAGGTAGGTCGGTGACGGAAATTGGTGTTTTTATTGAATTCCTAATACGGAATTTTTTGGATTCCAAAACAAATTTTTAATGCTAATTTCTAGGCCTGTTCACCAAAATCGGGGCAATCCTATCGACAATCCCCGAACCATTGGTGGGCGGCGTTTTGGCAACATCTATGGCTATGGTAGCTGGCGTGGCTATTGCAAATTTGCAATCGGTGGGCATCCGGTGCGGGTTTAGAATAACCATAATTTTTAGGTTGATTTATCGTTATCCCGCAATATGGGCATTATTGGATTTTCGATTATGGTAGGACTGGTCATTCCGGAATATTTCACTCGATTTCCGGTAAAAACCGGTAAGTTTTAGGCAGTAAAAAACGAATGTCACATCTTCTATAGGAGTCATCGTCATCGATCAAGTCCTACAAATCTTGCTAACACTCCAAATGTTCGTGGGAGCGATGTGTGCTTGTATTCTAGATAATACTGTTGGAGGTGGGTAAAAATTTAATAAATCATGATTATAATAATAACAAATAACCTAAAATTAGGCGCTACCCGCGAGCAGCGAGGGCTACAAACAAGAGGCAAGATCTACGAAGGATCCCTGGAAGATGATGTCTACTCATATCCAAAGCCAGTGACAAGGGTATATTTTTTGCGCCGAAGTTTGCATATCTTTCAGTTCCTCGCCCGAATACCCTACATCGAATATCTGCCATTTATCCCGAAGGAAAAGCGCCCCCGAAGGGTGGAGGATTCAACGGAAATTCGCATTGATGGCGTGGAAATTGAAACGAAATCTTAAGCAGCTTTCACGGCTTGGTTTTTAGTCTCTAGTTTGCCTTTTTGTAATGTAGCCATTCCAAGCAAAACGTTCTTAAATTGTATCATTCCCTGACAGCAACGGGTCCGAAAAAAAACAGTGAGAATAAAGGTTTTAATTTGACTTTTCTTTCGGCTATGTAACGACGCAGTTTAAAAAACCGGCCATCAGCCAGCATGGCCTGTCTCGTAACTTTGTCAAAAATTTATTTTAAAAATACCTTAAAAATAAATATATAGGAATCAAAAACATAGTTAGAGATCAATACGGGACCCGTAAGATAGCACGAGGGAGGAAATGCGAGCTGAGATATCACCAAATCATTGATTTTTCGAGAAAATTTTTGGTCATATAGCATTGAAATGAATCTATTGCGGTCCACTTGAAGAGTACATGGTCCAATAGAGGATGTTGAAGAGCACGAAAGCGACCGGGAATAGTACACCTAAAAATTTATTAAAAGTTATAGATTAAAATTGTGTAAAGTAAGTGAAAATTAGACTTACGTGAGACAAGGTCGGCTCGCTTTGCTTTGTCCTCCATGTCAGTATAATTCCTGATGAATTTTCGAAGTTTTTTAGTAGCAGTGAAACGCTCGAAGACGCTTGGCTTTGTTGGTTCTCTCGGGCCACCGAGGAGGAGATCCGCTAAAAACTCTCTAGTTAAAACCTAAAATTCAAAATATACCTGATGGATCGTGGCCCTGCTTTACCCAGACTTCACTCTCACAACCTGACGATTGTTCGACTCTTACGTCAGCCGTCTAAAAATACATTACTTACTAGGGAAGTGCAAATAAAAAACCCAGCAAACCGCTTAGCAAAAATATGGGTCTGATAGAGTCGGCGACGGGGATTCCGAAACTGCAATCAGAATTTGCTAAACGCTTAATACAAAATAGTTATGAGCATTTTAAGTTTTGCACTACATTCTCCGCCCTCCCTTATGAGCCCCTCCCAAAGATGGGTGTCCGCCTGTCGAGTGGTGTAGTGGCTAACTAGCATGCCTCTGGGGCGGAGGGTCTCTGGTTCGACTCCCCGGTCATGCAAAACTTTTTGCTTTTTGGTCAAAGTCAACAACTTTAGACTTTGTCAAAGTTTTGAAGTCCGAAATTAAGATTTTTTAAAATTTTTTATTACTGCTGTGCTCTCAGGCTTCCGGAAAATAAAATTTTTATTCCCTCTTCCCCACCCCCCCCCCAAGCACGCCCCCTCCTCCCGCCACCACTTTGCCACCAATTTGCAATTTCATAAATTTAAAAATTAAGAACGACCTTTTCGACTTCGAAACTTTGAAAAAGTCTAAAGTTGTTGACTTTGACCAAAAAGCAAAAAGTTTTGCATGACCGGGGAGTCGAACCAGAGACCCTCCGCCCCAGAGGCATGCTAGTTAGCCACTACACCACTCGACAGGCGGACACCCATCTTTGGGAGGGGCTCATAAGGGAGGGCGGAGAATGTAGTGCAAAACTTAAAATGCTCATAACTATTTTGTATTAAGCGTTTAGCAAATTTTGATTGCAGTTTCGGAATCCCCGTCGCCGACTCTATCAGACCCATATTTTTGCTAAGCGATTTGCTGGGTTTTTTATTTGCACTTCCCTAGTTAGACACATATTTGATAATTTTGAGGCTTTAAAAGACCTTCCGCGGCTCACCCGACCTGTCCCCAATATGGCTTGGTACAGTTTTTTTCGGCCCTGTTTTTTTGATGTCATCTGAAAGAGCAGGGTCGAATTAGTAGGGTGGCACTATTTTGAGATGTTAAAAAGTTTATTTTCCTAGTTAAATTTGGCTCTAAAGTGGCAAACTTCAAAAAATTATCTCGGAAACTACCGGACCGAATCGGCTCAAATTTTGTGACTAAGCCTAATTTGGGATGGGAATCATTTTTCTAATACATTGCGACGCACGAAAATGGCCGGAACATAGGTATATTGCGTACTAAAAACAGTTTTTTGCAGTTTTGGGCTTGATGGGTGTTCGGCCGCATCATGAGACTTGCATAGAAAGATGCGCCATCCTTTTCTGCATCGATTGATGGATCTTTTATCAGGCGGCCAAGACACCCATTTGCTGGAATATTCCATTTAGTACGCTCAAAACGCACCAAAAATGTACCCAAAAAATGCATAACAAAAATTTTTTGGATTTTGAAGCATGAAAACGCATCTGTAAGACGAGCTGAAGCTATTGCAAAAAAGAGCAAAAAGAAATTCAGCTTTCTGGAGGGGGCTGGGATTGAACTGGCGGCAGCTCTGGATTGGTACGCCGACGCTCTACTCACTGCGCCACAGGGCTCCCAGGCACACGACCCGGGTTCGATTCCTGCCGGATTTCAGACCCCTTTTAAAAATGGTATTTCTTTTTGCTCTTTTTTGCAATAGCTTCAGCTCGTCTTACAGATGCGTTTTCATGCTTCAAAATCCAAAAAATTTTTGTTATGCATTTTTTGGGTACATTTTTGGTGCGTTTTGAGCGTACTAAATGGAATATTCCAGCAAATGGGTGTCTGGCCGCCTGATAAAAGATACATCAATCGATGCAGAAAAGGATGGCGCATCTTTCTATGCAAGTCTCATGATGCGGCCGAACACCCATCAAGCCGAAAACTGCAAAAAACTGTTTTTAGTACGCAATATACCTATGTTCCGGCCATTTTCGTGCGTCGCAATGTATTAGAAAAATGATCCCCAACTCAAATTAGGCTTAGTCACAAAATTTGAGCCGATTCGGTCAGGTAGTTTCCGAGATAATTTTTTGAGGTTTGCAACTTTAGAGCCAAATTTAACTAGGAAAATAAACTTTTTAACATCTCAAAATAGTGCCACCCTACTAATTCGACCCTGCTCTCTGAGATGACGTCAAAAAACAGGGTCGAAAAAAACTGTTCGGCCAAAAACAAAAACTAGCCTTGTTCGGGTGACCCGCGGACGGTCTTTTAAGAATTGTATTAAAATCTTAGATATTAGAAGCTTTAGGCTTCACTCACATGGGAGTTCTGTATCACCATCGCTTGATTCTTATTCACATAAACAGCACTCATCCTGTGCTCCATTTTCGTACCTAAACCAGGAAATAACGGTTGTCATTTAAACTCCGTACTTCTATGGAAATTCCTCGATGAAATGTAGGTGACCCATGCAAATTCGAGCAGAGCACCAAAGATGAAAGTGAGACAGGCACCAATCCAGACGTCAATGGCTATAAATAAATATTTATGGATTGAAAATATTAAGATGTACCTTTTGTATATGAAACTGGTGGTAACTTTGCGTTAATGCCAGAAGCCTGAGTGGTCATTGTTAGAAGTGTTGTTACTCCGAGGGTTACTCGAGCTGGGACAGCGGTCCTAAAAACGTTATTTTAAGGAACGAGAAAAGCAAATATATAAATACCTGTCCAACCAAAATGACACCCAGGAAACGATGACCAACATGGTAGAAGGGACGTATAGTTGCAATAAATAATATCTAAAATCCTGTAAGATAGGATTTTAGGGGCTTACGAGAATTGACGCTTCAACTCTAGAATCGTACGGAGGCACGAATAAGTGCCGGTGTTTGTTTTGCTGGTACAGTAGTCGGTGGAGACCTTGTTTAGCTAAAAAAATAATTTTATAAATTTAAGTATGCAAAAATTACCTGGAAAGATGGAAGCGAGGATTCAAGACCTTCTTTCAGTTGAACGGGGTCGTTGTCCTTCCAGACGTATTCTAAAAAAAATAAAATAATTTCATTTATCTTTTGATTATAAAATTTTAAATAGACCACAGAAAACTACAAATTTCACTAACACCAGATTAAAATACAAATTTAACACGAACTTACCGATATCTTCCGTTGTATACGCATACGAAGCCAAATCAATATAGCACGTCTGTACATCCATAGGGTAATACTAAATTTTAGGAGTTCCTTACTACGTAGTGCACCTATTTACATACCCTTAAATGCATAGGACACGACAGCACCATCGATATTCGAACCGAGTACAGAATGCGACCATCTTTGTGTATCCGAATCAACACGTTTGGCTTGTCGATCATGTGCTTTTGGGCCATTTTTTCATTCTAGAAAATGTTACCCTTAGTACGATTAAGGTCTAAGTCGTATCATATAATACAAAAATATTTTTTTATACCTGAAAAAACGAATCCGGCATCCAGATCTGCTGGCCGGCGGTGAGAATTAGGAAGTCGGGCAAAAGATCACCTATAAGGATTAGCATAGATGACGACTATATTTTAGTAATTTTGATAATATTATAAACAGTGAGGTATGCGGTATACTTATTAAATTATACCAGGCAACCCATAAGCCAGCCGTCCATCCACCCAATTTTCTCGAAACGTCATCTGCACACTATATTCCATGTTGACGTCGTCAATCTTGGAGATACTAAAAAAAGTTGCGTCTCGTCCTTCGTCTGGGGGCTTCCCCGGGGCCAATTTCGTCTTGTTTCCTAAAACGCGCTCCTGGGGGGTCTTAATTAGGAGAGGCGCTAGCTGGACGGGCGGTTTCATTTTCCTCCCCTTTTTCCGGGCTCTTTAACATGGATTTGTCGCCCATTAGGACAACAGAAGATCGCATGGCGTGGCGATGGGTTTGAGGGGTTACGTATAGAAAAACAGGGGTTGATAATACGGGTGTAATAATGGCATGCCCTTACCTTCTGATTAGCATATTAACAGCGACTATAACGGGTCCGTGGCTGCCTGAAAATCGTATAATTCTGTGAGTTTAAGGGTTTTTAAAGGAACAGACAAGGCTCGCTTATCGATTTCTTGTAGCGGCGACACGCGACGTCTTATAATATATGCTATTCAAATGTCTTTCCATATCATAATGTTTCCTTAATTTAATATAACTTAATACACGTGTTTTAATGAGGTCCGTTGCGTATTGCGGCTGCTGTAAAATCTATAGCGATTTATTGTCCATTCTTTTAAAACCACCAAGCCACCTTGAGATAAATATACTATTACATACCTGGTATCGATAAATTCACTCCTGGTGGTCGTACCCTCCAATCATATCCTTTGTTCAGCAATTTTTTAATTATCTCAGTATCCGATGTGGCATCCCCTCGGCTAAAAATAAAATTTTTAATGGTTCAATCCTAAAACTCAATAATTCCTGTTTTTTTTCCTAGCGTCACCAAACCCCAAAAACTGCGTGGGGGTTTTGTTAAAATCCGAGAGAACACTATGGTTCACTTGAAACATCGGGGGCTTCCAGGATGAATATTTATGTTTGGGGTGGTGGTCGTCACCGGAAACTCTTGAAAAAGAGCGTAGCCCTGCGACCTTACCTGACCCGGAGTAATAGGAAGAGAATAAATAGGGACGTCACCACCACCTCGGTTAGGCGGAGTAATCCCATTCTGGAATGGTAAGAGGGTTGGAAGATTGTTGTGAAAATTGAGGAATTGAGATAAAATTGAGATAATTAAATATAGCGATTTTGCATGCTTTTTAGGCCAAGAAAAATAGATCATTCGACAAAGCTTTAAATTCTGAACAAGTGCTACCTTTCAAAAATTTTTAAGAATAACTATTTAAAAAAAGGCTTTTAAAAAGTTATCAGAAAAACTTGGCAAATAACCAAATCTTTGAGAGTCAATTTTCCGCAAAACCATTATTGGTCAGCAGCCTTGAGACACTGTGATTAATGCCAATTTTACACTCTATCGAATGGGTGCGTTACATTCCAAAATTCCAGTATAGAATCGTCCAAAAACAGAAAAATAAAATCCTGAGAAAGTCCTTCTTAACGATCAACATTTGAACCTTAAACTCCCCGAATACAAATCAGTCACCCGAGACCCACAAAAACCAAAAAAACCAGAACAAAATACGTAGCAAGTATGGAGGTGAGGATATAATTTGGGCATCTACCCCTCCCAAGGGAGGAGCACGAGATATTGAGAGGCCCCCTCCTCTCTTCTTCTTGACTGAGAGTGTGTAGAACGAGAAGAAAGCGATATTAATGGCCTAATGAGGAGGGCGGGACGTAGAAAGAAGAAGGAAACTAGAAGAAGAAGTTAGGGCGACGGAAATCTAGAAGAAATAGCCAACGAAGCCAATCTGGCATTCCAGGCCTACACCTAGACATCAACTGCTCGCTCTACGGCCCAAAATGTGGCGCCTCGGGCCGAAAATGGGAAGAAAGAATAGGGAGAGTCAAGGGGAAGGGGAGGGACCGCGCAGATTTTTGAATTTTAACTAGAGAAAATGTTTTAAGCTTTTTGTAGTTTTGATCACCCACGGTCCTACCTTGTCTTCCTTTGACTTTTAAGCTCTATTCAAATTCTATTAATATCAATAATTTAATGCAAATTTAAGTCGGAAGCAAATAAAATTTTTAACAGTTTTCGAAGATGATTCAATGCTTTAGCAAAACTTGCAAATGTAATCTACCTTCAGAACGGTTTATTAGCTAAAAATGGCACGGTAATTATTTGAATGTCCAGATGCATATTTAGCCTACGAAACCAGGTTCGATTGCCCAATTAGTCATTTTTAGTGCCATTTCTATTTACCTTTAAGTACTAATTTACCGTATGCAAATTTCATCCAAGTCTCAAAAATAAACTTCCCCATTGAAGCCGTATACCCAGATTTTTAATGCGAATTTCACCTATTCCAAAACCCAAAACACAAACAAATCCGCACAAAAAGATCCGTTTCCAACCCCCTAGTCACCCATCATTGTTTGCCAAACTCTCGGCACATCCCCACCCCCCACTCATTGTTTACTCGAAAATTACGGAATTTTTGCAAATACAAATACTACAAAACTCGGCCCCCGGTGACATCAACGCACCCGAATAAATCTGTAATTCGGAATACGGAAAATGCGGAACGAGAACTACCTCTGAGAGGCCGAGGTCCGATTTGATTGAATCGGGGTGGAGATGGGCCAAAGGGGGTGGAAGGGATGAATTTGCATATTGGGGCAGAGGACCCGGCAGGCTGTGGCCCAGGGCCCAGGTCGACAAAAAGGAAGGAGGAGGGCCAATGGGCCCCGTTTTTTACACGCACGGATTTGCAGGATGAGGGGGGAGTCGAGCTAGAGGCTATTTTCGGGATCCCTCGATTAGTGAGGGGGTAAATAAAAACAAGTTAGGTTGGGCGTAATTAAAAGCCAGAAACTACAAGTTATGCAATGTTTTTGATAGTGGTGCTTAGGCCCATTTTGATAAAATTAAGCATGGAAAGGTATTACTAAAATGCGAGTGGACAAATTTCGGGGCCCCGACTCTCGTCAGAATTATGGGCTGGCGAGCCGAAATCGGGGGGATTCCCGTAACGGGGCCCCGTATGGAATGAGATGATGGCCCGAACGCGATGATGCTCTCGCGCGCTCAAATCCTTGCGCCAACTTTTTGCGCCAAGGAGTTTTAGGTGGAAAAAGTACCACTAGGAAAGAATGGGTAGTTTCAGGGTTAGGTATCAGTTTGTGGTTTTAGAAGGCGGTGGTAGGGCAAAGTGTCAAAATATCGACATCCAAAATTCCGACGCTTGGAGTATCGAAGGGTTAAAATTAAAGGCACGGCGAGGCTTTGTTAATATTTCCAAAACCGATTACATAATATAATCCGCTCATACTCTTTCCTTAAAAAAACCCAAGGTAAAATCGAATTCCATCAGCGAGGTAACGAACCCTTGTGTGGCATTGGATGTTGTGGCGTCGTTGGGGGATTTAGTCGAGCCCTCAATGCCGATTGTTGTCGACGTGACGAGTGATGCCTGTTGGGGCGAGGACGGCTCCTGGAATATCGTAGCCGTAGCTCCGCTTCAAAAATATACCTAATAAGCATGGGAAATTTGGCACCTAGGATTTGCATCCAGTCTATGTAAATATCTTATTCAAAAAATCGTAAATGTTTTAAATTTTTTTAAATCCGAGATTCCGGTTTTCGAAATTCTATCAGGATTTTCAAGGCAAACAGCAAAATGTAACAACCGGGGGACGACAAGTTTAAATGCGACCAAATCTACTTTAATTTGTCAATATCTGTATTTCCCTTGCACAAATTATAAATTACCGTTTGTAAAATGGAATCAATATAATCGGCAAGGTCGAGGTCGCCGGCTTGCTCCTGAAAATGGAATCTTTTTATTTTGTGCCGTTGATCAGCTGCAACACCGCGCCCATATTTTTTTAATAAATTTCAATCTATATTTTTGAATTTTCAATATCTAGAGGTTTGACCGCGCCATTACTCTATTTATCAATTGTTTTCATTTGTTTGATGTCAAAATAACGCTCTGCAACAAATTCTTTAGTGTGTTTTGGATTGTCGTGGCGGGTGCGTGCCAGTGAAAAAGAAGGCGGATTATTATCCACCCAACTCTCCTCCATCCACATGACAAAGACCACACAAGTGTGGATCGGAGTGTGAGGTGGAATAAGCCCAATTAGGAAGAGGCCCACACACCGGATTCAGCTTTAGAGATGCCAAATTGCCTCCAGACACTTTGGAGTGAGCAGGAGGGTCCGCCGGGTTTTTCCTTGAAATGATGCAGCCTGGGCTGGCAACATTTGATTGGCAGGGTTTTTCTAGTTTCTTGGAAAGAAGGTAAATAAAATTAAGGATTGACCGACGTCATACCAAAACTTATTTGTTCTGAAGTCCGTTACGCATCAAATAATTACACCGACATTTCACTACGACGAAATATGTGTACACCGTAATTTAATACGAATAGTTTTATATGGCAAGAGAAATCTGGTCGTATCACGAAAAACTCCTATTAAAAAGAACTTTAAATGATTAGTCTAGTCAGTATTTTGTATGGATTGTATAAATTTCAAGTACAAAAGAATCGACTTTTAGTTTCTTTTAAAAAACTCGAATGTTCTATGCTGATTTCGGGATATAAAGCATATTAACATGCCTTTTGATGGTTTTCCAAAGTGCAAAAAAACCCAAATAGCTTACCTCATCCATTTCCACAATCGGATCGATACGCCGATAACCCTGATCGCCGAATTTTGAGTATTTTTGCCGAACCAAATGATGAGCCCGCATTTGTTGATTTCTATTAAGGAAATAGATAAGACCAGGGTTGAAAAGCCGCTTCGCGACTTTTCAACCCTGGCCCCGTCTTATCCAATGAGAGTTCTCAATTTGCATAATTCTCCCGAACCGCAATTTGAAAAAATAAAAAATGCGCCTTGGCCCCTTTATATCGACTTTTCTCGCTTCCGGCGTATGCTAATTGATCCCTAACAAAGCGGGGAGACTGAAATTTTTACAAAAACTTAATTTTAATGTCGAAAATAGCACTTTTTCGACAATTGGACATATGTGCAGGCGTCTCGAGACACATCTAATGACGTATCAAACATACTCTAAAACCCTTTCTCTATCGAGATACGACTGGAACATACTGACGGAAGTTGCATGCAAAGTTACACACACACATACACTATTTTTTTATATATAGTAGGATTAAAACGGTGCAGGTTAAAAACCCTACCTTTTAGATTCAATGCCTGTGATGAAAAGCATTAAAAGTGATATCGGCAAGAATGTTCTCATTTCAAAGGTACGATATCTAAAACTAAAAAATGAATAAAGCTTATTAAACTCAAAACTTTTTGAAAAAGATAAATTGTAAACGTGGGCCTTGGAATAAGCGGAGGGGAATGCAGATGGCATTTTTATAACAAGGAAGAAATCACAGGGGTGCCTGCAACTGACATCTTCAGAGGTGTGGAAACGGGCAAATAATAATTTTCAAAGTCAAATTCAAGTAAAGAGGCGTAGCTTTTAATGTCATAATATTACTTATCAGAAATAACCCCAAAAAAAACAGAAAAAGCCTTTAATCCACCACCAGCAAAACAAGTGCACTAATTTTTGTTTATCACCGCGCGAACCCCGCCCAATCATTTCGGTCTATTCAAATTCGGATTTGTTTTTAATTTGGAATACGAAGCGTGGCAATTAACGTAAAAATTGAAAGTTCCTGCCCAGCTCCACGGCTGCATCACTATTTGCGGGTTGTCAAATAGAAGCTGGGCATGGAGCTGTCAAGGTGGGCCAAAAATACCAACGCCTACTGCCAACGGCCCTGGCTTCCGGTTTTTTCGGTCGTTAAACATCTTAAAAAACAGGGTTATGCCTGCTAGATGCTCAAAATCTAATCAAAGAAGAAGAAAGAAGCCGCTTGCTTCAAATTAGATTCCGAAACGAACGTATTTTCGAAAATACCTTCACTAAAGACCTTTAACTCAATCCCGAGGTTTTGAAGCAAATTCAAGCCCAGTGCTCACGCCCGGAACCCGAATCCCCCTCCGACCAATCAGAATTATGGACGCGCACCGTAGGACCAGATTTCGGCAAAAATAAGGCCCAGAATGGAGGCCGTGATGGAAGAAAACTGAAGCAGGAGAAAACTTGGGGCCCACCGGGGGCCCTTTGGTGTCCAAGCCCCGTCCGCACTGCTCTATTAATTATTTGGAGCAATTAGGGGGATCGACGACGACCACGTCGCTCTGTCGCCACGACGCCATTTCGGCCCGATTTTCCAGTTTTTTGGTTACGGAGGGTGGGGAAAATAGGAATTTATCTTTTCGCGACTCCCAAGTTGCAAAAACCGCATTCTAAAAAGCAAAAATAAACAAATGTCTGGATCTGGTCGACACCTTTCCAAAAATTGCGAATTCGGATTTAATTCACAAAACTAGAGCTTTCAGTGATGAGCTTCAAAAGATCAAGAACAAGGGCAAAACTTTGCCTGGAACACTGGTCGAAAAATTACATTATCTTCCAATCAGTGGAAAAAGACCGCTTCGCGGCCCTTTTACACTGGACCCCGTCCAGAAACCATGAATTTGAATACCTTCTTTTTTTGGGTCTGCGGCGCAGGTACCTGAGTCAAGGATCCATTCTTTGGACTGCGGCGTCAGAGACAGCGTTGCGCTAGGATAATTGGGTCTGAGGCGCTAGTTACTGGTTTTCCCCCCAAGCTTGGCCTGCGGCGCGAGAGCCTGGGCCAAGCCCCATCGTTGGCCTGCGGCGCGAGAGCCTGGGCCAAGCCCCATCGTTGGCCTGCGGCGCGAGAGCCTGGGCCAAGCCCCATCGTTGGCCTGCGGCGCGAGAGCCTGGGCCAAGGACCCATCGTTGGCCTGCGGCGCGAGAGCCTGGGCCAAGGACCCATCGTTGGCCTGCGGCGCGAGAGCCTGGGCCAAGGACCCATCGTTGGCCTGCGGCGCAAGAGCCTGGTTCAAGCTCCTTTTCTTTGGCCTGCGGCGCTAGCGCGACGGTCAGGCCTAAACCTCGCACATCGAGAGCCTAGAAATACGTTTTGTTGCTAAACTACCAAAAAGCAAAAAGATGGATTCTCCCAGGACCCGAACTCCTGACCATACGTTTAGTAGACCGGGCGCCAACCCACTACACCACAGGGACGATGGGAACGGGTGGCCTGAAAGGCCTCTTCTATCTGGGGAAGCTGGGGGGAGGGTGGCAAAGAACGAAAAGGGCGTCCCAATGATCCCGGGCGGGTGGCCTCCTGGTCACTTTACCAAAAACTCGATCTTTGAGTCTGAATCTGCTGAAAATTTCTAACGACAATAAGATGTGATATGTGATATGATGTCCCCACTATCGAATACATAATTTGTCCAAATTCCAGGCCGAAATTCCAAATGGGCATCGAGTTATGGACTGAACACCACGGCGCGCAGCCCACTTTGTTAAGTACTTTTTAGAAAAACGCACATAAAAATTTTATTTTACAAAATCTGAAAAAACGCAAAAAGTTATATCGGGAGAATTCGATTTTCAATCTAACCTCCAAAAATTAACGCTGAATTCCTTTTGGATCGCGAGATATCCTCTGAACAAACCTTTTTTTGGCCAAAATGTTAAGGGTTTTCCACTATTTTGCTTGTAAAATCCTTAAATGAGGGAATTTCAAAAAACAAAAAAATGCCTATAAAGAAGATGTGTTTCTCCACTTCCATGCCAAAAATCAGCGCAAAATTCGGCCTGACGGCCGAGAAATCGGCTGCACAGAAAACAGACATACTTTTCTCGCTTATAGGATATAGGATTTCCGGGACTTCATGCCAAAAACTGAACCGCAGCTGGCGAAAAAGCTAATTTCCGTTTTTGCTGATGGCAATTGCAAAATTCAGTAGTATCTATAAAATTTTGCACAATCAATTAGTTTTTAGCGTAGCGATTTCATTAGTTAGGGATTAACGGTGTTGCAATTCAAAAACTAGTGCAAGAATCCGTAGAAATTTAATGCAAAATACTAATTTTTTACTTTTTTTGGGCGGTAACTCCTAAGAAACTTGATTTAATGTGTATGTCTCATTAATGCAGAATTACTGTATTTTCAAAACTACTACAAAATCAGTTCCGGGTGCATCTGTTGTGTATCCCACGCGGCATAGTAAAGTTATAGACATTCGGGGGTTCCGAATGGCCACCGATCCGCAAAGGGCTACATGTGATTCATTCCCTCAATTATTCCTCTACCACACAGAAAAGGAATAGAGAGGGGAAACGGGTGGGCAACAACTGCTGGAGATCGAATAGCCTGTCCCCCCACCACTGGCCTCGTGGCTAGATGACGACGAACAATGGGGGGCATGGAGGGGCTACTTCTTCTGAATATTTCAGACAATCGTTTCTGGCTAGGAAATCCGGAAAACGAGATAGAGAAAACTTGTGGTCTAGGGTTCGATCAGGCTGAGCCTTAGGCTTGGGCTGGGGCTTAGGCTTAGGTTGAGGCATAGAATAGCGGCTAAATATTAAATTTTTACCTAGTAATCCTTGAATTACAGAGATACTGAATTTCGGAAATCTTGAACCTTACAAAATCAAAAAGCCTTCACAAGCCCTTTAAAATCTACCTTTCTTGAATATAAAGTATTTACATACAATCTTAAAGCTTGTAATGCGAAAATGGACCTCAAGTTGTTTTCAATTTAAAAAAAAACAAAAATAAATTTTTAAAATAACAATTTATTTACACAAGCGGTCCTCTAGGTCTAAAATAGTTGCCAAACAAAAAGTTTCCATAATTCATGCGGAAGCTATGCAACATTGTATTCTGAACCCCTTCTCCCTTTGTTTAGATGTGCAACTTCCGTGCTCTTCCTCCAACCAGTCAACCAACCCCCCGACAATCCGTTAAGCCCATCATCCTGTCGCGAATGTGTTTATTTCAGCGTTTTAGCGCTCAGTCGCAAATTGGCCGTTTTGTCGTGATTCTCTAATTTTTCGTTGTCTTCGTCTTTGAGGATGCCGGAAACTTCGGTTCTTGGTAAAAAGAGTTCAAAAAAGATCGTTTTGGAGAGGCTGAAGAAGCACTCGAGGAGAGCTTGTTGGTCTCGAGTTGAGTGTGCAGATTGGCTATTTTCAGGTCAACGCGTGTGGTTTGGTTTCTCAGGGTAGTCGGATATATTTATACGGATATGTATTCCTTTAGTTAGATATATCTTCCATTTCGTAGAAGTATCTATTGGCAACGAAGTAGTTTCGGAGGTTTCAGAAAACTCTCAACAAATCGTTGGCTCGTACTTTCTATACTATATTTCTTTTTAAGGTAGGTAATCATAGACATCTTGATAGACTTTTTGTGCGCTCTCACTCTCTCACTCTCTCTCTCTCTCACTCTCTCTCTCTCTCACTCTCTCTCTCTTCGGAATTCTTTGTCTAATCCACCGATCCGTCGATCTGTTGGTCAAAAAGACAGCTTACGGGGAATGCGGTGCGGATTCTTTGGGCCTCTATTTGCTTTGTATGTTGAGTTTTCCATCGAAACGGCGCGGATATCGTTGGGTATGTAATTTTGTTATGCAGATTTAAAAAGTCTATAGAACAAAGCTAATTATAAATTCTAAACTCTATTTTAATGGTCCGACAAAAATGCGACTAGGTAAAGTTTGAAAAGCCCCAAATCCGAATCTTTGAATCCTTCAGGTACCTTGACATCAAATTTATTAAAAAATTAATATATCGATTTTATTACATATTTCATCACCTATTTCATTACCTGTCATTCAATCCTCCTTTTTCTATTTCAATTACACGCTTGGCATGTTGCCAGCCCGGATTCAAGCCGCGCTATCCCCCCTTGAGAAAAAAAGGAAGAAAGGCGGATGTCTGTTTGTATACTGGTGAGACGATGTGTTGGGATGTGTCTGTCGTCGGTTTGTCGGTCTGTCTATCTGTCTGTCTGTCTGACCGTACAGCCCCACATCCCCCCACCTGGTTGAGTACATTTGCTCCCAACTACACAAACCCCCGCCGAGCGGCTGGATCGAATCTGACATTATTTGGGGTTTCAAAATATGCCTGAAACGGGTTTCTAGATTTTTGTATCACCCTCTCACTAACAAAAAATAAAAACTATAGCTTAAGTCGCTTAAAACTCGAAAATTACAATTTTTAAAATTAGAAAAATAATAGGTGAATTTATCACAGTCCCTTGTTGATCACATTTTTAAATATGGATCGGTATTTTTCCTACGATTAAAACCCCCTAAAATAAGGGGTAAAATTAATCGATGCTACCTAATTCCACTAGTTTCTACGAATTTCAAAAACCTCATAATCCCTTTAAGATATATTTTTTCTCCCCTCCATCGCTTGTCCATCACTTCGTGCGCCATGTCAATCACTTTGACGTGTTCTCGATCTCCTTGTCCGTTCCCACTATCCACTCCACAACTATGGGCCTAACTATTTCCATCCATTACTGTGTTCGTTTGATTAATTTAATTTATTTTTACTTTTTTAAGCCGCCAGAAATGACGGACCCAATGCCCGTGCCCGGGTCGGAGCGGCTATCATGTAATTGCCACTACCCAATTGGTAAGTGGGAACAATTCATTAGGTTAAAATATTGCAGGCCTTGTCGTCTTCCTGGTATTCACAATATTATCGTTAATTTGTTGCATACTCGTATGTTGTATCGACATTACAAAGGTGGGAAATTGATCGAATACCTGTACGTTTTATTAGTGCTCATTTTGGAAGAAACATCGGGATCGCCCGCTGCTGCGCCGGACGTCGACTTTTGATCCGCGCTTTATGGACGGACAACGGTACATTTTAAAGGGATTTGAAAAGGGGATTTGTTGCGGAATTAACATTGTTACGGAAATCGTTAAATTACGGAATTTTTAATTTACATCTGCAGAAGTCGAACTTTTTAAATATTGCCGATTTTTTTTAAATAACTAGATTTACAAACATACAACCTTTATTCAAATTTCAGAATCCAGAAAAAATTCTCGGTCGACCCGCGTCTACTCGCTTCTCTTGACAGCCAATTGAGTCGACAGGGCTCGGTAGCCCCAATATTACCAGCCATGACGCATTCTGAATGCAACGGCAATTTGTATGGCATGTATTTCCCTAATGAAGCACTTGTCACTACTGTCTAACTGTTTTCTCATTTTATGTGCTTTTAAACGGACCCGGAAATTAACCCGAAAGCGATTTTATTTTTATTTTTTGAATTTTGACGGCCTTAATCCGTTTCTTGACGTCTCTGGGGTTCTGTCATTTTTCTGGGCTTTTCCCTAGTCTTGCATATGATGGAATTCAATTCCTGCAAAGCTCTTCCGCCAGCCCCACTCCAGACTTTTGGGCTGGGGGAAGGAGCAAATCAAAATTTCAGTATTTACCGATGGACTCGCATTGACCCCGCTGCTTAGGAACTGAGAATGTTCTTCATCTCTTTCAGTTTTCTAGGAGCTGCTAAAAAGTTTGGGCCTAGGCTCAGGCTTGGGCTTAGGTTTTAGCACGTCTCCAATGACACGAATTCACCTTCTACCCCATAATTATCACTACCACTTCCGTCCTCTATAATTAGCTGTTTAGTGCTCTTCGCCTTCTCTTTCTATTTCTTATTTTTTCAGCGTCAACCCATCTTGCAAATTCTGAAAACTAAACTCTATCCATTCTTAATCTTAAGGGTTTCATTTAATAAATTTGCCCGAATTCTCAGGTTACCCTCTTTTCGAACACCCGTTATTTTAGTGTAAATTTTGCCCCCCTTCGATTTGCGCTCATTTCCAGCGCATGCACATGTGATCTCTGGCCGCGAATGAACTCAGCCGAATATGTAAATATGCAACGAATAAAGGATATGGTTTTAGATATTGTGGGGCTTTGATACATAAAACTATCTAAGTTTTAACTAATACGCGTTTCAGATTGAGCAAGTAAGAGAGCGGGTGAGGGAGAGAGAGAGAGCGAGAGAGAGAGAGAGAGAGAGAGCCAGAAGGAGCGAAAGCGAGAAAGCGAGAGACAAAGCGCAAGGGCGAGAGAGAGCGAGAGAATGCCAGAGACAAAGCGACAGAGCAAGAGAGAGCGATAGGGCAAGGATCAGAGCATCAAGTCGTTTCCACTGTATTTCGCCAAATTCGAAACAAGCGCAGGTAATTTTCTAACGAGCGCGAAGAAGAGAACGAGCAAGAGACAGTGACAGACAAAGACCGAGAGAGAGAGAGAGAGAGAGAGAGAGAGGGAGGGAGCGAGAGAGAGTGAGAGAGATACGGTGAGGCACACATAGATTGGCAAACCAGTAAATACCCAGCAGCCCGAGCAAAGTTTGTGATAAGAGAGGTGGGGCAGTTGGGCTGGTGACTCAACTTTCCAGCTATCCACCGATACACTAAAAATTGGGCAACCCAATCAAAGGTTACGTCAATGCAACCGGTGGCCAGTGTTTTTCGGGGCTGCAATTTTGCGGGTATTGTCCTTTTTTAGGCAGCGAAATGCGCGTTTACGGGTTATACCTCTCCGGGAAAAGCACCCGTTATATCGTGGATCATTTTCATGGGATGGGCATACGGCAGCTGGGTGTATGTGTCCGTCATTTTACGCTGAAAATCATAGAATTTGGGGATTTCGACATTTTTGAATTCGTGGTTTAAATTTCTACGATTTACTTATTTATACTTTTTCTATAGTCGCTACGCAAGTTTTTTATTACCGTATTCCGGCCTCCCATTAATGCGTAAATTTTGGTGGTTTTTTAAGCTTATAAAGCTGGTGTTTCATAAGAGCGGTTCGGTGCCATTTTTTAATAAACTGGTTTTGTATCTATTTTGGGTTTTTATAACAAATAACTACAGAAAGCAAATTCCTTTACATATTTTTCAATTTTGTATTATTGTATTTATTATTTTTCTATCAATCAAATTCCAGGGCTTTCATGTTGAAATGGGCGCTACCATATCGACCCCGGAACCACATCCTACCGAAGTACGTTTGAATTTTTGCATTTTTATTGATACCCAATTTTACGCCTGATTTTTTCTGGTCTTACTGTAATAGTTTTGGATAAAAATTGGATCTTTCGTGGTTCAAAATTCTGAGCACACTGTGATGTGCTCAATAGCACATTTTTATTGTTTTCTGGTCGAGCATACGACCCAAAAAAAATTCCGATGATCGCTATATTAATTCTAAAGCGGGGAACCGGGGTGGGGCTCTAAATTTCACCTGTTGCTCCTCCAGGTGGTGCTCGCCGGGGAAGGGGGCTTAGGTATTTGTGTGTATAGGATATGTGGGTGGGTGTAGAGTAAGGGAAAGGGTTGTGTATGTGTGTATGTGTGGTGGCAGTGGCGAGATCGATGCTTTTCTAGGCGCTCTAGGGGCCCTGGTGGGCCCTATGTCTGGGCCCTGTGTCTAAGTCCTCTACAGCAACTGCCGTTGTCTCACATATTCCCCCACGTCTCCAGTATTTTCGTGTTATTTCCGTCTCTCTCTTCTAGAGAGGGGCCCCTCTGTGCCCCTATTTAGCAAATGCACCCTGTGACAGACAGAGGGACAGACAGACAGACAGACATACACACAGATGGGGGTCAAAACCTCACTTTGCCCGCTTCTCCGTTCGTCTTCTCCTCCCCTACTAGTTCATGCATTTTCCCCGTGCCTGGATTCTTTTCCCCCGTGGCGCATCTGAAGTCATCCCATCCCAACCCCCCACCCCGGCCAAAGGGTTTTAAATCTGCTCGCTCCAATTTTCGGATTATACCGTAATCCGGAGAAAAGCTTCTGTTTGGGGGCGCTATTTATGGAATTGCCCATTGCCTTTTTGGGTTTTGGCTCTTTTTAAATTGTTTCGAAACATTTCTTTCCGTAAAAAAGCTTTTCTTAAATTTTTGGATTTTTTCAGCTTCTTTTTGCATTTGATATGCTCAAGACTCCTTAAAAGTTATAATTCGATTAGTTTAAGATTGTATTTTTCTAACATTGATTATCCTGAAAATGACGCATGTTCCAAATTTTTAAGGGATTATACCAATCCATGAAAATATAGACTTTATTTATAGCTTTCCGCAATCTCACTGGTTTGAATTCTTTGAATTCTAAAAAAAAGGATTTTGAAAAATGAAAAATATCCAGAGCTATATGATAATAAATTTTTTCTAAAAATTCTATGCATCTACAATTTTTAAAAAATTGATCAAAACCCCTGGATAATATTCACCCATTTTAAACCCTTTGACAAAGATTCGAATCGCCCCTATTTTGTTATTTCCCGAAGATTAATGCCCTAAATCGGATGTCAGACTGCCAATCCTTAAATCCCACTTCGAGACCCGATTCAGTTTTCCGACTGAAATCCTCTCCGGTTTTCTGAGCCCAAAGAGCAAGTTCGGCAAAACATCTTCCTCTGCCGGCCACTTATCACTGATCTTTATTACCGCCCTCTTTTCTGTTGGTCTGCTGGGATTTGTTAAGCTTCTTACGCACCTACCGGTCCCGCCCTGATTCAGATAATGTTTGGGCGTCATTTTGCATGGTTTTTAGGGTTTTGGCTTAGTTTGCATGCTGATTGTTAAACTTTTGGACTTTTATGTGCTCTTAAAATTTAAAGGCTGTTGATCCAGGCTGCAATAGAATTTGAAGAAATCCTTGTGGTTACTAGTCAGAATCCAATATTCTATCACAATGTCGAAATAAATCTTAAAATTTTCTTTTATTTTTGAACTTTGATAATTTTGAAATTTGTGAATTTCGGACCTTCAGAATGTCAAAATTCCAATATGTCGAAGATTACCCTGAAAAATCGTCCCTGGATGCTCCCATGCCATTAAAAAATCTCGACAGTTTGATTTCGAAAATTTGAAGTGTCGACATTGTTCTATTAAAAATTTCTACATGCTGATGAATAGACAGCGGTGTTCATTTCGCCGTGCAATTAATCCCAAATATTCATGTCCATTTTTTACCAGTTACAGTCGATTCCCCACCTAAAAACCTTATTATTTTTTTTGTACTTGACAAAGTGGAGCCGCTTCAGCTAGTGGCCGAGAGCTTGTTGGGGGCCAGAAGCTGGGGGTGAGGTGGAAAGGCGGAGGAATTGGTGAGCCGTGCGTCTGGGTGCCAGAAGGGGAGGGCGAATTGTTTCCGCAGAGACCAACCCCGGAAATTGTTGGGTGTCCACTGTGTTTTTGGGGGTGCTAGGGGTCCAGGGCAGGGCAGGAGCTTTTTTCGAATTTTCAATTGTTTGGAATACTATTTATATTCCAGTTTTTCTAATAAAGAGGACTGACCAATCATTTCACGAAATCATACTTCAATATTTAAAATCAGTTTTTTCAATAAATTTATATACACTAGTGATCTGGAGGACACTACGCACCTAATGACGTATTTTTTTTTTGATAAGTGCGGCATGTCCACGGAAGTCTTATGCACATTCACCGATCCTAATTCTTCATATTATGAGGATTACCTTATACCTTTACGTTATTTATTCCGGATATTATATGCTATTAAGGAAGCATTTCGATAATTCTGTTATGCGTGCAGTCATCGCAGAGCCATTACGCACCTAATGACGTATCATACGTACCCAAATATTCATCCCCTATTAAGTTATCCTCCGGACATAGAGACGGAAGTTGCATGCAAATCGACACACACACAGACACTACTTTTTTATATATAGTAGGATAGTGTTAGAATCGACCCCTTATGTCCGCTAGGTCTCGACACCGCTTCAAACGAGTACGCAGATAATTTGGTGCTCCTTGTAGCCGTGGATTTCTTCCCTTCCTAACCACTTTAACCCATTTTTATGAACTTCCCATTCCCAGTTTCTCAATACCCTGATCCCCTCCCCCTTCTTAAACACACCATTACATATCTTCAATGAAACCCCTCATAGCCCAAAAAACAGCGTGGGGACTAAATTTACCCATGAAAAGTCTTCACGGCATCCGCTACATCTCCACGTTGTCTTTGACGTGAATTGCCGTTGATGGGGGGAAGGAACGGATTAGCTGCCTGAGGGATAGAGATCGGCAGGGGATACCAAAACATGGAAACAACCAGGAAAGGGGTCTTTACGGGGGAATGGGGAGAAGCCTGTCGCTCGAAACGGAGCGCCCTAAAAAGAGTTTAGCCCCCCGGCAATCAA